CCCCAGTGAGTGCATACTTCAGGAATAAAATTAAAACAGTACTATGATAAAGAAATGTGAGAGTAAGGCATTTGCTCCAGATATTAAAGACGATAATGAGTAGGCACCTTTTCATCTTTAGAAATAATTTCAGATCTCATTACCAGGAGTCTGAAACAATTGGTTTATTTCACCACCAAAGACCGCGCACAATCTTAACTGACTGGAAAATACCAGCAACAAACTTTATGGATAGACTGTGTGTTTTGGTCTTTTCATTTTTAGCTCCATTCCAAAGTAATTTTACTGCACCCAATGCTACTTACCGAAGAAAGGGTTGAATTATTATTATTATTTGACATCATGTTTGGTCAAATTAATAAAGATAGACTTGTTTGCTTCCATTATGTTGCTCACTTAATGTCTTTTCTGCTAGTTATGGAGTGTAAATCAAGACGTTTCTTGAATATATGTGTGCAGTGTGCGTGTGTGTGTTCTTGAGAAGCTTTCCACTACAACAGAAAGCCCTTAAGTGCATTTCAGCTCTCAGGTATACAAAAGTTCCTGGTGTTATTTCTTCCTAAAAAAATTAACTTTTTATTAGTCTTTATTTATTGTTCCTTCGGGTTTGGAGTGGAATATAGGACTTTTACTGCACTTCTCTACTTTGTGCTATTCTCTGCAATCCTTTCTCATTGGCTACACGATTACCCTTAGTCTCTGATCTCCTCCTCAGATGATCTCCTCCATGTCACCTACTCATTGACGACCTACTCATCGTTTCCCATTCGGGTTCCACTCTAGCGATGTCATTCAACAGTCTCCTTGGCGTGTGCCCGATCCATTTGCATTTTCTTTTACATATTTATTGAGCAATAGGTTCTTGGTTGGTTCGCTGCCTATCAGAGTTTCTTGTTGCAAATCCTTTCTGACCAGCCGGCCGTTCGATCATCACTGTGCGGCGAAGAGAGTTACCGATGAAAGTCTTCAGTAGCCAATTGAAAATGCTTTTGGTGACGTGTAGTACAAGTTTCTGATACCTATATAAGAACTGCTTTAACACGGATGTTGCAAATCCGAATCTTGTTCTTTATTCTGGGTGCAGAAGATCTTCATGTGATTTCAGAGTGACGGAGTTGAGCCTTACCTTCCTAGTACTGGGTTTGACATCCTCATCCGTGCTGTTTGTAGTTGAAATGCTGCTTCCTGGACAAGTGAAGTGAGCAACCTCTTTCAAATTTATTCTGTTGATGAGGATTGGTGTTGGCTGTTGTCGGTTGTGGTTATTTTCACCACCTCCATAGTCTCTATGCTCACTTGAAGTCCTGTCTTCTCTGCCTGCTTCTTCTGCCACTTGCAGAGTCAGTCAAATTGTTTCAGAAACTTCAGAACACAAGAAAAATATCAAAAATACATTAAATTTTAGATATAAATTGGAAAGTTGCTTGATTTATCTGTTTCTGCCATATTATTTCATTTTTTTAAAAGTACAGAGTGATAGTATATTAGAAGACAAACCATCAGTGTTAGGTTTCTCAATGCAAGCTTTTAAAGAAATAATATCGATCTTTCGGTTAAATTGCTTAGTTTTCATGATATGTTGCCTTTTTTGTGTTTAAGGCTGGAAGGATTCGCTAGTATTTTCGAGAGTAAGAATTATATATTGTTCTAAACTAAATTCTTCTATTCATATGCATTCCTTTGAGTGATCAGCGGAACTCATGGCTTCACGGTTTGAGTTTTGAAGCTTTAGTAGCGGTTGTGTTGTTCTTACGGCGTGGAGTTTCTAGCTTCATGTTTAAACTTTCCGCTTTACCGGACTTACTACGGGCTAAGAGAGGTGGAGTGAGTTGGTCGGGAATTGTAAAACGTGGACCACTTTTGTGGTCGGAGCGTATTCTACTACTGAAGTGGCGATGAACTCATGTACAGCCGAAGTGGGTACAATCTCATTTGTCTTCCCTTATCTATAGTGAATTTTTAAAAAGCCTACTAAAGTGATTTACCGTAGAATAATTAATGGTACCGTTTACTCCTGAGCGGTGATTGAAACGCATTCATTTATACTTCACTTAAGTACTCAACTATCTAAGTGAATCGACAGTGAACTAAGTTTTAGTGTCCCATGTTAGTCATCAATCGCTCTGGTTTGCATTCACCAAAAAAGGTAACCTAAACAGTTTGCTGTGTTATCCTTTTCACCCAGGAATCCTGACATGAAAGAAGCGGTTAACCATGAAATGCTTAATAGTGTCTAAATTCACTAATGAGTTAAGTTAATTTGAATCGCTAAAATGAAGAGGATTTTCCCAAAAGTCAAATGAAATAAAGGTCGTCTGTTTCGTTCGTGATTGTTTCTGCAGTACGATTTCTTTTTAGTGAGTTGGTACAACGGTCAAAAGGCAGGTGGAATATGCTTTCATAACCATAAGATTAAAAGGGTTTGGAAAAGTGAAAATTTTGACCAGCATAAGATAAGTTGAGATGTACAATTTTTGGGCTAATATTTTCTAACATCCCTTCTCCAGAGCTGGGAAACTGCATAATTAGCTTGCTGGTCATATGCGGGTAACATCTTACTGTTGTTACAGACCTCCCGAACATGGTGAAAACGACTTACACTACGATGGTAACGGCCTCTAGTAAAACAGCTATACAGACTACCTTTGTGGCTTTGTAAGAGCTTCAGGAACATCAGTTTTATCCAATGTAACTTGTTGGGTCAGTGTGATATGAAAGCTCCAATAACACATCATGGCGACAGAGAGAGCCTGGAGTGTGATGCCACTCACTTGATGGTTTGTTTTCTCAGAGTTAGGCCAATCCACCTTTATTTCTTCCTGCATATTTGTTGTGCTGGTTTGGTTCGCTCATGCACAGAGATCCCTGTTGCTGATCTTTTCTGACCGGACATCTGATCTTGAGTAGGATTGAGCAAAGACAGCTATTGATGAAGGTCTGTAGTGTGTTTGGAGTGCAGTACCAAGTCTCTTATCCGTGTAGTAGCAATGAATTCACACTAGAGTTGAAAATCCGGATCTTATTTTTGATGCTGAGTGCTGTTGATCTCCACACAGACTTAAAGAAGAGCTTATAAACCTACTTTATACCTACTTTAAACAGCTACTAATTACCAAAACTATTATTACACGTTATTCTAGTTTTGCCATTTTATTTATTTATATACTTATAAAAGGAAGCACAGCCGCTTGACGCAATGTAGAGCAAGTCCACGCTAGTTGCCAGCCATACAGCACTAACATCTGAAACCGCCCACGATTGGTCACCGCCACCGTCCACAACAATGAGCACCGAAGTACACAAAGCAGCAAAGAAACCAGCCTCCAACTGGACCGACATGTATCTGATCTCTGCCTGTCTGACTCTGCCCCTAGAGTCAATTCTTCTCCCAAAGTTACGGATCCATTTTGCCAACTTTCCTTACATAAATTGTTCAGTTGCCAGAGGCTGTTCACCTCGGAGGTCTGCTGTGAATATTTGTACGGCTGGTGTTCTTCAGGCAGTTGTTCTTTTTCTTTCTCTTTTTTCCTTCTTCCTACATGACTTACTTGCTTCATTCTGAGGAAGCCAATTTTGTTAAGTATTTCAGTGATCTAACTGTTTGTATGTAGACGGTTACTACTTAGTCAGATTGTTCCAAAATGAATAACTTTTTACCAAAAATTAGTCATTGCTCCTCGTCAAATGGTCTTAAGCTTAATTTCACTTTCAGAGGCAAGCGCGACTTACGTGAATTGAGCATTTTTTACGCTTCCACTCTTATAGATGTCACTGAAGTTGAAACTAAATCGAAAGTTAAACACCTTGAAGGGTATATTTCCTATAATCACCTTTTCTGGTCTTCCCACATCATGTTATTTTCCAAAAAAGTATTTCTTTTAACGTTCTACGTAAGGAAGTTAAAACAGCTTGGTATCATTCCTTTTCTACTGTCACCATTTGCTAATTCTTGTATTCTGCCCATACTTTCTTACTGCCCCCACCACACACCTTAATCTTTCCTGAGCTAATTAAGAAAGACTTTATTATACTGCGTAGAGTGCTAACAGCTGTCAGTAGGGTGAGTGGGGTGTTGCATAACCAACTCGTTAATACTACTGTAGATAGACACTTGGATTCCTGCAAGAGATTAGCAAATATTATCCTGTCAGACTGTGAACATCCTCTCCATACCCAACTCTCTTCTTGCATCTCATCAGGTAGCACTAGAACCAACTATAGAAGACTATGCACTCGGATGAATAAGTACAAAAGCTTTACAATACCTTTTTTGGTCCGAATGCATTGTATGTGATGAGAAAAGTGTGTAAGATAGGAAATTACCAACATGCCAAGGAGCTCTAAGTAAACGAATCGTTTTTTTGTTCTCATTATTACATTGTCGGTAATATTTTCATTTAATTTTAGATTCATTTCTTATTGAACAATATTATTAATGTAAATGCCCTATTTTAAATATTGCCCCTGGAATGAGAAAATTAGATGCAATACTGTACTTCTGCACGCTGAAAATTCCATGTTTGCACTAAAAGTACTGTTTCGAATAAAGCCATTATTATTATTGTTATTATTAAAAGAACTCTGACAGACAACGAACCAGCCAGAAGTCTATTGCTCAACAAATATGCAGAAAAAAATAGAGAGGGACTGGGCACAAACATCATGAGACAAGCAAACTCTTGATTGGAAGCTGAGTTGAGCGCTGGTCCGAGGGTAACGTGGAGGAGATCTTAAGAGAAGGAGACTGAATTTTATGGATAATGTCGGAACCAGTTAAAAATGGACCACAGAGAACCAGATGAAATGGAGATGTACTAATAAAGCTCGGTACCCAAGGAGATAGTAATTTATAATATGTCATATACTTACGTAACACGTTTCGAACAGTCTGATCACAGATATCCTTTCGTACAAATTTATGTGAAGAAGAAATACAATAAGATTAAGGTGATATTTTAAATAAAGATTTATACTTTCTGTTCTTTTCTTTTTTCTTAAAGAAGGTTCATTTCACCAAAGACCATCATCTCAACTGGCTACCTCTGCGCTTCCATCTTTCGTCAAATTTGATAATCTTCAAGACGCTGACTTCATACTGGAAGATGATAAGGGAAACGAGAAGGCAGATAATCGAATATTCAGTCTACGTCGTTCTTTAAGTGTACCGGCAGAAATCTGGTTAACTTTATCACAACAGGAAGCAGGTAGTTTTGATTATATACATACATACTTCAAAATTGTAAAAACAACTTATCTTCTACATTTATTGTTGTACTTTGTACTTCTGAGTCCTAGTGTTTTGATATTTGCATAGAAGTGGAGCAGTTCAAGTCACTATACTCAATGTACTGCACAAAAGTAGGGAAAGAAGAGAGGAAAAGTTAAAATCAAAATAAATGGTGATTCAGCAAAGAGATTCCCTCCAAAAACGAATTTATTATCAAGCTGTGCAATCATATATAAACGGATTTTAAAAAAATTATGTCAGGTGGGAGAATGGAATCATAGGTGTGAATACATAAAATAATAATGGTAGTATGAAATGCAATCAAAGAGTTTTTGGTTATTATCATAGTTAGATGTCAAGTTACAAAACTATTAATGTCATCTGAAGAATAATTCACAAGATGTATGGAACTTGGAAGGTGTGTGCAATTATAGGATTAGTAGGCAAGTCGAATAAAAAGACACTTGCAGCGAAGAAAATTTTTTCTTTCCGATGAAGTCATCAACTAGGCTGTACATTCGTGTAATTATAATAAATGGGTGGGAAAATTCCAGAACAATTTCCGGTCAAGGGTCAAATTAATAAAATTACAATTAGGAATTAAAGTGCCATAATAAACAGGGGGACAGATAAAACTCAAACGAAGTAGCATGCGTCGGTGGCATAGTGGTTAGAACGCTCGCCGACCATGCACATGGTCTGGGGTTCGATCCCCGGCCGACGCACTCCTTCACCTTGCTCAGCCAGAAATAATGCTGGTGAAGGGAAAAGGCTGGGCATGAGGCTAGCAAATTCATCCTGTAAAATAAGCACTGCTACAGAAACTTCAAGCCACTAGCTTGAAGCCCTATGTTCCACTGGGGAACGTGAAGGAAAAAAAAGTAGCATCATAATTACTGAAGGGATCGATTTATTGTGCAGTTAGGGGTTAGGAATGTAGAAATAACAATGATATCTAGTGGGATCATAACTAATAGTGACTATCCCGTTACCTTTCTTATGCAAACTTCCTGTTTTTTCATGTTATTTTTAAGTTTTCTTAATCCCTATTTACACTACCACATTTTCATATCCAAACTTCATGTCTATTTTGTCATTTTATTATTTCTACATATTTAATCCTTAATTGCACAAACAATTATTCGTCACATTAGTTATGATCCCACTAGATTTCTTTATCCAAATATCCTGTCTATTGTTGTTATTTCTACATTTCTAACCCCTAATTGCACAATATGTCGATCTTCTCAATAATTATGATGCTACTTTGTTTGAGTTTTATCTGTCCCCCTGTTTATCATGACATTTTAATTCCTAATTGTAATTTTATTAATTTAATCCTTGACCGGAAATTATTCTGGAATTTTCCCACTCGTTTATTATAATTACACGAATGTACAGCCTAGTTGATGACTTCGTTTAAAACAAAATTTTCCTCACTGCAACTGTCTTTTTATTATTCCCTACGATCAAATATGTATATTCCGTGAAATCGGATGAAATAAAGATGTTACGTAACACTGTGTGAAACTCGCTAGACCTAAGTCTATTTTCTCACCTCTTAACTCTTTGTTAATTTCATAAATATACAGTCCTATGACAAGTTCGTGTGTGTGACAGACAAAATGCCTCTTCTTATCGCTTTGTTTAAATGGAATTTAACGTTGCAAAACAAAACTGATTTCGAATCACAAGTGCTATGAGTGAAATAATACCGGGGACAAATCAAAGTGAGAATAGTAATGGTAACAATTGACGCTGTAAAGGAAGAGTGTACAAACTGAATATGATAAGGGATTATCATACTTTAGCACATGAGGATTAAGACCATGACAGTTGGAGGGGATGAAAGAACTTTTTCTGTATACAGAGATCTGGTTTTTCTTTTTTGACGGCTAAAAATGGATGCAGCCATATATATGAATCGGGTACGTAGTTAATTGGGCAAATTATTTTTCGCCTTGTAGATGACTTTAAAGGTGGAAGCTGTAGTGGTAGGGTGATCATTATCAACCAGATGTTCAATGATCGCGCTTCTTATCGCTCCATTTCCACCTCTTCGTAAACACCATTTAGGATAGTGTTCTTACACGCTCTTGGACAAAACTCAAGTCGAATGACCAATATACCTAGCTCCACTTCACATTTAACTATGATTATAATCACAAACATTTTAATTGTATTTCATATTACTATTATTATTTAATGTATTCACACCTATGATTCAGCTCCCTCACCGGCTATAATTTCTTAAAATAGAACCTTATATATACAATTGTACAGCTTAGTAATAAATTCGTTGAAAAAAATCTCCTTGTTGAATCACCGCTTGTTCTGGTTTTCTGTATATCCCAGTGGGACTTTTACATGGTTTAGAGAAAAAGAAATTCAAAAACAACCAAAAAATTTACAGAAATGTACAGGAGAAAGGATACTAACATGGATCAAAAACATGACAGCTTAGTTGATATGGGAGATCATAAAATCAGTGAATGCATCAGTGACACTGAAAACGATTTTCAGTCATATCACCCCATAATTCCCAATTATTGTTTCTTAGCATCTTGAGGATGCCAGCCAGCCAGCCAGGCAGGCAGGCAGGCTTCACCTCCCTACGGGTGGCTAATTCAAACCAGCTGTCAGTAACTTCATGCTTTGATTTTAGCATCCTTAACTCCATTGTCAACTAACATTGCTCAGTGAAGAAGTCGGTAGCTTGTCATGCGTGCAACACATATCCTAGCCAAGTCAATAGATAGGGCTGCACAACCTCATCGATTGATTTTCTCTCCTTATCTAACACATGACGCCTAACCTCGATATTATTCATTATATAATACCACCTAACACCGGAGGTACAATGCAGACAGCCTAGTTAACCCTTTCATTATCTTCCATTCTCACTGACCATGTTTCACAGCCATACAGAAGGACAGAGCGAAGTAATGTTCAGTATACACGTGCTTTGATCGATAGCCGGATGTACATTTTCGTTTCCTCACAATCTTGCTGCTACCTATTATTATTATTGTTTCCTTTAATTCCTAGAGGAACATAGGGCTTCAGCCGTGCGTCTCCATTGCGTTCGGTTCTCTGCTAGAGTCTTCACCTCGCTCCAAGTCTGCCCACACGTTTTCATCTCCTCTTCACATGACCTCCTCAAAGTCACCCTTGCACTGACGACCAACTCGCCGCTTCCCTTTCCGGTTCCACTCGAACAATGGCTTGTCTAGTGATGTCACTTGATGGTTTCCTCAGAGTATGGCCAATCCATCTCCATTTCTTCCTGCCTATTTGTTTCACAATCGGTTCCTGGTTGGTTCGCTCCCAGAGATCTCTGTTGCCGATCTTTTCTGACCGGTCATCTGACCTTGAGTATTGAGCGAAGACAGCTGTTGATGAAGGTCTGTAGTTTGTTTGATATGCTCTTCTTGACGCGTCAAGTCTCTGATCCGTATATGGTAGCACTGACTTCACATTGGAGTTGAAAATCCGGATCTTATTTTCGATGCTGAGTGCTGTTGACCTCCACACAGACTTGAGAGTAGTGAAAGCTTGTCTTGCTTTTCCGATTCTTGATTTGATATTCTCGTCAGTTCCGTCCGCCTGTAGTTGAAACGATGCTTCCCAGGTAGGTAGGTAAAAGAGGTTGTTTCTTTCAGGTTCCTTCCATTTATGCTGGTTGTTGTCTGTTGTTGTTGCTGTTGATGGTGTTGGCCAGGAATCCTCATCACCTCTGTTTTCTCTTTGTTCATCTGAAGTAAGTCCTATCTTTGATGCTTCTTCTGCCAACTTGCTGCTTCTCGCTTGCATATCTTCCAGCGTTTGTGGGAAATCAGACATATATCATCGGCAAAGTCCAGATCCTCCAAGTTTTTGTGTGACTCCATTTTATGCCTGTTTCCTCATTTTTCGCTGTTTGTCGCATCATCCAATCTACTGAGATCAGGAAAATCATTGGCGATAGTAGGCAGCCTTGTCTTACTCCTGTCCTCACTTCGAAGGATTCCGTAAGTTTCCCCTTTTTGGATTACTTGGCATGCAGCATTGTTGTACAGCTGTTGGATGAGATGTATAATTGTCGGTGGCGCTGCTACCTATTCTGAGAATTATTGGTCAGTGATTCATCTATAATTACTCATTTTGATTCTATTTTATCACTATTCAACCAACTTTGCAGAAAATCAAAACAGAGAAATAAGTGAAAAATAATGATGTCAATAAGTTATTTATTATTTTGTTGTTGTTAATGAACGATAGTCATACAAACTAATCTAATTTACTCTTTTTTTAAAACTTCAATAAACTCCCAAGTTGTCAATAGTCAAGGTCAGCTTGACACTATAACATATGTTGATGATGACAGATTTACCTATAATGAATAGATAAAGGCTATTGATAATGCACTTAACAGCTTCACAAAGAAAAGTACAAATTGAAATAAGACAACGTATCATCAGTTAATAGTTCACTCTTGAATCGATATATTTTGTTGATTGTGATTCTGAATAATCAGTTAAGTTGGTTGTTTTTTTTGAGAATCAAAAAACCGAAGTTTTGTCATCAAGTCGACAAGTTTGAACCGCATGAAATTAATGCAATTTATGCGAATTTACTCGTCGTAAATGATGGTTATGCTTTTTTACTTCTGTGGTCTGAAGATTCTGTGGTGATTTGACTTATTTTTTTAGCAGTAGACTCGTTATCTCCACGTCTAACCGTCCCAAATATTTTCAGGCTTAGAATGGGCTAATAAACTATACCGCATAGACCGTTGAGTGACATCAGGCGTGATGCAAGCTCTCGAGTGTAATGCAGAATGGAAGACGACGATTTGGGCGTGGCTTTAAAAGTGACTGACTGGCTGACTTAATTCAACATAGAACTTTGCACCGATGTGCAGCAGTTCGAGTCACCGCACTTCACTCAGCACACAAAGTCAGAGAAGAAAGTAAAAAGGAATGCAAAACAGAGACAGTAAACAGAGATATGAGGCAAAAACAATAGTAATATCGAAGAACAATATAGTTTTATTAGATATTATAAGTCACAAGGAGTGGATGTATGTACACCGTTGAGAACGATTTTGAGCCATAACACCGATAATCGTCTCCACCTGTCATTGGTTTTTACCGTACGAAGGACTCCAACCGGGAAGTCAGTTAATACTTCTCTACGTGGCTTAAACTAACTGTTGTGGAGTTCTTTGACTGATGCCTCCATGTGTCTGTTTGACCGCCATTAGCTAACTCTTTTCCACTCTGATCCTATATCAGTCAGCTAACACTGGCCGTCGAGAAGGGCAATGGTTAGGCATGCGTAACACATGCTCTGACTATCTCAATCGATGTAGTTTCACAACCTCGCTGATTGATTTTCCATCCCACCTACCTACCTAGCACTCAACCGATGCCTAACCTCAATATTGTTTACCCTATTATACCACCCAACACACACAGGAGATAGAACGCAGGCGACTATGATGAAAGACAGCTATTCTGGTTTTCCATGTCCTCCACTTATAGTGGCTAGGTCTCACAGCAATAAAGGAGGACGGAGCGTACTTCAGAGGAGTACAGATGCCCTTCGGTTGACAGTCAACGGGATATCACGCCTACGCCAGAGACAGTGTAAACTGGCATACGCGAAACTAGCGTTCTGTATCCGTGCTGATATTTAGTCGGCGGTCAACCCGCTGTTGTTGTCTGATACGCCTTCTCAAATAAGTGAAGTGGTCAACGTGCTCTACCACTTCACTCCCTGTTTCTTATCTAGGAGTCAGTGTATTCTACTCCTGTAGCATCATCTTACAATTGGCTGACATGAGCGGACTGCTTGTCAAACATTCGTAGATTGCAGCTCAAGGTGTTTAGAAGACTCTGCATTTTGTTAGCTTCTTCACCTACAAGGAGTATATCATCTGCATATTCTAAGTCAACGAGATTATAGTCTGGTAACGAGTCAATCTCTAGGTCTCTGAAGTGAGTTAGGGTTAAGTTCATCAGTACATCTATGATGAAATTGAATAGAAATGAGGATAGTGGGCATCCCTGTCGGACACCACTAGTTGTCACCATTTCAGAGGACAACTCGCCGTAAGCTGTCACCTCGCTACATGAATCCGAATAGAATGCCCTAGTCAGTGCAATGTATTTTCTCGGCATTTCTTTCACAGCCAAACATCGCCACAGTACCTCTCGGTCGACAGTATCGAATGCCACCTTTAGGTCAAGAAATATAACGATTGTTGGACGCCGGTAAGTATGCCTGTATTCGAGAATCTGTTGAAGGGTGAAGATATGATCAATACACCCTCTTCCTGGTCTAAAACCTGACTGGTTATCTCATGTTTGTTCCTCCCTCCAAAAGTGACATGGAAGAGACTGTGTAGAGAGGAGGTGAAGTTTATGGACTATCGTGGAGTCAACTAAGAAAGGCTACAGAGGACACAGCGAAATTGTGATCTGCTGTTGGAGCCCTATGTTCAAGTCGGAACCTAAGGGAATAATAATAGGGAATTAGTAATAATAACAGTAACAGTATTAAATGATAACTAATTCTCTTGATTCCGAAGCGTTCTATTTAATTTTTCTATTTGGCTATAATGGGCAGTGATTTATTTAAAAAATGGGGCATGTTTATTTCAAACAATGTAAGTAAATTCTACCTTCATTCAATATCAGTATTCGTATTTACATATAGCCAGAGTAGGGATTAACATTTTTGTTTCTTTATTCATGTGTTTACTCAGAATGAGATATTTTATCTTTGACCAAACCCATTTCAGCCAATTGTCACAGTGAGTGAGAACAACCGTTGTTAGAATTTGTTTCAAGAGGCTTGTCTACATTTTACTTTGTTTGACTGCTTAAGAAATGACTTATTTGCTATTCTGACCTTCAGCTTACCTTTTTCCCATCAATATGAATAATTACAAGGTTGAGTAAGAATTGATGTCAGTCAGAGAATCATTTAAAAATAGCAGAGAGTACCGGATGACTGTTTCGTCCTAGTTTGGAGAGGTTCATCAGTACGCACGCATGACACACACGACACACCAGGGAGCAGATGAAGGAACTTCAGGTGACGAGATGAGCTCGTTAACTATTCAGACACTGGAAAACAACCTGGTGTTCCAGGGACTCTAACTGCTGTCAATTCGTGACGTTTAGCGCCACTGCTATATATTAAGAACACAAAATTCAGCGAAGACACTCTTTTACACGAATTTATTATCAAGTTGTATAATCTTATATATATTATTATTATTATCCCTTTGTGTTCCGAGTCGAATACAGCGCTTCAGCAATACATCTCTACTTTGTTCTGTTCCCTGCCATCCTCTTCATCTGCAGCCACGGCTGCGCATATTCTCTCATGTCCTCCTCCATGCCACCGATGACCCACCCGTCATTGCCCATCCGGATTCCACTCTCACAATGGCCTGCATTGAGTGTGATATTATTCGACGGTTTTCTCAACGTATGCTCTATCCATCTCCATTTTCTCCTACCTATTTATTGAGCAATCGGCTCTTGGTTGGTTTGTTCCCAGCCAGCCAGAGTTTCTTGTTGACAATTCTTTCTTTCTGGCTGGCCATTTGATCTTGAATGTGGAGAGAGTGAAGTGAACAGCTGCTGATAAAAGTTTGTAACTTGTTGGAAATTCTTTTCGTGACACACAATGCAAGTTTCTGACCCGTATAGAAGCACTGACTGACTGACTTCACATTCATATTGAAAATTCGAATCTTGTTCCCCATGCTGGCTGGCTGATTGCAGAAGATTTCCAAACTGGTTTCATATTGGTCAAGACGTATCTTGCCTTTCCGATTTTGGTTGGCCTGCCTTGACATCTTCATCCGTGTTATCCACCTGCCTGTCGTTGAAACCGTAATTCCTAGCCACATAAGTAAAGGAAGTGACCTATTTCAAATTCCTTTCGTTAATAGTGGTTGATGCCGTTCGTTGTTGCTGTTGGTTGGTTGGTTGCTCTCATCACCTCCATCTTTTCTGTGTTCCTCTGCAGTCCTGTCTTCGCTGCCTGCCTGGCCTCTTCTGTCAGTCTGTTGGTTTTCGCCGATGTCTTCGAATTTGTGTGACATTAGACATAAATCATGCACACGAGAAATCCAGATCTTCTAGAGTCTTCTTTTCGGTGGTTCACTGAATTCCTGCCTCCTCTCTCCCCAGAGTTTGACGCATAATTTAGTCCACCACAATTAAGAGTATCATCGGTGACAATAGCCAGGCAGCCCTGTCTTACTCCTGTATGCACCGAAAAAGCTTCGCTGACTCTTCCATTGTGGATAACCTGACAGGTGGCACTGTCATATAGACAGTTCCTGAAAGAGGCCGATAAAGAATTGGGCACTGCACACCGTAGTGTTGAAGTAGTATCCAAATTGCTTCTCAGCCAACGCTGTCTGTCGAAGGCCTTTGCGAAGTCGATGAAGTTGAGGTACAGCTTTGACTGCTATTCTATGCTTTGTTCTGTGATGACGATGCGTTGAGTTGCAATTTGATCAGCACATGATTTACCATTCCTGAATGCAGCTTGTTCCCGTGGGACTGGCGGAGTTCTTCATCCAGTACATCTTTTATTCTCTCCTGGATGATGCGACTTAGTATTTTACTTGGACAAGAGCATTATTCCACTGCTGTTCTTGCAGGGTGAGGCTTAAGTTGCCCTTCTTTGGCAGCCTCACATTTCTATGTTGAAAGTTGGTCAGACAGTCAGTACCCAGTTTAAGGTTACCGCAGATAAAAATTCTCATTAATGCCAATAAGATTGTACTTTGTTATAATTGATGTAATAGAAATTAATACTAGCAAGTTACTATCCAGAAGAAATTACTAAAAAAAGAACAATCAGTATGCATTCAAGAAGTTATTCTGACTATGGTGACTAGTATGATAATGAAGCGTTTACTAACAAAAGGCATTAGAATTCTACATCACCTCTACACATAAAACTGATAAACATTTCAGCATCACAAGTTACTTTGTAAGCCTTATTTTTTACTTGAAGAAGTCTGTGCCCAGTTTAACTCATGTTTTTCTGTTTTCTCTCATATAAAACAATAGCTGCTGATGCAGAGAAAACTTTATCATCGGAATTTTTACCTGAATCATCCACTGTTCCACCGAACACTACTCAGGCTACACAATATTCATTATCTTCAGAATCTGAAAATACTATACTTGATGAGTTTGTACCTGCAGACGATAAGGCGGATGATGATCTACGTGAAAGTGAATCAATGGAGATAAACGAGTGAGTCTTTTGGTTAGCTTTTTGCCAAGTAAAATTTATAAAACTACAGTTTAGATTCATGATGTTATATACTACTTATGGATTGATATAAGTAGCTGGATACCATTCACATCAATCAGTATTGTTCGCTAGCCAGTCATGTAGAAGTGATTTAAACATCCCTGATGACCGCTTCACTCGTTCAGTAGATGTCCTACCTAGTTTGACTGAGCTCAGAGAAGCGAATCATTCAAAACCAACTGAATTCCGGCTAGCTACTAGGGTGAAATGACAATACGTTAAATCAAAACTATAATTTGCAAATTCTATCCAGTACTACATTCTCTATGTGGAATATAATCGGTAGACTGATTTTTGTAAGATGTTCGTCTTTCATATTTCTTTGTTGCGGTGTTTTATTTTCATGTGGATTAGAACCGATTGGGATTTCACTGTATGACCTAGATTAAGGAACTGGATATATATTAGCACCAGGCCAAATTAACTGATCCTCGAAATTTTGGTTCTTTTTGATCTAGTTGTGTTCTCTGAGCTGGATAGTTTATTTGCGAATCTTTCATTGCTCTTCTTTCAGCGCATACTTCAATTTGATGAAGTGAGCTTTTGAATTTCTCGACGAGTTTATTAGTCATCTCTCCTGGTGACCTTCAATGTGATTGGTTGTCTTCGTGTGTTTTCACACCCTCTAGGCTACTTGTATTGGAACTGATTGTTTCTCTGACTTAAAGTTTGACCCTTTGTGTGTGTGAGATTTCCTTCTCATCGAAAAGAGTGGATATCCACGGAATTTCATCAAAGGACATATACCCCTAAGCCAGCCTACCAAATCAGAGGCCCCCAAGGAAAGCAGAAAGAAAATCGCCCTACCATATATAAAGGACATCTCAGAAATCACTACAAGACTCTTCAAACCTTTAGGAACCGACGTCGCACACAGACCAACCAAATCACTTCAGGATTTAATGAATTCATCAAATTTCGGTGGAACTCGTCAGCTGAATACTCTACATACACGGATATATATGCTTTTGAAATTACATTGGGAGATATAAGACTGATAAGCAAATAAACTACATTGAATTAGTCATGCAGAAAGACAAGTGCCAATCTTTTCCAGGTCATGCTCAAATAGACAAGTGGGGAAAGGGAGTGTGAGAGATCAAAATTAAGATAAATTGCATTACGCTTCAATTACATCAGTGTGCGTCGGTGGCACAGTGGTTAGGACTCTCGCCGACCATGCATATGGTCCGGGGTTCGATCCCCTGCCGACGCACACCCGATATCTATGGTCGACCTGCAAAATTTGGGCTACCGATATCCATGCTGAAAATTCCATACTTGTACTGAAAATACGGTGTGGCATCAAGCTGTAACCAAAAATAAAAATAAAAAAATAATAGATAAACAGTTGGACATTAGAGAATATGACAAGAATTGCAGTTGCAGAGGCTTGCGCAATTCGAGTTTACAAACCAAATCTCTGTGTACAAAGGGAGATGGTCGTGACTCTGAATCTACCATGGTAATACGTTTTACTTATAATTCTACCTCTCTTCGCCTTCACATTCATGAACATAAACTAGTCGTCAAAAGACATGATTTGCACTTCCTCATATCGCTGTATAGAGACAGCCATGGAGATAAAGTCGACTGGAGCAACGTTAAAAAACTAAGAAGAGGATACAACAAGTACGCCAGAGAATTTTTAGAAGCCTCCTGGTATTCCAGTGAATCATCAAATAATAAACATATTGACATAGATAAAATTTACCAATAGATAAGAACAAAATCTCATACACACAAAGGGTGAAACTTCAGGTCAAGGAAACAGTCAATACCGATACAAGTAGCCTGAAGGGTGTGAAAACACACATGAATAACCAATCTCGTTCTAGGTGACCCACCAGTAGAGATGGCTAATGAACTCATAGAGTAATCCAAAAGCTCACTTCATTAAATTGAAGTGTATGCGTTGGAGATGCTGCCTGGTAGGGCAATGAAAGCTTCGCAAATAAACTATCCAACTCAGAGAGCACAACTAAATCAAAATCATCTACCTGATCTACAAATCTTCTCCATCATATCTAAATTCCAGTTCGTATGTTAGACCAGTTAACAGACCTGCTGTATCGAGCTAAAAACTTCAAGTCTAGATCAGAGATGTTTCATTGATTTCCTGAACAGTTTACCAACCACTGAACCCTCCCAATGTTTAATGTCATTGCAAATATTTTCTATTATCATTATTATTGTTACCAAAACAAAACTTGGTATATTATAAGCACCGAGAGATGAGTCAGACAGAATCTCTTCCTTTATGCGAGAGTTAGGACACTGTCGGGACTCCAAGACCGAAGCAAGTGATTGTTTTAAGTGACCACTCAATCCTTTTGGATTATGGAGCCCGTGTATACCATAGATTTGGAATAAAAGTTTTCTAACATCCCTAAGTAAAGCAGTACGTTCATCATCCCCGTTATGAGCTACAGAGTTTGGCATTCGCGTTTTCACTGTTGTGAGGAGGAGCATCCCTACTGAGTGAGGGGAGTGAATAGAACTTATGCGCCTGGCCGAAGCTATAAATGCGTAGCCAAATGACAGAATTTCGGGAGTCATACCGAAGTCTACTCACCCTCATCTGTACTAGGTCGTTTTTAAGAACACAAATATTAAATTCAATGTTTTATTTGCATAAAAATTTCAAGCCCACTGTATCAGCTCACTAGGAGAGATAGTTAGCTTATAATTTTAATATTTTACTCGACTGATCCAAGGATTCTTTTAACAAGTTAGCATTATAAAAAATTTTATTTAGTAAGAAAATAATTACTCTCTGTAATGGTATAATTCAGGGACAATGAACCAGAGCAAGTAATACAGTTGGAAGACTTTGATAACAACAGCAACAACAACAACATTGTTTCAACGAGTGAAGAACATTCAAGTTTAGACATAATCAAGGGAGATCAAGAGGATGTAGTGATTCCCGATGAAAATGTCGACGATGACATGGAGGTTGAGGTACAATATGCAAAAGACGACCTTGCTGAAGATATCGTAACAACAGATTTCGATGTAAGTTATTACATGTATTCTACTTCTAGGTAGTGTATCTTTTGGATTTTTTGAATATTTCTGGTGACCAGTATATTGATAGTTATATTATCAAATGGTACCACGTATACAACTAATCAGGCTATGGATCAGTGGACATTTTATTTAAGAATCCAACGTTTCTTGTTTCCACATCTTCATTGGACAAGAACAGGAATTCTGGCATCGGGAGAAACAAAGGTTGCTGCTGAAAGACCATTTACAGTTTTGATAATCGGTATTTCTAATTAATTGTACAGCTCATCTGTGAATTGTTTCTGTAATATTCACTTGTTCATCGTCAATAACAATAACACTCGGGTTCGAATCTCGAGGCTGAAGATACGCTTTGCTGACTGGTGAGTGCCAACTAGCCCGAAACCTAGGTCAAGCGAGGCTTCCTACCGATTGCCTTCAACCATCTAATAGCAACAGTAACACAATTTCTTTTAGTATAATGCAGTTGACAGCAATCAAGACTTTTCAATGTAGATCGACTCTTGAAATAAAAAACTTGTAGTCCAAATCAAGTATATTAAGACTTTTAAAAACAAGATCCTAAATGACCTGAATTTCCCAAAATGATTTGCATGTTGAGTCTCACAGTCTCAAAAATTCAGGGATTAAAACCAACAAGTTGATAGAATAGGCAGCAAAGACACAACTTCAGGTAAACATAAAAAAGACTGAGGTGATGAAGACAACTAACCAACAACAACCAGAACAACAACCACCAACCACAACCAATGGGAGAAATCTAAAGCAAGTCACATCTTCATATAACCCGGCTAAGTGCCATCGTTTCAACTACAGGTAGTCACCACGAATAAGGGTATCAAAGTCAGTTAGGACTGGGTCGAGAAAGCAAGAAAGACCTTCATTAGTCTGAAGTCATTGTGGAAGTCTAGTGTAGTCAGCATGAGGAAGAAGATTCGGATTTTCAACATTTAATGTCAAGTCAGTACTTCTATACTGTCCAGGGACTTGGAGCTTCATCACAAGCATTTACAACAGGCTACTGCAGATACTCGTTAATGTCTGCCTTTGCTTGATGCTGAAGATCAGGTAGTAGACACTAAAGTGACATCACGCACCCGGTAAGACCCTTGACTGGAACTTGAATGGGTGATTAATTGGAAATTTGAATTAGGGGGTAGAAGCTGACATGACATAATAAGTGTGAGGAAATTACTAGTCACCATGTCTGTGTAGAGTGGATAGGAACTGGAGGAAAGATGATAAACTGTTTTTATAAAATCTGTATGAAAACGCAATGTTATTAATAAACAGTAATAGAGTGTTGATAAAATAAGGATGGTGAGAATAATAGTAATAATAGTAAACTTACATAATAGGAGGAGCAAAATTATAGTAAGAACGATACTGTGGCCACGGTAGGGTGGCGAGTGAATGTATGTAGTGCTTTTCAATGCAAAAGTCCGATTTCAGATCCCGAACAGCCAATGATTCAGCTACGTACAGATGCCATAGCGTTGCTATGCGTGCTACTTTTGCATATAATAATACGTTTGGTTAGTCTTGTATGCGAGATGAGTTCTATTGGGCTTGTCTGCGCAGTGCATAGTTGATTGATGCGATCAATGATCGGCGTAACAATACTTACCTATGCATTACTATGTATACTAACGGTGCGAATGGTCTACCGAGGGAGAGGATTATCGAGTGTTTGCGCCACAGGATGATCCTGCATGCCGGTCTCGTCTCGCAAGAGGCAGGGATGGGTGTGTTTGATTCTCCTGAAAACCCATACCCAGTCAGTGAGTGTATCACTGTGTGAATAAACTGGTCGATCCTGCCGGTATTCATATGCTTATCTCAGAGATTAAGCCATGCATGTCTAAGTACATACCTTAAAACGGTGATACCGCGAATGGCTCATTAAATCAGCTATGGTTCCTTAGATCATATATGCTACATGGATAACTGTAGTAATTCTGTAGCTAATACATACAATTATGCCCTGACCCGCAAGGGAACGGGTGCATTTATTAGAACAGAACCAACCGAGGGGCAGTTCCGACTGTCTCTGTTGAATTCTGTGATGACTCTAGATAACTTTAATGATCGCAGTCAGCCTTGTTTCGGAGACGGATCTTTCAAATGTCTGCCCTATTAATTTGTTGGTAGGTGATCTGCCTACCATGATAATAAAAAGTAACAGGGGATTAGGGTTTGATTCCGGAGAGCGAACCTGAGAAATGGCTACCACATCCGAGGACAGCAGCAGGCGCAAAAATTACCCATTCCCGGCACGGGGAGGTAGTGACGAAAAATACGAATACGGGACTCATTTGAGGCTCCGTAATTCGAATGAGTATAGTTCGAATCCTTTGACGAGGACCAATTGGAGGACAAGTCTGGTGCCAGCAGCCGCAGTTCCAAAAGCGTATATTAAAGTTGCTGCAGTTAAAAGACTCGTAGTTGAACCTGGGTTGTGTGGTCGCATACCGTTGCTTGTTCGTGGTTTTGGTTACGATCAGAACTTGCGTTAGATATTTGAGTGCTTCTGTATAGCACTGTGAGGCATTTATTGGGGAGGGGATGCCCGATGTCCGGAGTTGACAAGGTGTTCAAGGATGGATCTGCTACAGTTCTTCTTTTCTCCTCTGGATAACCAAGCCGGACAACTTTCCAGAATACGTTTGTGGACTTAACGTTGCTTACGGCCGATATACTTCTCTCCACATGAGCAAGTAAACTGATAAATACACACTCAGGTAGCCACAAGAAGTATGTTATCCTTAACGTTGGGCTGGATTAATTGTCTGCTGGAGAATGTGATACGTAAGGCGGCTGCTTGAAATGTCTTTGTGAGGCATTTAGAAAGGCGATTTCTAAGAATTTCTGCTTCAATATCGCCTCTGAATCCCAGGTTCATGAAGAGAGTTTGCTTAGGAACAGTTGTGACTTTTGGCGTCGAAGGCTTTTCCTTCATGTTTTTGTCGATGAATCTTGGTGGATACCCGTTATCTAGTAGGCTTCCGAGTAATGAGATTATATCTTTCTCTGTTGTGTTTTCCAAATCAATTTTTCTAATCCTTGAACTTAATGTACGTAACAGGTTAATTATTAAAAGTTAACTACAGATTGTTATTCAAACAGGAAATTTAAATTTTTCAGTATTGAAGGGGTGAAAATAATTGTGGAATTTACAGTCAGTGAATTTGTAGTGGTTAAAAACAAGTTGTCGTATAACCGATAATTTGTAAAATATAAATGACTATGAAGGAAGGATACTGTGTGCCAGGGCCTCAAGTGGAATCCAAATGGGAGGCGACCAGTGGGTCTCTAGTGCAAGGATGATATGGAGATCGTGTTAGTTGGCGAAGGAGATGACAGATTATGCGCAGTCGTGGACCCAGCTGAAAAGGATGGCGGAAAATACAAGAAAGTGGAGATGTGTTGTTCCACTCGAAACCCAAGGGAATAATAATAATGAGGTATAGGTAAACGAAGGATGTTTTTTGAATCAAGCTACCGTACACAGATGATCATGACAGCTTGATAATTAGATAAAGAATAGACACGGAACAAAGAGTACTCTTTTCGATAAATTCATCATCAGGTTCTACAACTATATATACATTTTAATGAATGAATGAATTAGTCTTATGAACGACATTATTGTTTAAATAACATCAAATCAATAATATTGATAAATTACAGCTGAACAGCATCAACATAAAATAAGCTGAATGTCAGAAGAATTAGGAAAGGTAATAGTACAAATTCATGAGTTTATAGTCTCTACTGAGGGCCAGGGCAGTAGTAGGGGCTGGACTTGTTTCTTTTGAACACAGAGCACTGGTTGTTTGAGGTGAATCGCAATAGCCTCTGCTGTTTGGAGTAAGTGGTGCTTCGACGATTCTGGTAGTTTGTTAGGCATCCGGTATATTATATATTTTCGTGCTCGAGAACATATCCCACTATGGCTAAGTAAAGGTGTAGTTAAAACTATTAACAGCTCGATATTAGACCATCTGGTGCAAACCTGTCACAAAGCCAGTGTAGAAGAATCCTTCTCTATGATATACCCGGTGCCTAACGAACTACCAAAATCGTTGAAGCACCGCTTACTCCAAACAGCAGAGGCTATTGCAATTCGCCTCAAACAACCAGTGCTCTGTGTTCAAAAGAAACAAGTCCAGCCCCTACTACTGCCCTGGCCCTCAGTAGAGACTATAAACTCATGAATTTGTACTATTACCTTTCCTAATTCTTCTGACATTCAGCTTATTTTATGTTGATGCTGTTCAGCTGTAATTTATCAATATTATGGATTTGATGTTATTTAAACATTAATGTCGTTCATAAGACTAATTCATTCATTCATTAAAATGTATATATAATTGTAGAACCTGATGATGAATTTATCGAAAAGAGTATTCTTTGTTCTGTGTCTATTCTTTTGAAAATTTTAATGGGCATTTTTAATCAATTAGATAAAGATTGAATGTTGCCAATAGAAAGACTATTTATGCGGCTAAGATCCAAATCATTGAGATTATGAAACCTATATATCCATCTAGACCTTTAGAGATTACGTCACATCGTATCTACCATTTTAAATATACGTGCGGTTATATATACATTTGGAAGGGGACTCATCGATCTTTTCAAGTAAGGACATCAGAGTATATCTCTAAATAGCTTCAGAGGCAGATCAAATCCCCTGAATCCACTAATAATGAAAACAAATCACCTAGCTCTTTTGTCCCTGAATATATGATAGAGACAGAGGATAAAAGTGATGTTAACACGTCTTTTAAACCTGCCTACCAATAGGAATTCGTGGTGAATATATATATATATATTTCTTTGCTCAATTTACTGTTTTTCGAGATGTGTAAATTGGAGTTTTTAATTTGTTTAAGATTTGATCACGGATTTGTATCAATGAGAGAACCACTAGAAGCAAGATGAAGTAACGGGGAGCTGTTTCGTCTTATTTTGGGACTTTTCAGCAGTACGCACCTACATCCTACCAGGGAGTGAACCCGAAGCCTTCAGATTTTATGGGCTGGAATTCATATTATTACTAAACTCAACTGTTTTTTTATTCATATAGTTGACTATAATCTAACTTTCTCTTCTGATTTCAATTTACAGAATAAATTAGATGATAATTTACAATCAGCCTTACTTGAAGATGATGTGTTTATCAACGAAAATTCTGATGTAGATAAGGTGAAATCACAGTGTGATGTCGACCATGAAGATGCTGAATTAGACACAAATCAACTCATCGAGCAATCAGAAAGTATTTCTGCTAAAGCAGTTAAAGGATGGGATGGTAGTAGTTATCTTCCGTCTACACGACAGTTCACGCTGAAATCATTAGAATTGAATGTATCATCACAAGATAGAACACCGAAATTTCCAGTGTTGTCAAGAACGAAAACTCTACCAAGTATTAAACGAAGACCTGGGTAATTATTATTACCATTATTATTATTATTCCGTTGGGTTTCGACTGGAATATAAGGCTTTATTAGCACATCTCCATTTCATCATATTTTGTACAGTCTTCTTCAGCTGGTTGCACGATTACCCATGAGCTCTCACGTCCTCTTCACACGATCTCCTTCGTGTCACTGCCGGAGATCGCACTCGTCGTAAAATTTTCTTTCTTAAACACAGGTGTTATTTAAAGTGATAAGACTAGGCTTATACAGCTTAGTGGTATTATTACTAACTGTAAGACTCCTTGATATTGTGGTACTTATTAATTTACAACACGATAGATTTAGAGAGTTGGAGGCAATTGGCAGGAAGCCTAGCCTGACCTAGGTTTCGTGCTAGTTGGCGTTCAACAGTCAGGAGGTGTATCTGCAGCACTGTAGGAACTCACATGACTTCTGAGATTAGAACCCGTGTCACCCAGTGCTCCAGTGAGAGACGTTAACAATGAGTTATCCGGACTCACAGTTGACCTCCTATGATTGACCCAGTGTCCCTTCAAGATTACAGATACGCCTTGCTGACTGGTGAGTGCCAACAAGCACGAAATCTAGGTCCAAGGCTTCCTGCTAATTGCCTCCAACCATCTAAGACTGACAATTCACAGAGCCCCGTAATGGCAAGCCACCTAGCCTGGTGGTGTGTCCACACTGCCAACTTGACTGACAGAATTCATTCTGCACTAAAGATAGGACTAGACACATTACACTAGTTACTGACTTGTGTCTAATGAAATTATATCATTGGAGTCATTGGAGATTTCAGGTATGTAACAAAAGCTTTGCTTATAGATCAATGAATACTTTCTTTATTCCAATGGACGTTTCATTAGTCGACGGAACTGATGTTTCAGAGTAGTTCTTCGATGTAAAGGTTTAAAATGAAGAATGCATAAACTGTGACTTGTAAATTTTTGAAAGTTTCAGTTCAAATATAAGACTGATAAATAAATTGGCAGAACCAAAGAATGCTATCCTCCTTCAAACAGTCAATCACTCTTAAGATATCTGGATTTTGTTGTAGTTCTCAACGAATGTTAAGCTTCGAACTTGGCTGTTGTGCAGGTTTACGCATATTCATTTTACCGAAGAAATGTCGATGTTAATGGAGCTTTTTTCCAGAATTCTGATATAACGCCAATAAATACTGTCTTTTTTCCAAGATAATACAACTATCTATAAACAGTGAGGCATCACTTCTTAAGGCTATGAATCTTCACGTTAGAAACCTGGAAGAATTTCCAGTTCACTTCAAACAACAACAGTGTCCGTGATTCCCCTGTTTTCCACTTTATGAGATTTTTGAAAGAGCTTTCTTTTCCCTCATTCAAACGCTCGAGGTAACCTCAAATTGTCCAACGAGAGAAAATTTCTATAGGTCGTACAACAAATTCGGGCTCTGATATTAGTAATATTATTAGTGTTCCCTTGACTTCCAAGTGGAAAATCGGGCTTTAGCACCATAGTGCTGTTCCAGTCTGTTCCCTGCTGTCATTGTCAGCAGGATTCACGAGGCTTCATTCCTTCCTCATGAGATCTCCTCCACATTACCATTAGATACTTAAGTCGTCATTTCCCATTCGGGCTCCACTTGTGGTTTCGCCAGAGGAGTGGTGCTACTTAGTGGTCTCCTCAAGATGTGTTTGTCAGGGGATAGGTTGTCGGTTGATTACTTGCTGGGGTTCCTTATCGCTTGTTCTTTCTGGTCAGTCACCTGATCTTCAGCTGTTGATGAAAGTCTGTACCAACTTCTTGGAAATCATATCCGTGAATAGCACAAAAGTCTCTGAACCACATAGATGCAGTGAGTTGACGTTTGTGTTGGAAATTGAAATTTCGCTTCATACGCTGAATTCATCAGATTTCTACACTGATTTCAGAATAATGAACGTTTGCCTTACTTTTCCCACAGTATAAATTTTTTTATGAATATTCCTAACGTTACAATTTAACTCTAACACAATGGACTACTTATTTTCTCAGTAATGAAACAATATTGTCACAGTATCATTGATACATAAGTTTTACCCTATGTTACCTTTTCATTTATATTTAGAATGAATTCCAGGAAAGCATCAATGACTATCTCGAATCCAGTTCATGTACGCGGGAAACGATTTAAGTCAGACACAGATCAACCAACTTCGGAGTCTTCATTTAATCTACCTCCAATTACTTCAAAATCAAAATACCCAGAAGCTGAGATAGAAACCAACAAAGAGAATGTGGATAAAGCATGTGATGAAGAACACCAAAGAGATACAGAAAATGACGGTGATGAGAACTATGCTGACAGAGAGTTTGATGAAACCACAGTGATCAGTATTGAGCATGGAATGTCGTTCAATACACCAACAAAATATTCTTCAGAATCTTTAACTAAACTACCTTATTTAACAGGTGAATTTTGACAACTATGTATTTATATATTTACATGTATGCGTAGTGTAATTACGACCATTATGCGTCTTTGATTCGATAATGCAATGCTCTCCAGATACGTTGGATGTTTAGGTTGTATTCCTGGCTGACGTATGCCTACACCTCTCTAAGTTTACTAGCTGTAGGTAAGCATGGAGAAGCGAAAAGACTGAGCTAGTAAACCTTTGAAAATCGAAACTCCACTGCTGAAGCCTCAAATCTTAAAGCCGGATATTCTACACAGAATTAAAAACATGAGTGGTAGGTGCCTATTTGAATAGAACCTGTGTTTACCGACTCAAATGACATGCGTGAGAATCGAACATTTAGGAGAATTCACTGTCACAACGTTTTGGTTCTTAGTCCTGATATATTTTTATTTAGCCATTCCGTAGTTCGACTAGAAAACTTAGCATCGCAGTTCACCTGGGATTATTATCAGGTAGTCGAAGGTTGAAGTATCCTGAGACTCAGGTTTTCAGCCTACTTACATTTTTGAGCATATGGAATCCATCACGTCGAATTAGAATCATTATACAATATAGTAACAAGTGATTCAGCCAGGAATCTCTTTTCAACGGATTCATTTCACGTTTGATCATGGATTGATATCAGTTAGAGAACTGTTTCATCCTGGTGTGGGACTCATCGGCAGCATGCACCCACCAGGTTTTCACAACTCAGGACCTTCCGGTTTACTCGGTCAGGAGTGAAGACAAATACTCACCAGCAGTGACACTGGCTGGCGACGGCTAAGCTAAATTGTAACGACAGAAAGTAAGACACGGAAGCCAAGATATATTTTCAAGGGGTCAAACCACCATTTGTATCTATACAGTTTATATTCGTTAGCTAATCACTAAGCATGTGATTTTGGTTAAAATTAAACAACATGAAACAGAATGTCCAAATACATATTTAGTATTCTGTTGCTAATGCAGTATTGAACTGTCGGAATGAGTGACGATAATATTCCGTCGGAACACGTTGTATTTATCAAGCCACCACACTCATGTCCCCATCAAATACTTTCGGCTGAAGTTGGTTCGGTCTTCTTTGTTTGTTTGTCTTGCTGTATCGAGTTCAGGGGCTCACTGAAATTCACTCGCTTCTCTTTCCTTGTACTTCTAACGGTATATGCTTGACCTCATCTCGCGGTGACCGTGTATGGTCCTTCCCATTTTTGAAGCAATTTGCGTAACTCTGGCGCAGGTGTGTTTCACCTCACATTATCATATGCTGCCTTCACCTGACCTCTCAGTAGCGTTTCAAGTAAAAGCCTCCTCGCTGATAATCCATAGGAAAACGCAATATGTATTACACCACCACAAAATCACAAATTGTTAGAAGTAAGAATCCATGGGCTATTGAGTCCAGTTCCAATGGCTGGATGTTCTACGAGCTTGAATTGTAACCAGAAGGCCCTGGGTTGGAACCCTGGCAGTAGCTGCATACTGTCGATGAATTCCCTGCCGGGACTGCCCAGTGGCTTCTGCTGGTTCTCTAACTGATACCAATCCGTGACCAAACTTGAAACAAATCAAGTCCCTACAAACAAGCTGTTGAAAATGAATTTGTCATCAAGTTGTACAGTCGTATATATTTATGACGTTTTTCAAGGGAATCGTGACACAAAGAATAATTGGTTGTGTACCTTATAAAATCGTTCATGAAATACATAAATTTGAAAGAGGGGTATAGAAATAATAAGTTTAGTAAGCAGTTGAAACATTACTCAATAGGGTGATAATTATAATAAGACAACATTGCAAAAGAAGCTGTTTTTGAATTAAATAAATAAAGGTGATAGGTGAGATAACGCAGAGAATTGTTCAAATTGCAATTAATAATGACGATCAAAATGATTAGGGAAGGATATACAAATTAAATAGACAAAAGGAAAAAATAAGTAGGGCCAATTTATGAATGAGGATTACTACACTTTAGTATAGATGGATTAAGACCATGAAAGATGAAGTGGTTGGACAAACATTTTCTTTATATAGAGATCTAGCTTTTATATTTCGATAGTGAAAGCTTCATCAGTGCAGATGAATCGGATACATAATGACGTGAGCAGGTGGTTTTTCGCCTTGTAGATAACTTTGAAGGAAGTGACTGCAGAAATAAGGTGACGAGTATGTGGATCATATGTTCAACTCTTGCGTTTCCTATAAACCTAATTCCACCTCTTCGTAACCACTTAGGATAGTATTTTTGCACCCTTTTGCATGAAACCAGCGTCGAATGACCGATTGGCCTAGCTGCACAAGGGCATGTGAACTGATAAATGGACATATGTAATGTTTGTCCTTGAGGAATCTAGACCTACATCATAAGGTGGTTTAACCACTATTGTTTCCGGTAAGTTTTGCTGATGATCGCCGATAAGGACAAAATTCAAGCTCAACCTCTTCTTCTCGATTATCCCCATTCACCCAGTGTCAGATTTATAAACTTACTTTTATTGAGAAGAAAATCCGGCATAGCCTTAGTTTGCCAGAATGATGTTCATCTGATGAGTTGATTATGTAACTTGTGGATTTGAATAACTCACCCAAGTGTTGCTGATGCAGCTCTCTCATAGCCTATTCCGTAGAATATCGACCCTACAGCTTAACGATCTCTAAAGCAAACAATATAGCAACTATTGATACTATGTTAGTGATCTTTTAGCTATCATGTCAGCGTCTATTCCTGTCGATCAATGATTCCTGTATAGTTCAGCAGTAAAATAAAGCTTCATGTAATAGCTTCTCAATGTAAGTCATTAAGTAGGCAGATAGAACATTGAGCTAATTTGTTTGTCAGTGACTGGCAGTAGAATCCCGTAGACACATCTCGTCCTATTTGAGTCTCATCAACTGAATGAACTTGCATTCCCATTTATTGATGTGTTCCTACTGAGAACAGGACCATGTAACCATCATTCAAACATCGTCTCTCAGTAAGAAATGTTGACACATCCAGTTGACGAGTCCTGTATTGGACGAAATACGCCTGCTGAATTCCACTGCTTGTCACCATCAATCAGAACTAATTCACATGAAACCTTGGACACCGTCGAAGCGTCCGTACTAAGAGTCGACATGTCAACAGAGACCGAGTACTTCAGTTCAAGACAACCAATCAACAGGAAATACAAATATTAATCTCAACACAAATAGGGTACTGAGTTATTCTATAGAATCATCGAAATAAACAAGAAGGATGTTGGCGGAAGGAGTACGCTGGATTCAGAAAGCTTTTGTTAAACCATATGTCACGGAGATAGCGATAATAATTTAACAGTTTCCTCATATATTAGACTAACTGCCTTATTTACTACTTTGCCCCTAACTCCGACACTCTTCACACCACACTAAAACTAACTCTCTATATTTCAAAATACAGTGTAAAATAGCCTAAATGTATAGTGCTATATACTACTAATTGAGTGCTTTGAGTAGGTGGATACCACTGAAACACCAACCAATAGTGGTGATTGCTAGCCAGCCAGTCAGATCGAAGTTATCTAAACACTGTTTGGGATGCAGCTGATTACAAGTTTACCCAGTTTCACTCAGTCCAAGAAACTAAATCACTTGGAGCCACCTGAATGCTGGCCAGCTACTTGCAGTTTACGTGGCTCAACTAGGTGAAATTTCATCATGGTTTCCACTAGAAAGTGGAATTACTCAGGCATCTATTTGGGACCGTAATTGGCAATTAAGAAAGCAATTATAAAGTCATGAGGTCACATACTACTGTTTATGTTAGTCAGTAATGTATGCCTAGAATCAGTCCAGTAATGACTGAGCTCAAATTTACAGTGTACGGTAAAGTTAGTGTGTTAGAAAATTTTAAAAATGCATCAAATCTGTGTATACAATGACACTTTCAATCTTTCGCTTTTTTGTTTATTTGTAGAACTACCGCTCATAGCTCGTCCCGTCGTTATGCCGACTTCTAGTATTGAAATATCACTACAAGGTTCGTTTGTATTCATAGTATTCTAACTTTTTTCAGAGAGTGGCATTGATTATTCATCCCCCTAGACATTATTACTCATGGTCACTGAGTAATGGAAAGTTTTAGGGGAAAATGAATCACTAGACAAGCTTTCACTTTCATCAATTCATTCTCTTGTTGATCCTTTGGGAAACTGCCTCTTCATTCAATGGAAGACGAATAAAGGCTTTCTTCGCTTTAACCCAACTTTAAGATGGCTGGTATAGGATATCCGCTATTTCCATGATGTGCGTTGGTGGTTCCCTGGTAGAATTCTTGCAAACCGCTTGCCTGATTGGAGGTTCGAATCCCAACCAACACACTTCTAAACCTTGCTTAGTTGGTAGTAAGTCTGAGAAAAGGGAAAGTGTCGGGGTGAGGCTCGCATCCCCTTTTCAAGCATTGGCTTGTAGGGATTTTGATTGATTGATTGATTACAAGATTTAAACATGAGCTGACATCGGTTAGACAACCGTTGGAAAAACAGCTGGAAGTACTGGACAGCTGTTTCGTCAGCCTAGTTTAGGACTCTTAACAGTACGCACCCGCAAGCAGGGTTAGAAACCGGGACCTCCTGGTTACAAGGCTAGCGAGCTCGTAAACCGATAAGCCACTTGGACCCGATCAAATGACCCATGAATTACAACTTGGGTTGTGTCCCAGTCGCCTGATGGTCTAAGAGCTTGCTAGCCTTGTAACCAGAAGGTCCTGGTTTCGAACCCTGCCGGTGGGTGCGTACTGTGAAGAGTCCCAAACTAGGCTGATGAAACAGCTGTCCAGTACTCCCAGCTGGTTTTCCAGTGGTTCTCTAACCGATGTCAGCTCATGATTAAATCTTGTAACCAATAACACCACTGCAACTGAAACTTCAAAGCACAGATCTTGAAGCCGTATGCTGCACTTGGAAAGCATAAGAATAAAAAACTGTCTCTTTGTCGTTTCTCAACAATGATGAATCATTATTTCAATGTGTTGGGTGAATATATCTTTCTGGCTTTGTAATAAAGTGTCTTTACTAATCTTTACTCATGTCTGAATGGAAGTAAAATTATAACTCCGCTCCAAATTTCAGTAATATAGCCTGCAGAACCACACGACGTACATGTTAACGATAACTCTCCAGTGTCAGTTTGCTGATCTGACTATTAATGCTTATTTGAAAACAGGATGAGTATTTCCTGTAATTTTCCAAACGGTGGGACCAACTATTATAATGAAAGGTGGGCGACTACTGTAAGTATAAACCGTAGATGTACTATATTCTCGAAGAAGTCTAAATTATAGATAAGCCAAGGTTTCCAAGTGATGGAGACAGAGAAGGTGCGACACTCAAGTACACCATCCTCAATCAACTTAACATATAAATTTGTTATGCTAATTTACTACTTAAGTGTCTAGCCTAGATACTTCATGTATCAACTAAGGAATCCCGACTGATCGTATGAAAATCTGAGATGCTGCTGGTCTACACTAAAAGTTCTTCGAATAGATTTTTCTCAACTGATTGGTTATTGTTTAATTTGGTATATCACTTTTGAATTGCACTTTTATATAAACAGGCTTCTTGTTAGAGGACAAGGAATAATTCCTCCATGCTCTCTTCACCATATGTTTCTAGATGAACTTTTCCGGATCACAGTTTTCAATAAATGTGTCATATGCAGTCGTTTTTGGTTCAGTGGTAGAATGATCGCCAACCACGCAGGTGGTGTGGAGATTGATCCTAGGCCGACACATCCTTAAACCTCTTCTAGGCTATAGTTAGGCTGGTAAAGAGGAAAGGTTGGGCTTGAGGCTAGCGACGCCATCCGGTAAAAATAAAAAACGCCACAGCTACCGAAACTTCAGAGCTCTACCTTGAAGCCCTATGTTCCACTTGAGAAGCAAAGGAATGGAGAAAAAAGTGCCATCTTAAGTTCATCCACAGCCACATCTTCTGGATAAGTAGCTCTCACCCTATATTTGAGGATCCTTACCAAATCCCTTTATGTACTTGTGGGTGGGAGGGGGAAACAAAGCTATGAAAATGTGTATATTCTTCTGTCTATGTATATTTCTGCTGGAAGTTCCTTGCTATACTACCGTCTGGTCTTCTTGTCAGTGGGATGTCCATGAATACAGTTTTACGTTGGGTTTCTTTGTGACACATGTATTTGATAGCTGAATGTACTTCATTGAATTAATATATCACTACGCACATCTCCAAATCATTTTCACATGGAATGAATGTATCATCCTTATATTGGCAGTATTATTTCTTTCTTTTATTTCTTTATATTTCCGGTGGAACATAGGGCTTCAAACTGGAGCTTGAAGTTTCGGTAGCAGTGGTATTTATTTTAACGAGATGGGGTTGCTAGTCTCATGCCCAACCTTCCCACTTTACCAGTCTTATAACTGGCTTAGTGAGGTAAAGGAGTGCGTCAGTTGGGGATCAAAACCCGGACTACATATGGCACTCTACAGTTGTGCCACTGATGCCCGTATCGGTAATAAAGTGGGAATTTTCAGATAATATATAAATCTACCGAAATGTGACCCACTAAGGATCGCATTGTCAGTCCACCTACTTTTCCGTCGAGTCCACCATCAAATTTAAAATTTATATTCATGGTGGACTTTAGTATCAGTTCTTTATAGGATTTCTGTTGGGATCCCAATATTTAGTTGTTTACATAGCTATTTAACCGTTTCAATCAGAGGTACATTTGTAAAATAAAGATGTTACGTCGAAAGATATACCACAGTCTTTAATTGTGTCTGTGAATGCGAACACATCTTTCACAATATCTTTTACTATCTGTCAATATAAAGGTTTTAGCATAGTTGTCAACCATTTAGCTAAAGCATGGTAGGGCGAATTTTGCATCTATAGAGTCGATCTTAACAGTACTCCAGGCTTATATACTTTGGATTTTCTTTTATCCTTTCACGTTCCCAGTGGAACATAGGGCTTCAAGCTAGAGGCTTGAAGTTATTTTTTTACGGGATGGGGTTGCTAGTTTCATGCCCAACATTCCCTTTTTATCAGTCTTACTATTGGCTTAGCGAGGTAAAGGAGTGCGTCGGTCTGGGATCGAACCCCGAACTATGTGCATGGTCGGCGAGCGTCCTAACCGCTGTGCGACCAACGCATGTATATACTTTGGATAAGCCATAATAATCTCAATGCGTATGTACCCATGAGTGTGAGCTCCTCATATACACACACCAATATCTTGTATACTTAAATACATTATTTTTAAATTGTAATAAAATATTATGGGACCATATCTATTACTTTTCTGTTACAAAGGTTTAAACGAAAGCCGACCTGGAGAACGTCGTGTGATGAATCACATCCATGGTCCAAATGATGATGATGATGATGATGATAACGATGGTCATACTGAAGATGAAAATATATCATCACAACGAAAAAGTAAAACAGATACTACAAAAGTTGTCAGTGCTGTTGTCAACAAGCCACGACAAAGTATCACTATAAACCTTGAACCAAATCTTCCACCGATTCAAACGAAACGAGATTTCAGCTCAGCTCAGGAAACTGTACGTAAACATTCGCTAACACTACCGTTGAATAAATCCTCTGGCAAAAGTCGGTTGAGCAAGACAGCACGTATTGATGAAAAGGATGTACTGTTCGCTTTTATGCCGACAAATCAAACTGATAGACCAGTATACGCATCAACAGAAAGAGAACCTAAAGTTCAACCAAAAAGTAGGTTGTTAAAATTCAAATTTAACACTATGCAACAAAAAATTGAGCAAGGAATATCCTTTTCGATAATTTCCCTTTCTGGCTTTACAATTATATGCGTATGTTTATACAAATAGAATACTCTAGAATAATGATCATTAACGATATTGGTGATTTTTAAATATTATCGATTTGTTGAATAAGATGAATGCAATTATAGTTTAAGAAAGACGCTTAAATTGTAATAAGCATATAAATGTAATAGTAAATAGAATATTAAATAAAACAAAAGAAATTTCTACAAAAAATTGAGGATCATTCGAACCTAGATGGCTGCCAAGGTAAGGACAATGTTTGAACTAGCTTCTTTTGGACACATAAATTAGGCTTCTTAATATGGATCCCAACAGCCAGAGTCAGCAATATGTAGTAGACGAACTCTTAAGGCGAAGTTAAGATTAGTTGGTATGCGGTAAATGACTTTGGAAGGTGCCTCGTTCACATCAGTCTTGTGTTCTGTATGCACAAGATGAGACAGAATAGCGCTGCAGATAGATTTTGGTTTGTCCTTTACTTAACCACTTTGCAGGATGGTGTTCGGAAATCCGACGATAAGCACGTTTAATTGTATGGTTTAAGTAATTGACTCAACGGGAGCAGTCGAATTGGTAGATACTCATAGAAGAGGTGAAATTAGGTAGTTTATCTTTTATTCCCGAACGCAAAATAGTGGTGGTTTTGAAGACACGGCGTAGCTCAGCAGCACTGAATGCTATTTTTATCGCATTCCCAAGAGTTATGTCACTATCTCACTGATGTTATCCCCAAGGAGCTGAAGTTGTGGGAATAAGCCCTTTTTAGGGATTGTTAGTACCTTGGGATACCTTGATTTCTGATTCATATTCTTATCGACAAATTTTTCTGGATAACCGTTCTCACTCAGCAACTGTTTAATAATATTAAGCTCTTCATTGAGACATTCATCATAGTAGATTGCTCTTGCACTGTGTACCAAGCACTTTATCAGATTGCATTTGTATTTCAAAGGCTCGAAGCTGAAAAAATGATTATCCTGACAGTCAGTTGATGTAGGTTTTCTATATTCCCTTCTTCTTATATATATATTTTGAAAATAATCTTTTGCTCTCTCTCTTCCTCCTATACTGTTTTCGCTAAGCTGAAAACTTTGTACAAAGAAGACAGCGAATATTACAGACAACTGAGGAGGATGTGGCGCCACAACCAGTCGATTCTCCAAGAAGAACATGGAAATCTGTAAAGGAGAATGTCACAGCTTTGAATCAAACTGTTAAAAGAGGTAATTACAATTTCGGCCGTTAGCATCCATACTGATTATTTAATATCTCAAATGGATTCTAAAAAGCTGCAGACTGAGTAACCATTTAATATTTACCAGCTTCTATGATAAAAAAGGCGACGTCGATGATTGTCTACCTACCTAACTGGGAAGCATCGTTTCAAATACAGGCGGACGGAGCTGACGAGGATATCAAAGCAAGAATCCGAAAAGTAAGACAAACTTTCACTACTCTCAAGTCTGTGTGGAGGTCAACAGCACTACTTCAGCATCAAAAATAAGATCCGGATTTTCAACTCCAATGTGAAGTCAGTCAGTGCTACTATACGGATCAGAGACTTGCACTGCGCGTCATAAAGAGCATCTCAAACAAACTACAGACCTTCATTAACAGTTGTCTTCGCTCAATACTCAAGATCAGATGGCCAGAAAAGGTGAGCAACAGAGATCTCTGGCAATGAGCGAACCAACGCAACAGGAACCGATTGTGAAACAAATGGCCAGGAAGAAATGGAGATGGATTGGCCATCCTCTGAGGAAACCATCAAGTGACATCACTAGACAAGCTCTTGAGTAGAACCCGAAAGGGAAGCGGCGAGTTTGTCTTCAGTGCAAGGGTGACTTGGAGGAGGTTATGTGAAGAGGAGATGAAAGTGTGTGGGCAGACTTGGAGCCAAGTGAATACTCTAGCAGAAAACCGAATGCAATGGAGACGCACAGCTGAAGCCCTATTTTTCTCTAGGAATTAAAGCAAATAATAATAATGACCGCAGGTTTTTGTCGCATTCCCCTGATCGTGATTATTATTATAGTTACTAATCCTTCCTTGTTTTACGGGTGGAACATAGGTCTTCTGCAGTACACCTTCATTGTACTCGGTTAACCTTCAGGATTTTCAACTGGCTTAACGATTGCGCATGATCTTCTTTATATCACCCTCAGAGTCATGCCCGACTTGTGGCTTACCATTAACGTCCCACTCTGGGGCTTACCAGGCGTGTCATATCATTAGAATGTCTTCACAGTGTCTGTGTTCAACCCATTTATATTCCCTGCTGCATATTTACTAGGTAATAAGTCGTTAACTAGCTATCTATCAAAATACAACTAAATGTCTTTATATCACTACTCTACACACTTGAAGCAGGCAGCTGAGGTATTCGCTTCGTCTTTTTGATGGTCATTTTCTGAATATCAAAGTGTAAAGAATAGAGAATTCTTCAGCATGTGTGCATGTGTGTGACTAGGATCTATCAACTAAAGTAGTGACGAGCTGACTGAGTTTTACACCACTAATTCTACTGACTACCTTCAACATCCTTCTCAGGATGGCATAGTCCTTTTTCAGTAGACCAGGAAAGATTAACGGGGAGCAGTAAAGTAGAATAGGTAAGATACAAGAGTTGACTATTGTGAAAGTAGAGGTTGGGTGATTCCAGATTGTCTAAGTTTCCTAATGTAGTAGGTAAGACAGAACACTTTCTTAGAAATCATTAGGATATGAGATGTCCAAGTAAGGTCGGAGGATAGAACTAGACCGAGGTATTTAGCATTAGACTTAGTTTCAATTTTAGTCCCCTCAATGCCCCAGTCTTCATGAGAACTTACTAGTGTTTGTAGATCTCTTTTATGCCTAAGGGAGAAGTCAATGGTCTGGCATTTCGAGGGATTCAGCATGAGACCATTTAGTTTGGACCACTCACTGATGTCCGACAGGAAGCTATTTAATTTGAGACAGTCTGACTGAGACTTAATGGGAAACGATACAGACAGGTCATCTGCATATTTGACGAAGTTGATTTCATCTGAGAGACGTAAATCATGTAAGAAGAAGGAAAAGAGAAACGGAGAAAGAACAGCACCCTGAGGAACTCCAGCTTCAGTAAGAAAAGGAGAGGAAGATACATCATTATATACCGTGTACTGCATCCTATTAGAAAAGTAAGAGTGTAGCCAGTTGATAGCCCAGGGCTCAGTTTGTGCAGGGCTAAGCTTGTTTAACAATAGGCCTCTAGGTACAGAGTCGAAAGCAGATGTATAGTCAAGGAACGTACAACGGACATACTTGGCCCCTATGTCTAAGGAGGATACAATGTTGTGATGAAACACAGCAGCAGCGTCCAAAGTACTTTTACCCTGTTTGTAAGCAAACTGCTTTGGATCGTTTGAGAAACTTAGGGAGGGAACAAGTTTTAGTAACAATAGTTTTTCCATTAGTTTCAAAAAAGGAGAGGTAATAGCGATAGGTCTAAACTTAGCATTGAAAAAGGCCAAAAGAAAAAGAATTGTGAAACTAGTAATAATAACATAAATAAGAGAGAATTCAAGTCATCTACAGTTATACCATATAAAGAGGGGCATCTGAGACACTACGTAGGATTCTCAATAAAAGAGGAATTAGGGTAGCATTTAAACCTACAAACTCACTCAGGAAGGACAAGCTCTGTAGGTTAAAGGACCCAGTTGATCCAATTAGACAAAATAATATAATTTACAAAATACGCTGCAATGACTGTGAGGTCAACTACATATGTCAGACTAGTAGGTCAGGGGTAGTCAGATTGTCAGAACATAAGAATTTAGCTAAGGTAAGAATGGTTGACCCAGAGAAGATAAGTAATTTAGAAAAACCTCAGTACGGCATTGCAATGCATGCATTAACACACAACCATGCAATAGGGTGGGAGAGGGTTAAAATTCTAAAAAGTAATCTAGGTAGGTGGAGAGAGAGGTTGATTACTGAATCCTTGTTCATCGAATCTACACCCAACACATGCAATAGGAATGATTCATCACTCATACCCGAAATATGGAAAATACTACTACCAATCAAATCAAGTGAAAAACAACGGAACTGTATAAATGAATTTAGGAAGTCGTGTGATTACCTTGCTATGATTATGAGCAGTAATAAATTGTGCTCGAAACGTCATCAGTAAACATTACTGTATAACACTGTGAGACTTTATCAAAACAAAATTTACCCATGATGGAATTACACTGTACTACAGTGCACAAGTTTTACTCTTATATCAATGAAGCCGGTGCCTTTTCACGCGTCAGAGACTTGGTGTGACACGAAAGGCAGTTCCAACAGGCTTCTGAAGTTCATCAACAGCTGTCTTGACTGGATATTGAAAATCAGTTATCGGACAGGAAAATAAGCAACAACGAACTCTGACAGGGAACTAATCAGCCAAGAACCTATTGCTCAACACCTGCTGAGAAAACCATTGAGTGATATCATGTGATGGGTAGGCCCTCACGTGGAACTTAAACAACGAACAGCGTGAGTTGGACGTCCTAGGGTGGCATGAAGGAGATCATGTGAGGAGGAGATGAGAACTTATGGGCGGTTGTGCAACCAGCTAAAAACGACTGCAGATAACAGGATGAAGTGGAGATGTCCGTGCCGAAGCTCTATGTCAGTCACAACCTTTGTCGATGACTACTGTTACTTCATTTAATATAAAAAACAGACTAAATCATGATATATTAAATTATTATTATTACTGTATTCTTTAATTCCTAGAGGAACATAGGGCTTCAGCCGTGCCTCTCCATTGCGTTCTGTTCTCTGCTGGAGTCTTCACCTGGCTCCATGTCTGCCCACACACCTTTATCTCCTCTTCACATGACCTCCTCCAAGTCACCCTTGCACTGACGACCAACTCTCCGCTTCCCTTTCGGGTTCCACTCGAGTGATGGCTTGTCTAGTGATGTCACTTGATGGTTTCCTCAGAGTATACCTCAGATTATGGCCAATCCATCTCCATTTCTTCCTGCCTATTATTTTCACAATCGGTTCCTGGTTGGTTCGCTCATTGCCAGAGATCTCTGTTGCTGATCTTTTCTGGCCGGCCATCTGATCTTGAGTATTATGCGAAGACAACTGTTAATGAAGGTCTGTAGTTTGTTTGAGATGCTCTTTATGACGCGCAGTGCAAGTCTCTGATCCGTATAGTAGCGCTGACTGACTTCACATTGGAGTTGAAAATCCGGATCTTATTTTTGATGCTGAGTACTGTTGACCTCCACACAGACTTGAGAGTAGTGAAAGCTTGTCTTGCTTTTCGGATTCTTGCTTTGATATCCTCGTCAGTTCCGCCTGTAGTTGAAACAATGCTTCCCAAGTAGGTAAAGGAGGTAGTTTCTTTCAGGTTCCTTCCATTTATGCTGGTTGTTGTCTGTTGTTGTTGTTGCTGTTGGTGGTGTTGCCCAGGAATCTTCATTACCTCTGTTTTCTCTTTGTTCATCTGAAGTAAGTCCTATCTTTGATGCTTCTTCTGCCAACTTGTTTCTTTTCGCTTGCATATCTTCCAGCGTTTGTGGGAAATCAGACATATATCATCGGCAAAGTCCAGATCCTCCAAGTTTTTTTGTGTGAGTCCATTTTATACCTGTTTCCTCATTGCCCGTTGTTTGTCGCATTATCCAGTCTACTGCAATCAGGAAAATCATTGGCAACAGTAGGCAGCCTTGTCTTACTCCTGTCCTCACTTCGAAGGATTCCGTAAGTTTCCCGTTGTGGATTACTTGGCATGCAGCTCTGTCGTACAGCTGTTGGATGAGATGTATAATTGTCTGTGGCACCCCGTAGTAGCGAAGTAGTTGCCAAAGCACCTGTCGATCGACGCTGGCTGCCGAAGGCCTTTTCAAAGTCGGTGAAGTTGAGATATAGAGGTGACTGCCATTCCAAGCTTTGTTCAATGATGATCCGTAATGTGGCGAGCCGATCAATACATGACTTGTTTCTCCTGAATCCAGCCTGTTCCGGTCGTCAGTTAGATTACGTCAGTCAATTTGCTGATTTAATCTTATTTCATTTTCGAACCCATTAAAGGAAATTTTTATCTAAAATTTATAATTCTAATGACAAATCTTTGGAAATGTTCATTTTGTTGTTAAGAGAATTTACTATTGTATATATGCGATTGTACAGCTTGAGAATGATATTGACAAAAACAGAGGAACTCTTCGCTGAACGCCTTTTCTCTTATATGACTCAGTGGGGGGTTTTATGTTTGGAAGGAATCAATATGGAAAGCACATCAGTTAACTCATCATCTTCTTGGAAACTTAACAGTGCATAACAGTGCAACGGTGTTCATTGGTGACTCAATTTTAAAATTTAGTTATGATGTGATGCTTCACAAAGAGACTCGATTGCTTTCAAGGTTGATCACCGATGAACTCCGTTTGGAGGAACATTAAAAGGCAAGGATCATGAGACAGCTACCTTGTTCTTGGTTGGGATTCCTCAATAGTGCGTACGCATTACCACACCAGGAATCGAACTGAGGACTGTCAGATTATAAGGTAAACTTGTTGACCCTTAACGCTGTGTATATCTCGAATTAGACATTAGATTACGTCTCAGGGGTTGAGTAGTTGAATGCACTTTTATTGTGATGTAGTTGTGTCCTCTCAGCTGGATAGTTTATCTGTGAAGCTTTCATCGCCCTACTAGGCAACATCTTCAGCGCATATACTTCAATTTGATGAAGTGAGCTTTTAGATTTCTCCACGAGTTTATTAGTCATCTTTCTTGGTGGTGACCTTGAACAGAGTCTTGATTGGTTGTTTCTATGTGTTTTCACATGCTCTAGGCTACTTGTATTGGAACTGATTGTTTTCCTGACTTGAACTTTGACCCTTTGTGTGGGAGATTTCCTTCTCATCGATTGGTAAATTTTGTCTGTGTCAATGTGTATATTGATAGACGATTCACTGGAATATCAGGCTTCTAAAAGTTCTCTAGCATTCTTGGTGTTTCCTCTGTCTAATATCTGAACGTTGTTCCAGTCGAATTGATGTTCGTGGTTGTCTGTATGCAACGATATGAGGGAGTAGATGTCATATCTTTTGACAGCTAGTTTATATTCATGGATACGAAGACGAAGGGGACATCCACTTTGGCCAGTGTTGTGGTTTTCTCAGTTGTTACAATTTATTATATAGATGATGCTGGTTTTATATTCTTTCGTTGTTGAGTCTTTTGTTTTGATACAGAGCCAGCTGAGTGAAGTGATTTTGTTGGTTTGTGTGCTACATCAATTCCTAAAGGTGTGAATTGTACTGTCATGATTTCTGAGATGTCCCTTATATATGGTAGGGTGATTTTCTATGTGCTTTCCTTGGTGGCCTTTTATTTGGTTGGTTGGCTTGGGGTGGATGTCTTTTCATGAAGTTTCGTGGATTCCATTCTTTTGGAAGACGTCCATGAGATATCTTTCTTCAATTTTCCTTAGGGAAAGAGTGCTGCAATGAGTTCCGGCCCTCATGAATAGTGTTTGCAAACAATTTCTTTTGTGTGTTATTGGATTGTCGCTGTTGTAATTGAGTATTTGGTTCGTGTGAGTTGACTGTCTATAAACTTGACTTTCTAATTCTCCTGTGATTGTTCACTTGACTAAGATGTCCAAAATTTTATTGTAACCTGAACGTACCGGATTCGGTCACCAAAATAAGACGAAACTATTTTCCAGTACCGGCTAGTTTTCAGTGGTTTCGTAAATGAAGTCACTTAGTGATCAGTTATTAAAATTTAGCTCTTATCATTTGTAATTAGAGATATGAATTAATTTATTTTACATTTTAGCCATTAGGCCAGCACCTAATCCAAACGATTTCTGCATGACAGTATGGAGTTATCAAGAAGTGAAACAGGAGGAAGGTAATTGTGTTTTTTGCTTATATTTCAATCATAATATTAATAATAAACGTTTTTATTTGGATAGATTATCATGAAATAGCAATAACTATCATTCTTTTTCCTGTAAACTTCATTTATAAATGAAATCCAAATATATCTGAGGGTAAAAGTTTGTATTTTGGGTAGTTAATATAATTCCTAAGTGTAATGACATTTTGAAACCGAACAGAAATCAGTTGATCGAGGACTGGTAACTAATAACAACTGGCATCTCCCTCTCTCTCTCTCTCCATCTCTCGTTTTCTTCGCAATCCCAGCAACTGGATATCACTTAACCACACATTAGGCTGCAAACTTTGAGATGAATCCATATGAGAATTGACGTTGTGAAGATTCATCTAAATTTCCAAGGAGGACAAGAATAAGTAACGCTAACGCTATACCGTATCAACCTTTTTTGGAGGTGAAAATCATATCCTACTGTAACGATAGAAGACAAGGGCCAGGCAACAGATCATTTATTGAGAAAATCAACAGATATTTATAGCTTTTCATGTACATTATCATTCGTTATTATTAGCACAGAAACAGTGTTATCTGATTGCTTGTTTTCTCGCTGAAAGTTATTTTGTCATCTCTTTGTGGTCATTTTTTTGAAGGTCAGACCACATATCTGCGAATCGTATCCTCCCACGCAAAGTCTGCTGTGAGTGGTTGCTGAGTTAGTCTTTGTTCTTGTTCTTTCCTCATGACTAAGGTTTGGGACGTAAATTGCTGTGTACTACAGAAACTTCAAGCCTCTAGCTTGAAGCCCTATGTTCCACTGGAAACGTGAAGAAATAAAAAAATTTTTGGCTAGCAGACAGTGCTTACCACACTACTATATTAAGGATGATACTCTAATCCTTTGTGAAAATGAATTAGATAGACTAGTAACGATATCTCAATTCAATGAGCTGTATCCAGCTGTCGAGTTCAAATGTAAAGAATCCCAAAGTAAAATTGACTTCTTCAACACACTACTCACAAGAAAATCATATAGTAGTATAAAATATGCACGCTTTCACAACTTTGTTTCCTCTTCAGTACAAAGTAAGTTTGGTTAGAACCCTTAGCTATAAGGTTACAGCTAACTATTCAGAAGCTGAGATTGAAGACGAACTTAAGATTGAATATTACACTGTAACTAAAAACATCCATGCAAGAAAGTTCATCATGAAACATATCGCCAGGAAGGTGGAAAAGGATGTTTCTGTATCTACTAACAAGTAGCCATTATATAAGAGTGTGCGATTCAAATGTGATTTACTAAGTAAAACAATAACCTGCAAGTTGAAAAAAATGGATTTTAAGAACTTTTAATGCCGGTAAGATGCATTCAAGCTGTCAGAACCAGTCACATTGGCCGTCGCTCAAGGTCTTATTTTCGGGAACACCTACCAGTATGCATAAGCGAAGATGTAGTTAAAGTAATCAACAGGTTCTATCACCTTCTCCAAAAAGGTCATAAAGCTAGTATTCAAGAATCTCTTTCTATTATCTATAATGTACCATATCTATTACCACAAGCCTCCAGACACCGAATATTTGAAACGGGAAAGGCCACTGTAGTTCTTCTAAAACAAGCGAAGGTCTACAGGCGAAAGAAGGAGTTCCGGTCACTATTACTACGATCGTAGCCTTCTGTGTAACCCACAAATTCATGAAATCTATGTTATTTTTCTTAATTATCTGGTATTCAGTTCAGTGCTACATTTAAACTCATCATCACTTACAGACGACTTTGAGATGATTCTGCATTAAAAACTAATTACTCTTAACCCAGTGAGTATTCAGGATTGTCTTAATTAATATTATCAACTACCGTTAGCTAAGTGATACATGTTTTCAAATAAACAATAGCGTTATGAATTATTACAATAAAAGTTTTAAATGCAGCATTAGATTACAAATAGGTAGTATAGCTAGTAGTGCGTCGGTGGCTTAGCGGTATAATATTTGCCAGCCACGCCATATGTGATCCGGGTTTCGATCTCCTGCTGACGCACTCCTTTACCTCACTAAGCCACTAATAAGAATATCAAGGAGGGAAGGTTGAGCATGTGGCTAGCAAACCCACTGCGTAAAAAGAAAAACCACTGCTACAGAAACTTCAAGGTTCTAGCTTGAAGCCTCCTGTGTTCCACTGGGAACGTAAAGGAATAAACCTAAAAAACAAAATATAGCTGGTAGTGGAAATGAGGATGCACATTTCGTCCTATTTGAGACTCGTCATCTGGTTGTCCGTACATCCTTCTGATTTGACCGTTAATACATTTGGTAGTTGCGATAATGAATTTCCTATCTAGTCGATTGTTCCAAACAATATTAGCAACAACAACACAATGCAGTGTCACTGAAAACGCAACGCAGCAAGACAAAAAGAGAAGATTAACTGTTGATATAGAGAGCTCTTACTGTCTCGTAACAACAGTGAAAATGACTGACAGCGCTTGAGTATATATATATGTATATATATATATATATTGACGAGCTGATCACGGATTGATGTCAGTTAGAGAACCATTGAACACCAGCACTGGAGTACTAGACAGCTGTTTCATCCTAGTCTCTTGGGGATCATTGGCAGAACACACCCACCACGGGGGTTCGAACCCAGGACCTTCTAGTTACAAGGCAAGCTCGTATACCATTCAGCCACTGGAACCCGATTCAATGGACAGCCCATGAATTCTAAATCACGAATTGGTAGAAGTTCGAACTCATGGGCTATCCTTTGAATCGGGTTCCAGTGGCTAATGGTATACGAGCTTGCCTTGTAACTAGAAGGTCCTGGGTTCGAACCTCTGTGGTGGGTGTGTTCTGCTGATGATCCCCAAGAGACTAGGATGAAAGAGCTGTCTAGTACTCCAGTGCTGGTGTTCAACGGTTCTCTAACTGACATCAATCCATGATTAACTCGTCAAAACAAACCCAATCCTTACAAACCAACTATTGAAAAAAATATATATGCTTTAAATAACCCTGAAAGACACTAATGGAATTGATAAATTAAAACAGTCAACAACCAGTAGGATTTCAAAGGTCATAAGTGGGGTGGTAGAGATACAAACAGATGTGTGAAAAGAACATGTTGAAAATCAGGTCTATATATCACCTTCTGTGATGATAGTGTTTCTCATGGAATTCAAACTTGAAACCAACTGTTTCAAACAGCATTTTGTTCAAAATATATAAGATATAATGTTAAGTGTTAACCTTCTTCATTTAGTTAATACTGTACACGATTCAATAGTGATTATTTATATACAATATACACTGTACACTGAATCCATTTTGGTTTCACTATTCCCATGTTTTAGTTCCATTCTCTGAACTGCTTACCATACTGCTATCAGGAAAGCCGGATTTAATTTCAAAAAGAATATTTACTGAAATTCAACCAGAAAGGGATTTAGCACAAGAATTAAGGGTAAGATAAGTTTCATTTGATATCTAAGAGTGTTTTTGTATTCTCTACGTGTAACAGTGTTAGATGGTTGGAAGCAGTCGGCAGGAAGACATGCCCAGCCTAGGTTTCGTACTAGTTGTCACTAGTCTGCTACTTTGAAGGAACTGATGTCCCCTCTGAGATTCAAACCCGCGTTATTCAGTGCCGACTGCAGTCAAAGACGTTACCATTGAGCTATCCGGGGTCGCAATTGACATCCTGTGATTGACCTGGTGTTCCTTCAAGATCACAGCTACGCCTTGCTAACTGGTGGGTACCAACAAGCACGAAGTCTAATTCAGGCGGGGCTTTCTGTAGATTGCCTCCAACCGTATAATATCATCATTTCACAGTGCGCCTATATCATTCATTAAGGTCACACCGGATACATGGAACAAGGGTGACTTGGTAGTACAACTTTCAACAACCAGAAATATAAGCACTGGATACACGAAAATGAATGAACAAAAAAATGAACTATATATATAAGTACAAATCATAAATGTGTGAATTAAAAACAAAACAACGTCGATATTCGGTGTTATCACGGGCAGTCATTTTGCTCGAAATAATACCGAAAACCAAAAACTTATCAGTGTGTAAACTATTGAAATACTATTATTATTCCCTTGAGTTCCGAGTGGAACTTAGGTCTTCAACAACACATCTACGCTTTGTCCTATCTTCTGCCGTCCTCTTCAGCTGGGTCCACGATTGACCAAACTCTCTCATCTCTTCCCCACACTATATCCTCCATCTTAGCCTCACACCGAAGACCCACTCATCGCTCCCCATTTGAGTTCCACTCGAGGGACTGGCGGGCAATCTCATTCGGTGGCCTCCTGATTGTGTGCCTGATCCATCTCCATTTTCTCATATATTTGTTGAGCGATAGGCTCTTGGTTAGTTCTTCCCCATAGTTTTTCATCACTAATTCTTTCTGGCCATTTGATCTTCAGTATGGAGCGAAGACAGCTGTTGATGAAAGTCTGCAACCTGTTGTAAATCCTTTTCGTCACATACAGTGCATGTTTCTGACCCACATAGAGGGACCAACTTGACATTAGTGTTGAAAATGCAAATCTTGTTCCTTATGCTGAGTGTAGAGGATTTCTTAACTGGTTTCAGATTGATGAAGCCTTTCAGATGCTGACTTTGACATCTTTGTTCGTTCCGCCTGTAGTTGAAACGATGCTTTCCAGATTTTGAAATATAAGTATACTTTATTTTGTTTTGTAGTTAATTTTGGTAGCCTTCTTCTTAGCTAATGATTCATCAGTCTTTCTATGATCTGTTATTTATGAGTAACTTTCTCCATATCGTCGACTCATTAATCTTTTTAGTGTCTTGGGTAATAGCGTTCACTCTGTGATTTATTATGTGTTGATGAATACTCGTCAGCCGTGTAAGAGATCTGGGTTCAGTTCCTTGTTGACGCACCCTTAAGCCTCACTTACCTTATTAACCAAAAGTCAGTCCAGAAAAGAAACAGGTTTGTGTGTCAGCTGCTAGCCACTCCACCGTCTAAAAATAACAAAAAACCGCTGTGGTTACTCAAACTTCAAGAGCCTGAAGTCGTATTTTCTACCTAAAACGCAAGAAATGAAAAAAACAAGGGTGACTGATAAATTACAGAAGAGAATGAAATACTCTACAATGAACGCCCTATTCAAAATACAAATAAGGATAAGCCTACAAATCTAGCTGTTCAGATAACAATTATAGGTTTCAAGAATTAGTGGTATCACTTAAATGGGCTATTAGAACAACGAATCTCCGTGGCTAGCAATTTAGAAACTGTTCACATTTGTTTATGGGCGATGTGACACACAGTTGAACACAGTATGCTCCACTTCAGCTCAATAACGTTTCAGCATTTTTTGACCATTGAGTAGTACTATCGATGGAGACAAAAACTCACTTTAATCAATAAATTAAGTGTGAAATACATAACGCTATATACTACTAACTGGTTGATATAAGTATTTCGCAGACCGTTCACACCACCCAGTAGTGTTTGCTAGTCAGACTGAAGTGATCTGAACACCGGAAGGCCGTTTTACTCATTTGCAGGTGAGCTTGTCAGCGGCGTTCCCCGTTTGACTCAGCTCAGAAAAATGGATCATATGAAACCACCTGAATTCTGGGCAGCTACTTGGGCTAACCGGTAATATGTGAAGTCAAATCCTCGATTCGCATGTACTACTGGTTGATCTGAGTGGTATATACCTACGCAAATCAATTATCAGTGGTATAAGGGGTGAGGTGAAAATGACTCACTAGCCTGCAGAACAGTACTGATTGTAGTAGGAAAGTAACCTGATGAAGGTGATGTGGGTAACGGATAGTGATACTCAGGAGGGCTTCGTGCGTTTTTGGAAGTATGTGGGTGGTTGTTAATTCCCATCTGCCCACACTGTGGAAACAGGGAAAGTTAATGTTGCGTGACCGCACACCCCAGGGGACAACCGCTTGAGACCGGTCGCACACACACGGCCTGTCTGAAGTGACTTTTTGGATTGGTTCCGTATTAGTAACTTACCGCCGGTTACGGATCATCCTACGGGTGAGTCGGGATGTTCAATTTTTGTGATCGACCTTTCCTAACCCCGTCTTTCCAGAATGGAGAGACAGCATAGGTGGCTGGCATGTTGGCCGTCTGAGAAAAACACCTTACTGTTGTTACATTCCTGTTTCCTAGCAGTACGACTTCGCCCACAGACCCTCAGCATAGTGTAAAGATTCCTACACTATACCAGTAACTGCTTTTAGTCCAATCGCTATCCGAACAATCTTATTGGCATGGTAAGACCTGCAGGAACAATAGTTCCAGCCAGTTTAGCTTGTTGGGTCATTGCGATATGCAAGCCCGATCACCACGTCAAAGTAACAGCTATCGGTTGGTCGGTCAATATCAACACCCTGCAGGAATCTGGTTCTTCCATATTACTATTCTTTTGGCCTTATATCTCTGTTTACTGTCTCTGTTTTGCATTCCTTTTTACTTTCTTCTCTTGCTTTGTGTGCTAAGTAGTGAAGTGTGGTGACTCGAACTGGCGCACATCAGAGCGAAGTTGTTCTACGTTGAAACCAGTTAGTCAGTATAAGGAGTTAAACATCTATGCTTGCCTATTTGGTTGTCATTTATGGTTTCAAGCGGACCACACATTATGTTGATCTGAGTTATCTAACTTTCCAGGGTAAAGCACAGTAAAATTTCACCTTGAATTGTGCAGATTGACGACTGTATTCTATTAACTTCATTCTTACCTTATTTCTACTTTGTAGACTGCCGTTGAAACAATCTACCGTGTTCTACCAAAAGCTCATGCATTCGGTACTGTCGCGACATTGATTGGAATGAGACCAGGTTATAAATTAGAAGTACAAATACTGAAACATGGTCATAAACAAAAAGAATATAAGAATACAATTAGCAAGACACTTGTTGATGCTTGTAAGTTTAACTACTTCTTCTAGATATAGAAAATATTTTTTTGGGAAAAAACGCTCCTCCCATTGTGAAGAACTGTATTACCCCTAAATTAAATAGGAAAGAAGAAGGAGAAATATAAAAATGAAGTTTTGAAGTTGTGTGGTTACAATTTATGGTGTGATTGTGAATAATAAATAGTGTTCAAAAGGTCATCCAGTAAGTGAATATGGTTTTATTATTATAGGGGATTGCTAATATATACGTAAAACTTGAGCACTGTGGTATTAAGTAATTCCATATTAGTTTGCTTATTAGATGTGTCACACAGTGAAACAGTATTATTTACTCGAGGACGTTTCGAACACATTCTAGTATTGCTCATAGTTATATCAATCATAATTGCACGACTTCGAAACTTGAGTTTCATAGTTTTCTTTGTTCTCTCCTATTTGTCGTCGTTGCGGTAGTAGAATTTTCTAGATATCTGGGACGGGTGTTGAATTACTCCTTTTAAACGTACTTCCAGTTGATTCGATAAACAAAACTTGTGTTATCAATCTCTCCCTCCATCCTGTTACATTAGACTTTAAAAATGTCATCTTATCCTATCCATCCTATTGTGTGATTGTGTGTAATTGCATGTAGTGAGTGCTATAGCTGGACCATTCTCTAGATTTCTTATCTTATTCGGGTCAACCAATCTAGATTTTGCTAGGTTTTTATGCTCGCCTAGTCTGACCGACCGTCCCTATTCTACTAATTTAACCTGTGTTTTTGCAGGCAGAGTATTAGATAAACTGAATTGTTTTGCTTTAAGTGCTCAACAGGACTGATCCTTTAACCGACAAAGCTTGTTTCTAGTTGAGTTTGTGGGTTTGAATGCTAGCCACTTTTATTCCTGCCTTGTTAAGTATTCTGCGTAAGGTTTCCGAGGTTCCTTCCTTGTATGGAATTACTACTGATGATTTAGATTCCTTGTTGTTGGTGTTGTCATTATCCTGCGCATGTTTGACATGCATGTCGTAATTAATATTATTATTATCACTATCACTACAATTATTATTAATTTTTTAAAAATTTTTCTGCATACTTTCTGACTAATTTATCAGAGTAATTATTAAGTTTCAAAGCTTATTTTATATGCCTCACTTCCTGTCTTAGATTTTCCTCAGTACTACTTAGTTTTTGTGCCCTGTTACCAAAACATTTCACTAATTCTATTTTACCTGGCCTAGGGTGGTATGATCAGAAATCTAAATATCTGTTTGAATGTGTGGGTTTCCTGTAAGCACTAGTGTTTGACTTCTTATCTTCTTTCCTTTTTACGCTACAATCTAACATTGGGAGATCCCCTTCCTGACTTTCCAATTCATAAGTGAATTGAATTGCCTCCACCTATGAGTGATAATAATAATATTAATATATAATATAAAGATGAAATTCTATATCATATTAATGTTTCTTTTAGTTCCTAGAGGAACATTGGGCTTCAGCCGCACGTCTCCATTGAGTTCGGCTCCCCACCAACGTTTTCATTTGGCTCTAAGTCTACCCACATGCTTTCATCTCCTCCATGTCACTCTCACACTGATGACCAACTAACTCGCCGCTTCCCTTTCGGGTTCCACTCGAGAGAAAGAGCCTGGCGTGTGATGTCACTCACTTGATGGTTTGTTTTCTCAGAGTATGGCCACCAATCCACCTCCACTTCTTCCTGCATATTTGTTGCACAGTCGGTTCCTGCTGGTTTGGTTCGCTCATGGCCAGAGATACCCTTCGCTTATCTTTTCTGGCCGGCCATCTGATGTTGAGTGCTATTAATCGAAGACAGTTGTTGTTAATGAAAGTCTGCAGTTTGTTCGAAGTGACCTTCATGACGCGGCGCTAAGCTTCTGATTCGTATAGTAGCACTGATTGCACATAGGAGTTGAAAATCCGCATCTTATTTTACTTTGATGCTTCTTCTATCGCGACCTTGTTGCTTTTCACTTGCATATCTTCCAGTTTGTGAGAACATGAAATTCTACTCTGCATTAATTTTAAAACAGGCTGTCTGATCACAACACCATAATCTACCGATAATTTTGTTAATTTTCTCTTGCGGTTTTAGTTAAACACAGTGCAATACAACAAGCTATTCCAAATCAAAATCAGCATGAATTAGATAAATTGATCTCACAGTTTTCTGAAGTCTGTAGTATTGTAGCAACGGAATTAATTGGATCAGAGACACTGAAACCTGGTAAAAACTTTATTGGTAAGTTAAGCATGAATTTCTTGCAAGAATGTATCAATTTTCATCAATGATTGACTTGACAAACTTTAGCATGTATTCAAAATTACTGAATGAAAAAGAAGCTTAGCTCGGATGTAGAGGCTTCTGAATACCTTGATCAGAAATCTCCGAATGACTGGCATGTGATTTGCTCTTGCTATCAAATGTAAGATGATGCTGTTGGACTAGACTAAACACCACCTCATAGCTTAAGGATAGGAGGAGCGTGTTGACCACTTCACCTAATTTGGAATTTGCATCCACTTTAATGGACTGATTGCTGAAAAAATCTCAGCACTAATACAAAAGTCTCATATGGCATTTTTAAACTAGAGTACTCTTCCACGTAGGCCTAATATCCGGCTATCGTTCACAGTACGTGTGAAATGCCAAGCACTTCTCTCCGTCCTACTTTATGGCTGTGAAAAAAGGTTAAGTGTCTTTGACCATAGATGCCCTTCGTGTTCCGTCTCACGTGTCACATGGTATACTGTGGTTGTAATATTGAGGTTAGGCTTAGAGTTCTAGGTGAGGAAGGAGAGTTAACCGATTAGCTTGAGATTCTACGTCGACTGAGATGGCTACCACATGATTTTGCATTCTAAGCCAACGCAATCATCGACGAGGAATATTAGCTGACATCGTTCAAACTAAAGCATGGCATGGCTTGAGCTACGTAGATTGGTGTAGACTACCTGGTCAGGGTCATCGGGATGCTAATTAGCAATGGCTAGAAACTACTGGTGATACGACTCAAAGGCATTTTCTGGAGTGGAGATGCATTTACTCTTTATCATCTCCCGAATCGAATAAACCCTCATGTTTTTCAACGTTACCATTCTGTTTCCCGTGTATTGCTGCTCATTATAGTTTTTTTGAGTATCTTTCCACAACCCTTGTATGCTACTTAGAGTGTGGCAACTTGAACTGATAGACTTCTGGTCAAAGACTTACGCTGAAATTCAGTCACTCGGCTCAAACTGACTGATGTGGTTGCGTCGTCGAAAGACTCCGCGACGCATATTTATACTGGTGAATTATTCTTGAACGAAAGGAAAAATGCGGAAAACAATATTTCTGCAAGAATTCAGAAGTAAAACTATCGTATACAGTTAGTTGGCTAATGTATGGTAGTGAGTCCAGTAATCTGCATGGTACACATGAATGTATAAAACACAAAATAATCGAGCAAAGAATATTTTCGATAAATTCCTCTTCCAGGCTCTACAATTATATACATATGTTTATATATACAGAATATTTTAAATTAGTAGTTAATAACAATATTAGCGTTTTTTAAATAATATCGATTTGTAAATTATGATCAATGCTATTACAGTTCATTAAAGATGCTTAAATTATAATAATAATTATAAAGATATAATAGTGAATAGAATATCAACTAAAATTAGGGAAATTTCACAAAAATTCTGGATTATTCAAACCTGGATGGCCAAGGTAATGATAATGTCTGAACTAACTTCTTTTGGGTGCATAAATTAGGCTTGTTAATATGGATCCCCACAACCTCAGCAATATTTAGTAGTCGAATTCTTAAAGCGAAATTGAGATTCTTAGGTATGCGGTAAATGACCCTGAAAGCATGATTAACGTCAATCTTGTGTTCTGTCTCCACAAGATGAGACAGAATAGCGCTGCGAATAGATTTTGTTTGTCCTTTGCTTAACCAGCGATGCATGGTGATGTTCGGAAATTCGACGCGAAACACGCCTAATTGTACAGCCTATGTAACTGGCTCATTGCATAGGAGCAGTTAAATTGGTATATTCACATAAATGTGTTGCTCAGCTAACTCATCATCTGATACAACTTATGGCGTTATCTGAAGTTAGGATAAGGTTGAAGAAGACTCAACTGAGATGGACTTGGAAATGACTTCAGTAGATTTACAACTACTGATCTAAACCATGCCTAGAACTTTAGATCGTTTAGTTTGAACTTCAAGTATATTTGATTAGGACTTTAGATAGAATAGCTTTCATAACAGGATTAGTTCACATCCTCTTTCTTAATCTTACAAAACATTTTATTTGTCAAGGATTCTTTAAGGCGCCATTTTTATTTGTTCTTAATTCTCAAATGTCGTGAATAGTGATATTATTATTCCCTTGGGTTCTGAGTAAAACACAGGACTTCTTTAGATTGCCGTACCACCTCGTATGAGCTTTCATCTCCTCTTCATACGATCTCATCCATGTCACCGACATTTCGTAGTTTCTCAATCAGTTTCCATTCGAGGGCGTAGCTGGAGCGGTCTCCTTGGTGTGCTTCTAACCCACCTCCATTTACTTCTGCATACTTGTTCGGCAACAGGTTTGTAGCTGGTTCTTTGCTGGATTTCCTCGTTGCTTATCTCTTCTGACCATCTAATCGTCAATATCGATAGAAGGCATCCGTTGATGAAAGTTATCAGTAACCTACTAGAAATGTTTTTCGTAACACACCAAGTCTGTAACTTTGTAGAAGCACTGATTTAATATTAGTGTTCAAAAAACCCAACACTTGTTCTGAATAAATAGCGCACAACACGAAAATTTGTTGTCCTCCCACACTTTAACCTAAAGTTATGCCTTTCTATGATCTGTTTCCTCTCTATTTTCCTCTTCAGGTGTAAACCTGGATACTCTAATCATGAATTTGGTTAAAGGAGCTGTCTACGATACACCTCTCGCTTCTCGTGGTGTACTGAGTGGATTATTAGCTACAGCTGGTGGAGGCATCGAAGCACTGACAGGTTTAATTACAGCAGCGGGAGGAGGAGTTGAAGGATTAGCTAAACTGTTAGCAACAATTTCTAATCCTTCAGAAGCTATTGGAGAAATACTTCGAAGTCTTAATGATGATCCAGTGAAAGCTTTGAAAGAATTTTCAAAGGCTATGGGTGGAGGTATTGATGGAATTAAGAATATTCTAAGTGCGTTAGGTGAAGATAAACAGAAAGGCTTCCAAGAACTTGTTAAACAAATTGGTGGTGGTGCTGAAGGTCTGAAAAATCTTTTCGAAGCAACTGGAGGTATTAAAGCATTGATGGAAGGTTTGTTTGGCGAAGGTGCAGAAGGGCTTGCTGGGCTAATAGCAGCTGCTGGTGAGGATGTAGAAGGTCTTAAAAATCTCATCGAAGCTGCTGGTGGTGGAATTAAAGGACTTCAAAATCTTATTGCATTAGGTGGCGACCAGGTCAATGGGTTGAAGAATCTTCTCACTGCTATTGGTGGTGATAATGTAGGTAAGCAAGTTTATTTTAATGCTGAATTATTTAACACAATAAGGTGATTGCTTTGGTGGATGGTGACTAACAGTGGGATCCACCAAGATGCACATTTTGTCTTCCTCGGGAAGTTCTTGCACTCCTCAGTGAGTGAAGGTGTTTCCAGTGAGGCACAAAGCCAGTACCAAGCCTCAGAGGGAATATCTTCACTCACTGAGGAATGCAGTTACATCCATTTGCAGAAGAGTCTCAAGTAGGACTAAATGCGCTACCTGGATTTCACTGCTAGTCAAGATCCACCGAATTATTTCAGGTTCAATCCTTAGACATCGTTGCAGTATCCGCACAAAGAGCCGATATTATCAACAAATGCCGAGCACTTTGGTCCAATCATTCAACGGGAGAGTCCAAAATAAATTAAGTGAGGTAGTTGCTTGTCTTATTCCGATGACTTTTCTAGTGGTATCCATTCATTAGCCGTAACTTGTGAGTGATGAGTGCATGGACGTTTTCGATGAATCAAGACTTCAACATCTGTGATCATGACTCTGGGTATAAAAGATATGTGGGCATCACTGCCGATACCAGCAGTTTTGTTCTTAGGCCAAGAGTCAAACCTCTAAATTTCTACACTGCTTTCTGAATAAATTGTTGTGCAGTGAAAACTCTGAAGCAACTGCTGGCAGCTAGTCTTACACAGCACCAATTATTCAGCTTATTTCATGCGTTTTGGCACCATTTTTCTTTACCGTAAAACGGTAAACTTGTCTTATACCAGCCTCATAGGTCCTAGTTTGAACTTGTACACCATTAACTAGTTTCAAACACAGACAAATGGAGTTGTCTGGTGCTACTTTTATTTCATAGTATCTTCATCTAACACCGTGTCATAACGAAATCTAAATGGAATCAATCGAACACTCATTCACCGAATAGTTAAACCGTTTCCCTTTTATCACAGTTGGGAAGGACAAAATAAATATATTTTTGTAAGTATGGAATATTTGTTCGGCTGTAGGACTGTTTCATTTATTTGATTATTATTGTTATTATCCCCTTTAGTTCCCAAGGGGACAATGGGGCTTCAGCAACATATCTCCACTTTGTCCTATTCTCTGAAGTGCTCTTTAGCTGCCCTTATAATTGCCCATGTGGGTCGGTGGCACAGTGGTTAGGACGCTCGCCGACCATGCACATGGTCCGGGTTTCGATCCCCGGACGACACACTCCTTTACCTCGCTAAGCCAGTAATAAAGCTGGTAAAGAGGAAAGGTTGGGCATGAGGCTAGCAACCCCATCCCGTAAAAATAAACACTGGTAAAGAGACTTCAAACCTCTATCTAGAAGCCCTATGCTCCACTGGGAACGCGAAGGAATAAAAGAAATAATTGCCTATAGTCTCTCAACTCTTCTTCACACAATTTCCTTGATGTAACTGTCAGACTAACACACAACACGTCGTTTCCTATTCGGGTTCCACTCGAGCTATGGCCTAATTGAAACGCAATGACATATGATGGTCTCCGCCACGTGTGTCCCTTCCGTCTCTATTTTCTTCAACATGTTCGTTGGCCGACGGGCTCTTGTTTGACTCGTTCCTAGAGTTTCTTTCAGGCCATCTAACGTTGAATATAGAGCGAATGCATATGTAAATCAAAGTCTCCAACCTGGTGGAAACACTTTTCGTGATCCACCAAATATATGATTCATTTAGAAGAAGTGACTGAACATTAGTGTTAAAAGTTGAAATCTTGTTGTTTATGCTGAGTGCAGAAGATTTCCAAACTGATTTCAGAGTGATGAAGGTGTGACTTGCCTTTCCGATTCTAAAATTCGACTTCTTCAGCTGTACCGCCTGTAGTATGGATTTGATTAGGGTGTCATTTTAAACAGTCGATAGGATTTCAGGGTACCGTCTGTTTGTCTGCCTTTGACAACTTCACCAGTCTTTTCAATCGGGGAAACATATTTAGGACAATAACAACCGTAGATTGTTATTTGGATGGTGTTTCTGTTGACTGCACTTTCGGTCCAACAGAATAGCCAATCAGTAAGAAATTCGTAATTACCTTAAACCAATAATAACTGACACTTGTAGCACGAGTGGTGGCTCTCATGGCCTAAAAGGCCTATTGTATAACGCTTAGGCATTTGTAATGATGGGTGATAGATTCAAGCCTCGGTGGGGAAAGAAATCACTCAGTGAAGATTGTAGGTAAATGTAACTGGATTGTCCGGATTGGTAGGAGATGTGCATCATAGATCCCCACTGATAGTCACGTCCACTGGGCAACCGCAGGTTTCTTTCTAATGAACGAAAAACAAAAGAACTGACTGACTTTTCACTATTTAACACTTGTAGTTTTATCAGAGTATTCCTAAGCCATGATTTAAAACATTCTAGCTTACATACACTAACCTAATCATAGTTCTTCAGCGTGAGGTGGCCTTTATGTCGTTAAGTGAGTGACATGGTGAAGACAGCAAATCGTGTGGAAATTCCTCTTTTTAGATTTTTATCCCAAGCCAACTTCACTTTCGAGAGACAATTGAAGCATCATGGAGCATTGGAAAGCTGTTTCATCCTATTCTGAGACTTTTCAGGGATGGAAATCCACGAATCCATCAACAAGGATCAAACCCCAGACCTTCAGGCTACGAAGCCATACTCATTGACCATTCAGCTGCTTCGGGGCTTGGAATTCACTTGCCCCTGAATTCTAACTCTGTCAAATCATGATGTAGCGCTGCCCACACGAAAACCGATTCCTTGGATGAGCATTGATTGTGCGTCGATGGCATAGTGGTTAGGACTCTCGCCGACCATGCACATGGTCTGGGGTTCGATCCCCTGCCGACGCACACCTGATATCAATGGTCGGCCTGCAAAATTTGGGCTGCCGATGTCACATGCTGAAAATTCCATACTTGTACCGAAATACTGTGTGGAATCAAGCTGTAATCCAAAAAAAATTTAGCCTTTACATGGTCAACAAATTTAGAATTCGAGGTTTATTGAATTCCCCCCCCAAGTGTCTGAATAGGCTACGGGGTTGGTTTCATAACCTGTAGGTTCCCGATTCGATCCTTGGTTGAACCATGAATGCTCCCTCCCAAAGAGTCCCAAAGTGGTACGAAACAACTTACCTATGTCGCCTGGGGTTTCACTGATCTCCCTGAATGATGTTGATTCGTTAAGAAATTGAAATTAATCCGAAATCACCACATATCGTATAAACTGAATATGTGAAGATTGTTGAATTTGATAAAAGTAAGAAATTACAAAAATAGTGTGTGGGTTTACATAATGAAATCGCTCATCATATTTGCATTGAGTTTGTCAGTACACGAAGTAGGGGGGAGTGGAATCAGGCTAGATTCTGTCTTAATTCATCATTCCCATCCAGACAAATGGGATTCTATTTTGCTACGAAGTGCTTCTGATATTTAAACGTTCTTTGTGATTATTTCAATATTGTCAAAATCAGTTATGTCGCTTGTTTCTACAGTGGCTGAGGATTTTTCAAGCCTTTCTAGTTCAACTGAGTTTCTCGGTGGTTGAGTAGAGAATATACGGTGTTCATTTCTCCTAATCATGATGTCCGTCTGATGAGATCACTTATTTTGTAGACAGAGTCAGACTGTGAATCGATTAGAATTCAGTCTTTCACCTGAAAAATGATTACTTTTTAGTGTGTCTGATGTTTTGAAGTGAATTCTAATGTCACATTTGTGGATTACTGCTCTGATATCGTTTGGTGTATTCGATTTTGAACTTGGTTTGGACATGTAAACCGCAGGTTTTAGTACAGTATTTGTTCTGAGTCTTAAATTGAGTTAAATACAAGCTCCTGTGTATAATCCAGCTCACTTCCTATTTTGAAATCACATCTTTCTTGACTTGCCGACTGAATATTGTCCGTTGTTGGGTTTTATTTGGATAGATGATGAGTCCCTTAACAAAAGTGCCTATAAAGTTGGTTATTCTTGGTTGATATAAACAAGACAAGTGGTTCAACGAAGAGGCTCCTTTCGGTGAATTCGTTTTCTTTAGCTGTACAGTTAATTGTATTTATATGCAATCTTTTCATGAAAAAGAGTACTAGTTTCTCTAACGCTTTATCAAACCAAATATTCACAGGAATGAAATATTACATGTTCTAGAAAAGAAAGTTTATATGAGGCTGGAACTCAAGGGACATTTAGCCTGAGAAATCCTTAAGAGAAGAATTTCGTCATCTTTGAGGAAAATATTCTCCTCAGCAAAGCTGAGAGTAAGTAGCCTTAAGCACAAGATTTCCCATCGGACCATACCTATGTGCAAATATCAGTTCACCGGTTCTTTTGAAGCCAAGTGTATTGGTCGCTCGACGCGTATCCTGTCTGAAAGCGCTCAAGAACATTATTCCATATGGTTACAAAAGAGGCAGTAGTGCAGTAACCCAACATCCTGTCAACATTGATCATTCCATTCCAACGAACGGCTTCAAAGTAATCTGCGAAGTAAAGAATAACCTGTCGAAGTTAATACGCTTTCGTCTCCTTTGCATTCCTGAAGCCTTAGCTGTACATTTAGAAAAACCAGAATCACGCATACAAAAGAAAATCAATTATCATGACAACAACCCTGCTGACTAGATTTTTTGTTTCGTTACAGGATTTCATCATGAGCTGACATTGGTTAGAGGACCATTGGAAAACCTGGGAGTACTGGACAGCTGTTTCATCCTAGTTTGGGACTCATCAGCAGTACGCACCCACCGGGATTCCAACTCAGGACCTTCTGGTTACAAGGCGAGCTCGTAGACCATTGAGTCACTGGGACCCGATCCAATGGACCATGAATTCTAACTTCTGCCAATTCACGATATAGCGCAACCGCTAGCCAGTGTCTTTGGCGAGTATTTGTCCTCACACCCGACCTGCTGCACTCTGCTGGTCACGACTTCCCACTGGAACCCCAGGTAACTATCTACCTGCATAGGGCCAGTCGCCAGTGAGCATCTCATTGATATTCCAGTATTGGTTTGTAGGGATTCGTTTGATTAGTTACAGGACAAATACTTGCCGAAGTCATTGGCTGGCGGTTGCGCTATATCGTGAATTGGCAGAAGTTAGAATTCATAGTCCATTGGATTGGGTCCCAGTGGCTTAATGGTATAGGAGCTCACCTTGTAACCAGAAGGTCCTGGGTTCGAACCCCTGTGGTTGGTGCGTATTTTTGAAGAGTCCCGAGCTAGGACGAAACAGCTGTCCAGAACTCCCTGGATGATTTTCCAATGGTCCTCTAACCAATGTCAGCTCATGATGAAATCCTGTAACCAATCAACTAAATCCCTACAAACCAATACTTGATTTTTTATGTTTGTTTTTCTAACTCCTTATAATTTTTGTATTTCTCTAGAACTCTTAAACAATTCCATACTTTCCTTCGTTTCTGTGTGCATCCTGATTACAACTCACTTACTGAATTATTCATCTGAATACATAACTCTACTGTCAGGTGAACCGCAACGGAAAGGCTCCGCGAGGCGTTCAAAGTAAATACAGGAGTAAGACAAGGCTGCCTGTCTATTATCACCGATGATACTCTTAACTGTGATGGACTGAATTATGCGCCAGACTCTGGGGACCGAGGAGGTAGGAATACGTTGGACCACCGAAAACAAGACTCTAGAAGATCTGGATTTCGCAGATGATTTATGTCTAACGTCACACAGACTCGAAGACTTGCAGGCAGGCAAAAACCAACAAATTAGCAGAGGAAGCTGGTAAGCAGGCTGCGAATACAGGACTGACCCTAGGTGGACATTGAGAAGATGGAGGTGATGAAGATAACCAGCCAACAGCAACAGAAAGAACAACAACCAGCATCAATCACCATCAACGGGAAAGATTTGACACAGGTTACTTCCTTTACATTTCTGGCTAGGCAGCATCGAATAGCACGGATGAAAATGTCAAAGCCAGGCAGCATCGAGAAGGCAACATATGACTTCGTCAACCTAAAACCAGTTTGGGAATCCTCTGCACTGCACTCAGCCAGCATCAAGAACAAGATTCGGATTCTGTTCAGCACTAATGTGAAGTCACTCAGTCCTTCTATACGGGTCAGAAACATGGGGTGTCACGATAAGGATTTCCAACAGGTTGCAGACTTTTATCAACAGCTGCCTTCGCTGGCTTCACATTGAAGATCAAACGGCCAGTCAGCCAACTAGGAAGAATTGGTAACAAGAAACTCTGGCAGGCGACAAGCCAACCATTAGCTGATCGTCCAACAAATATGTAGGAGCGAAAATGGAGATAGAGCGGCATATGTTGAGGAGACTGTCGAATAAAATTGGGTTCAATGCAGCCCACTGTTAGAGTAGAATCCCAGTGCAATGGGTAGAGACGAGTGGGTCTTCAGTGAGAAGGTGACATGGTGGAGAACGTATGAATTGGAGGACATGAGAGATTATAAGCAATTGTGAACCCAGCTGAAGGGGACGGCAGAAAGCAGAACAAAATGGGGATGTGTTGTTGAAGCCGAATGTTCCACTAGGAACCCAAGGGAATAATAATAATAACGTAACTCTACTACACTCATTCAACTCCTTTAATGCATTGATTAACATTAAATACTATGTCTGTTACAGCTCATCACTTTCATTACTACCCTCTTTTATGATAAACGTATTGTATATAAATGCGATTGTACAGCTAACGAGAGAAACGAATCGGCCAAAAAGAGCTTCTTCATTGAAGCACTTTTCTTGGTTTTATTAATGTTCGAAAAAGAAGTTTTCATGAATATTCTTGGTTAGTCAGTATAGGTGATATGAAACAACTCTGATTATGTAAGCTATTCTATGCGACACACACTCACGTCTTATCCAAATCTTACTGATTTTTTTCTTTCTTTTGCAGCTGATGCCCTATCAACTCTGATCGCTGCTGCTGGTGGTGCAAAAGATGGACTAGCGGCACTATTACAAGAATCCGGTGGAGGTGCCAAAGGGTTAGAGAATTTAATTGCAGCTGTCGGTGGTGGCGTTGATGGGTTGAAAAGCCTTTTGAAAGCAACCGGCGATGATGCAACCGAAGCGTTAGCCAACATTTTACTAGCAGCTGGAGGAGGTGTGGAAGGTTTTCAAAATCTTCTGAAGGCTGTAGGTGGTCAAGATAGTGTTGAAGGGCTTAAGAATCTGTTGGGTGTTATGGGAGATAATCCCAACGAAGCATTGGCCAATATCTTAAAAGCTGCAGGTGGAGGTGCTGAAGCTTTGAAAAATCTACTTCAAACAATTGGTAATGGTATTAATGGCCCTGCTGATGGCTTGCAGACGCTACTTCAGGCTCTAGGTGGTGATCCTGCAGAAGCGCTAGCCAATCTCATAGCTTCCGTTGGTGGTGGTGAAGAAGGTTTGAAGAGTCTTATAGAAGCTGCTGGTGATGATGTAGTCGGTGGTTTAACTAATCTTCTCAACTCACTAGGTGGTTCTACTAAAGAAGCCTTGGAAGCATTACTGACTGCTTCAGGTGGAGGAATAGACGGTTTACAGAAATTGGTAGCAGCAGCTGGCGGAGGAGCTGATGGCTTAAGAAATATACTTGAAGCTACTGGAGGTGGTGCTGAGGGATTGAAAAATTTGTTATCTTCCCTTGGAGGTGAACCCACGGAAGTATTGAGAACATTATTGACAAATATCGATGGAGGTAAGTTATCATCTAGGTGATGAAATCATGCTCTTTCTGACTCAGTTAATTTAAAATTTGTTTGTAAAGTTTGGGTTTGTTTCATGCATGATTACACAGACTGATGCTCACAAGTGGCCAACTTCAGGATGAAGTCACATGAATTTTTATTAAGAAGCCGTAACCAGCGGGACTCCCCATGTCGACCATTGGATGACGGTGGCGGTATACATCGCAAATCGGTAGAATTGATGGGCTGACCATTGGATTGTTATCCAGTGGCTGAACGGTCAACGAGCTTGTCTCATTAGCTAAAGGTAGTGGATTCAATCCTCGGTAGGTTCATGGAGGCGTACTACTAAGGAGTTCAAACGAGGATGAGACAAATGTCCAGTACTCCCTTCTGATTTGCAATAGTTCCTTTACTGATATCAACCCGTGATTAAACCTGAATTTGTATATTATTGCGAACGGTACATCTGATGTAGCTGTATATATGGAAATAACTAGGTAATTTCATTATGGGTAAATTTTGTTTTGATAAAGTCTCACGGTGTTATACAGTAATGTTTACTGATGACGTTTCGAGCACAATTTATTTCTCATAATCATATCAAGGTTTTATTCTTATATCAAATAACTAGGTACTCGTCTATCCAATTGTAAGATTCGACTGACATTCCTCTGGAAAGCTAAAGGGTGAAATTTCACTGAATGGTACTAGCAAAAAATTAGGTCTAATATAACTTCGACCGGAACAGGCTGGATTCAGGAGAAACAAGTCATGCATTGATCAGATCACCACATTACGGATCATCATTGAACAAAGCCTGGATTGGCAGTCACCTCTCTATCTCAACTTCATCGACTTTGAAAAGGCATTTGACAGCGTCGATCGAGAGGTGATTTGAAAACTACTTCGCTACTACGGGGTGCCACCGACAACAATACATCTCATCCAACAGCTGTATGACAATGCTGCATGCCAAGTAATCCACAACGGGAAACTTACGGAATCCTTCGAAGTGAAGACAGGAGCAAGACAAGCTGGCTGCCTACTATCGCCAATGACTTTCCTGATTGCAGTAGATGGGATGATGTGACAAACAGCGGACAATGAGGAAACAGGCATGAAATGGAGTAACACAAAAAACTTGGAGGATCTGGACTTCGTCGATGACATATGTCTGATTTCCAACAAACTGGAAGATATGCAAGTGAAAAGCAACAAGTTGGCAGAAGAAGTATCAAAGATAGGACTTCAGGTGAACATAAAGAAGACAGAGGTGATGAAAATTCCTGGGCAACACCACCAGCAGCAACAACAACAGAGAACAATCAGCATAAATGGGAGGAACCTGAAAGAAACAAACTCTTTTACCTATCTGGGAAGCATCATCTCAACTACAGGCGGAACTGACGAGGATATCAAAGCAAGAATCGGAAAAGCAAGACAAGCTTTCACTACTCTCAAGTCTGTGTGGAGATCAACATCATTCAGCGTCAAAAATAAAATCGGGATTTTCAACTCCAATGTGGAGTCAGTGCTACCATATACGGATCAGAGACTTGCACTGCGCGTCATAAAGAGCATCTCAAACAAACTACAGACCTTCGCTAACAGTTGTCTTCGCCCAATACTACTCAAGATCAGATGGCCGGCCAGAAAAGATCAGCAAAAGAGATCTCTGACAATGAGCGAACCAACTCAGCAGGAACCGACTGTGAAACAAATAGGCAGGAAGAAATGGAGATGGATTAGCTATACTCTGAGAGAACCATCAAGTGACATCACTAGACAAGCCATTGCTCGAGTGGAACCCGAAAGGAAGCGGCGAATTTGTCGTCAGTGCAAGGGTGACTTGGAGGAGGTCATGTGAAGAGGAGATGAAAACGTGTGGGCAGACATGGAGCCAGATGAACACTCTAGCAGAGAACCGAACGTAATGGAGACGCACGGCTGAAGCCCTATGTTCCTGTAGGAATTAAAGGATACAATAATATAATAATAATATAAGTAGAGCTTTTCGGTTATCTTACATAATATTCCCCTCGCTAATTTTTCTATGGGACAATTTATTAGTCGAAGAAGATCAAGAGACGGCTCTGTAGCGACTGAGTCATTTTCTACACAAAACGATTTAATGAGTTCTAAGTAGACACTGTTCATAAGACTCTTCGTAGAATACGAATCATTAAAATTGTTGGCTTCGAAGAATTCCTTTAGGAAAGAAGTAGTTACTCTCAATGGTGAAATAAAAAACAATGATAACACACATGAAGGTCTAATTTAGCTACAAGATATATTGATATAAGAATATATTGATGCTGTTTATTGAGTCACCGAAGTCAGGTGAATCTAAAACCCCACACCTTTCTCAGTGATTCTGAACTTTAGAGCAGTTAGAAGTTAATTGGTGGATGGTGACTAGTAATGGAATCCAGGATGTGCATTTCGTCCTACTTGGGACTTGTCATCATGGCCACTGGGCTCAATGCAAAATGCAGGTACATCCAGATAACGAGTCCCAAATAAGATGAAATGAGCATCCTGGATTCCACTGCTAGTCACCATCTACCAATTAACTTCTGATTACATGCCCAGACATCATCGAAGCATCTACTCAAGAAGAGGACATGTCAACCTGAGTCCGAGCACTTCGGTCAAGTCAGTCGACAGGAAAACCTAAAGTTGAATTAAATAATTTAAAGCGATTAGTTGAGTTTATGAACCTCTGTATAACTATAGGAAGACGTAGTTTATCTTAAGTGGGTAGTATGTATTTGCGCAACACATTTTGGAAATTCTCATCACACATGTACTTGCCATACGTATTTATGCATAAGGCAGCAGATAATAAAAAGATCACAATCGTTTTTATCGGGATGCGTCGAAATGTTGACCGATCAAGGTCACAAATAGGAGGTAGTAAAATGAAGTAGGGAGGAAGGGGGTGAAAATATTATTATTTAAAACAATTAGTCCCTTTTATAAATTTGGACAGTGTGATTAGAAGACGAAGGTTATCTGAAAAATGTGATGTATTTGCGCTACACATTTCGAACAATCTGATCCCACATTTACTTGTCAAGTCGATATATATGAAAAAATATAAAGGGCAGTTAAATTAAACAAAGCGACAAAAAGGATTTAAGAATGACTAACATAACGTTTGGTAATCCAGTCAAATAAGGATTACTAAGGTAGGTTAAGACTAATAATAAACTGTTTCTGAACAGACAAGGAAGGGGGGCTTAAGTATATGAATAACTGTAGCCTCAGCGTATTTCAATAAATGCCAACGACCATTTTTAAAGATGACCTTAGAGGCTGTGTTAATATCAGTCTCATGATTCATCTCGATTAGATGTTTGGCTATAGACGAAGTTGGTAGTCTGACACCCGCGTCTATTGGTTTTCCACAATTCATTTGTTTTTATAACCATTTTGGGATATGCTCTCCCACTCTCACATGTAAAGCACGATTACTCCTCCCCTATGTATGTGTCCACACACACAAATGAGTAAATAGTGTGGGATGTGATATAATCACTTGTGCACTTTTGATGTTTGCAGTGGAACATATTTTTGGTTTTTTTCGATAATTACAAGCCGGGCTGCATAATAAGACCTACGGATGACCAAATTTAACCCCTATCTCAAAACCCTACTGTTTATTTCACCGTGATATAATTATTTGATGAAAAACATTGAAAACCAGGAGGTACTAGACAACCGTTTCATCCCTGGTTTTCAATGGTTCTCTAACTGATATCATTGCGTGGTGACGAATTTAATCCTTACAAACCAACCTTTGAAAATTAATCTGATGCTCGCTAATGACTTGCTACAGGACTGAATTTTCCGGAGTTCTAGCGAGAAGTCGTGACCAGTGACGCTCATCCAGTCAAGTGTAAGGATGGATGTCCCACCAATGACATTGGTTGGTGGTCGTGCTAAATCACGAATCAGTGGAAGTTAGAATTCATGTGTTGGCCATTGAATGGTATACGAGCCAGCTTGCCTTATAACCGGAAGGTCGTGGGTTCAAACCCTGATGGTGGGTTTGGCGTAGTGCCGATGAGTTCTAAACTAGGACTAAACAGGTGTCCAAAAGTTCAGGGCGGTTCTCAATGCTTCTATAAATTAATATCAGTCCACAATCGAACTTGAAACAAATTTTTGTCGCAATTGGCTGTTCATTTGCTTTAGTATTGGTCATCTTTATTGGATTGACTTGGATTTTGACTTTCATAGGAAAATGTGGAAATTTTAAACACAGTCAAAGCACACAGAAAATCCCAGAGAATTCCTAGAAGCCTGGTACTCAGATGAATCAGCGACTAACATTCACATTAATACAGATCAAGTTTATGAACGAATAAAGAGTGAGCCAAATGACTAAAAGTCAATAAGAACAACAAGTACTGTTGCAAATTAACAGACCAATCTCATTAAAGGTTGTAAGGAGATACTATGATATCATCCGCTGTGAAAGAATTCAAATGAGCTCACTTTTAGACTGAAAATTTCACTACAGATGTGTTGTCTAGAATGACAGGGAAAGGAGAAGATTTTTTGCTCATGTGGATGATTTTGGTGTGGTTGTGTTCTCTGAGCTAGATAGTTAATTTGCGAAGCTTTCATTGCCCCACTAGACAACATCTTCAGCTCACACTTCAATTTGATGAAGTGAGCTTTTATATTTCTCCACGAGTTTATTGGTCATCTCTCCTGGTGAGTGACTTTGGACGTGATTGGTTACTTTTGTATGTTTTCACATCCTCTGGGCTACTTGTATTGGAATTGATTGTTTATTTGACTTGAACTTTCACCCTTTGTGTGCATGATATTTCCTCCTTATCGAATGGTAAGTTTTTGCTATATCAATGTGTCTATTGATTGACGATTCACCGGAATACCAGCCTTTAAAAATTTCTCTGCCATTCTCGGTGTATCCTCTTCTTAGTATTTTAACGTTGTCCCAGTCAAACTGGTGTCCATGGCTGCCTCTATACAGCGATATGAGGGAGTGGATATCATGTCTTTTGACGACTAGTTTATGTTCATGGATACGAAGACGAAGGGGGCATCAACTTTGGCCAAAGTACTGTTTTTCACAGTCGTTGTAACTTATTTTGTAGATGATGATGGTTTTATCTTCTTTCGCTCTTGAGTCTTTTGGTTGATACAGAATCAGCTGAGTGAAGTGATTTTGTTGGTTTATGTGTGACATCAATTCCTCATTAGGGTTTGAAGAATCTTGCCGTGATTTCTGAGATGTCCTTTATGTGTGGTAGGGTGATTTTCTTTGTGCTTTCCTTGGGGTCCTTTGATTTGGTAGCTTGGCTTAGGGGTATATGTCTTTTGATGAAATTCCATGGAAATCCATTCTTTTCGATAAGAAGGAAATCTCATACACAAAGGTCAAACTTCAAGTTAGAGAAATAATCAGTTCCAATACAAGTAGCCTAAAGGGTGTGATAACACACCAGGAGAGATATCTAGTAAACTCGTTGAGAAATTCAAAAGCTCACTTTAAATTGAAATGTATGCGCTGAAGATGTCACCCAGTAGGGTGATGAAAGCTTCGCAAATAAACTATCAAGCTCATAGAACACAACCGCATCAAAAGGACAATGGAAGTTTTGCAATTAAGTGCCTAATCCTCCCCCCCTTTGGAGCTTAGAAGTGATACAATTAGTCAAAATTTGTCCCAAAACATAAATTCAAACTTAACCATCCTTATTTATAATGATCAAATACGTTCTTGTCTTCTTTATAGCTAACTAACTAACTGTTTGAATTTCTATTCCTTTTCAATACAGGTCTAGCAAATCTTATCGCAGCTGCTGGTGGTGGAGCACTGGGCCTTAAAAATTTACTGAATGCAGTAGGAGGTGGTGCAGAGGGATTGATGAGTCTATTAACTGCAATGGATGGTGATATCAATGAAGCCTTAATCAGCTTATTGAATACAACAGGTGATCAAAAATCAGATTTAAAGAATTTAATTGAAGCACTAGGCGGTGGCGCTGAAGGCTTCGCAAATCTACTGAAAGTTATCGGTGATAAAATGCCTATTGAAGAACTATTGAAGACATTAGGAGGTGGAGTTGAAGGCCTCGCGACTCTACTGAATTCAATCGATGGAAATAAAGATGCAGTAATACAAATGTTGATAAATTCTTCCGGTGGAGGTGTAAAAGGCTTAGCCAACTTACTGAAGACTGCTGGAGGTGGTGTTGATGCTATCAAAGAAATTCTTAATTCACTAGGCGGTGGTCATCAGGCATTAGCAAAATTGCTAGCAAGTTGTGGTGGTGATAATCCAGCTGAAGCGTTAAAAGTTCTGCTGGAAATGTTAGGTGGAGATGAAAATGCCCTGAAAAATTTATTAGCTGCAAGTGGACTAGATCCAAATGATCCTAATTCTTTAAAGCTACTCTTGGAAGCTTTAGGTGGAGCAGAGACAGGTTTAACAACATTAGTGAATGCCTTGGGTGGAGGTGATGCAGGTTTAAAAAAACTCTTAGAATCACTTGGTGACGACGGGATTGTTACTCTTATTGCAGCCGCTGGTGGAGGTGAGCATGGAACAGGAGCTTTAATTAGAGCAATCGGTGGCAGAGGAATCGATGGTTTGACGGCTTTATTAAATCTTCTCGGTGGAGGTGAAAATGGTCTTGCTGTGTTGATTGGAGCCGCTGGAGGTGGACAGTCCGGCTTGGCTGCATTGCTTAAGGCAGCTGGTCAATTTGCCGAGGATGGAGATGGTCTTTCGGCGCTTATAGCAGCTGCAGGAGGCGGTGCTGAAGGCTTGGAAGCATTAATTAACGCAGCTGGTGGTGAAGAGGTTGGATTAGAACAGTTATTATTAGCTGCAGGTGCTACAGACGCCAATTCAAAATCGAACATTTTAAAACGTCTTATTGAATCAGGAGGTGGAGGTCAGGAAGGCTTTAATAACCTATTAAAAGTTATTTCCCGTGGAAAACGTGATAGAACGATAAATGGACTTAGCGGTCTGCTTAAAGTTCTTGGAAATAATCCAGAATCGTTAGAAATACTATTAGGAGCTTTTGGTGGTAATTCAGACGGGTTGGCTGATTTGCTGGCAGCTGCAGGAGGCGGAGCGGAGGCTTTACAGTTGTTAATCAATGCTGCTGGAGGTGGAACTGAGGGGCTATCAAAATTACTGGCTGCAGCTAAACTGGATGGTGTTGGACAGTTGGCTGATATTTTAGCCGCTGCAGGATTAAGTGATGACGTGGTTGCAGCGGCTAGGGCTGGCGATATAACGGCACTTACAGGTAGGTGGTAAATAATGAATTTTACTATACTCGCAGTATATAGCATAATGAATGTTTGAATGACTGAAGATAGAACTGAAACGACAACTTGGTTAGCAGCTGAATTTCATCGCTAAAACTCGTAGAATGCCCGGGTATCAAAGTGTCATTAGTGGGTTCGAATTCCGCCCCAACCAATGTTTTCATTTTGTGTGTAATCGCCGGTCACTGCATAAAAATTCCAGTTAGTAAAGATGTCAGAAGTGTATATGCATTTATTCAAACAAACACATGCCTTTTATGAGTTTAAGGAAGAACTGCATCTGTTCTGTGAGCGCTCTAACGATACCAGTTGACTACATAAACCTCAGTACGTAAATCACTGTTCATACCGCTACTTACTGTTTGGAATTCGAGTTACAGCTTCATTTAAAGAGAATTTTTTATTTTTTTATTTTATTATAACTTAATCCCACACAGTGTTTCAGTACAAGTATGTAATTTTCAGCATGTGATATCGGTAGCCCAAATTTAGCAGGCCGACCATTGATATCAGTTGTGCGTCGGCCGGGAATCAAACCCCTGACCGCTGTGCCACCAACGCACATCATGTGTGGAGTAGAACTCATCCTATTTCCAGTATTACTGAAACTCTTTATACATGCAAGGAATTAAAACTCGGACAGGGATTCGATTAGATAAACCCACTTATTCCAAGATAGATGAAAAAATGACCAGTTGAAAAGCTATTGAAAGTCAGGGAGTACTGGGCAGTTGATTCGTCTTCATCTGGAACTTTTCAGAGGTATGCATCCATGACCTCGCAAGAAACCGACCCCAGAAACTCCAAGTTCTCTGAGCTTCTAGTGAGGAAATGTGACCAATGGGTTCCATCAAGTTGGTGACATTGTCTGGTAGTGGCTTTATATGTCACAAAATGACGAGGGTTAGAACTCATGAACCGTTACATTCTATCCCACTGTTTGAATCGCCAGTTACCTCACTTGGTATCCTGAAGGTCTTTAATTTGATCCTTTATGGTTTCATGGGTGTGTATTACTGAGGAGTTCGGAACTAAGAAGAAGAAGAAGTACTCCCTGGTTTTGACTGACTTTTTAACTGATACTTATCCATAGTCAAAACTGAAACAATTTAGAAACTGGAAAACGGGTAATTGTCTGACTTGCTGCTTTTCAGTATTCCTTGTTGCTTCATGTTTCTGGTAGGCCATTTAATCTTCAGCGTCAAAATAGTGAAGGTGTATGTTGACGAAAGTCTGCAGTAGCCTGTTAGAAATGCTTACCGTTACTGACGCACCAATTCTCTGAACTACATACAAGTACTGAACGATTCGACATTAACGTTGAAAATCTGGATCTTATTCCTTATGCGGACGGCAGCAGATTTCCAAACTAATTTCAGAATAATAAAGGTCTTTTATGCTCCTCTATTTCTGACTGGATTGGATATTCCCAAACGTGTTACCTACGAGTAGTTTAAACGATGCTGTCAGTGTAATTTAGTGAGGCAACTTACTAAAGATTTCGCCCATCGACAGTGATTGGTGCTTCTGGTGGTTGATTGTCTTTATTACTTCTGTCTCCTTCGTCTTTATCTGAAATTCCTTCTTGCTTGCTTCGCTTGTAAGTGTGTTGATTCTGGTTTTTAAACCTTTGAGCTTATGAGGCACGAAGTATAAGTCATCTTTAAACGCAGATCTTCTAAGGTCTTTTGGCTTGTTCAACTTATGCCTATCTTCTCACTCCTAACGGACTGCCATAAAATCCAGTTCATAACAATCAGGAACATCATCTGGGATGATAGACAACCTTGTCTTATTCTTGTCTCCATCTGGATAGCTTTGTTGAATTTCTAATTGTGAATTTTTTGGAATATGATATCGTCATATAGCTGCTGAGACGGGTATATAAATGCTGGTGTTCGTTTACTCTGTAGTATCGAAGCGATTAAATCTGTCGAAGGCCTTTTCATCGATGGTGATGCATTTGAGATTTTAGAACATGACTACCATTCTAGGCTCTGTTAGATGGTGATACCTAGTATGACAGTCTGTTCCCTTGAAGGATTTGTTTTTCCTGAGTGTCCACTTTTCAGTAGATTAAATGCAATATTTGATAATCAAATACTCGTTATATAAAATCACTTTAAAATAAAGCCAGTTATTCTACAAAATATCTTGGTAATGTTAAAAAAATTTCTGTATTAGGTGACTTTTGAATAAAAATTTAAATGTTTGTTTTGATTGATTATTTAAGTCTCTAAATACTGACACATTTTTAAATAGTTTCTTTAATGGATTTTCAAGACATTGAAAGACATACTGATTTATCAAGTTCCTCATTCATCTTTATACTTTTTCCAGTATACAGAGACATGTCATAGGTGCCTGTGTTCTGTCTCCCGTGTTAGGTGGTATAATAGGATGAGCAGTATCGAGGTTAGGCTTCGGTCGAGTGCTAGGTGAGGAGGGGAAATCAATCGATTAGGTTGTGAAGTCACGCTGACTGAGATGGTTAGGACATGTGTTACGTTTGCCTAGCCATTGCTTTCCTCGACTGACGGGCAATGTTAGCTGACAGAACTGATCAGGTTGGAAAAGAGTTAGCTAGAGGTGATCGAAACGAAAATTGGCAGCATCAGTCAATGAAATTCACAAAAATTCATGTACCATTGGATCGGCCATCAGTGGCTCAATAGTCTACGAACTCGCTAGCATTGTAACCAGAAGGTCCTCGGCTCGAATCTCAGTGAGTGCTTGCTAATGAAGAGTTCTATCTAGGACGAAACAACTGGCTGTCCAGTACTCTCAGGTTTGAGTAGATTGAAAATCCCCATTGAGTCATATGAAAAAGAGAAGATATTCAGCGAAGAGACTCTTTTCGGTGAATTCATTCACATAGCTGTACAATCGCATTTATATATAAATATTTGTGTGTGTGTGTGTACATGAGGTTTGTCAAGTTTAGATAGTTGATTAGTTAACACAAGAATGATGTAGTATAGAGACAAAGTTAATCAGACAGCAACTGAAGTAAGACTGAGTTGAAAAAAACTAGATGACGTAATATAATTGGCTAAAATGTCACAACTTAGGTCAGGATAGCAACAGAGGTAATTACAGGTAGAGATTAAGTAGAAGTACTCTGCGTACAGAAGAAGTTCGTTCAATCACTACACTTGCAATGGACGTAATCTATCTTATTAGCCGACAAGTAAATTCTACCTAATCTTTCCTTCTGTCTCTTCATTAGTATTATTTTGTCTTCTCAATTGTAACATTTTACATTTTCAACTTTCTTGTTCTCTACCCCCACCCGATTCAATCTCTACACCTCACTACCACTGTTACTGACTTGAACAACGCTCAGTTTCTAGTCATTCATGTTACGTCACCCAACTTATTCACTCAATTTCATTTCTACTTAATCTCTACCTGTAATTACCTCTGTTGCTATCCTGACCTAAGTTGTAACATTTTAGCCAATTATATTACGTCATCTAGTTTTTTTCAACTCAGTCTTACTTCAGTTGCTGTCTGATTAACTTTGTCTCTATACTACATCATTCTTGTGTTAACTAATCAACTATCTAAACTTGACAAACCTCATGTACACACACACACACAAATATTTATATATAAATGCGATTGTACAGCTATGTGAATGAATTCGCCGAAAAGAGTCTCTTCGCTGAATGTCTTCTCTTTTTCATATGACTCTCAGGTTTTCCAATGGTCCTCTAACCGATGTTAGTTTATGATGAAATCCTGAAACAAATAGAAAACACTTATTTGAACCATGTAGGAAGGTGTAGACTGCCTGGTTGGAGTCCTCGAGATGGTAGAGTCAGTGGCTGGTGAATAATTGGTGATATGGCTCAAAATCGTTCTCCAGGGCTGTCGCAGATGCATTGACACTTTGTGACTTATAGTACCCAACAAAATTCCATAGCCCTTCAATATTACAATTCTTTTTGTTTCACATTTCTGTTTAATGTGTCTCTTTTGAACCTGCCTCTACTCTCCTCTCTCTCTTTGTGTGCTACATGGAGGGTGTGTGGCAACTGGAACTACTGCACATCTGTGCAAAGTTCTACGTTGAAACCATTCATTTAGTTAGTCATAGCTACATATAGTCTCACTTATTATTATTGTTGTTGTTGTTTACAGATGTTGTAGCTCGTAATGCAGCAAAAGAATATAATGTCAGAATGACTGGTGGTCGACGTAAGTTAACTCCATTTTCTCCTTATTACTGCAATTTATCATTTTTCTAATGAATATTCCCCATTGAGACGGAAAACAGGGATTTCAGCGATAAACATTCTCTCTGCGACGATCTCATTTTCATATTTGTACAACCGTGGATTACAAAGGACAATAACAAACTTGAAATTGGTCAAATCACTGAAATTTCACATGTCTGCTTGATGTTCTGTGTCAGTCAGGTGTCTTATGGTTACGCTACTCAAAGATTTACCTCCTCTTAATCGCGAACGCCTTGGTACGTGTTTAGAAAGTCTACGATTTGCCCTTCCCCCTGTTCTTCCAAAGCGAATACATTGGGAGAACGGGATGAAGGGCTGATCTTAGATTTTCTGAACACAAACCAAGTGGTTCGTCATTAACAGGAAGTAAATCTCCGAGCAGCACACTCATGAAATCCAAGGAAACCAACACCTGAGAACTATTCTAATGCTCACGACTGCCTGACTAAAAGATGAAAGTGCCTGAAGTTGCAGTAGAAAGTTGAGATCAACAGGACCTACTAAGCAGGATGTGAGGACAAATACTTACCAATGACAGTGGCTGGCAGTCGCGCGTGAATTGACTAAAGTTCAGATTCATGGGCCAGCCATTGAATTCCGTCCAGGTGAATCAGTAGTGTTAGAACTCACCTTGTAGCCTGAAGTTCGATATCTCTGACAGGCTCATGCATGCATGCGTGCTGCTGTTGCTGAAGAGTCCCGAATCAGGATGAAACAGATCTCCAGTCCTCCCCTGTTTTCAACAGTTCTCTAACTGATGTTAGAAATCAAATCAATCGAATCTACGCAAGCCCGCGGCCGAAAATAACAATTGTGTTTACTATGTGTCAAAATATTTCACAGTGAGTGGTAGTTTGGTGAGAGCTGTCTGCAAGACAAAATTGTAGAAAACAATTGGCATCAATGTTTACGTCTCCAATCGGGGTCAGTAGAGAAAACAAGAACAAAGTATAACCTCGAGGAACTCAACAACCAATCACAGCAGACTTAGCGTGGACAGATACGATTCGCAGATATATGGCTTAACTTTCTAAGAAATGGTCACACGCAGCACAGAATAACATTCAGCAGGAAAACAACTAGTCAGAAGAAGCTGCTTCTCTGCTAACAATAACCAATAATAATGTATATAAAAATCTATCAGTCTCTCTTGATTTCCTTAATAAAAATTCTATTGCCTGGCCCTTGTCTCTGTCGTTACAGTAGCATTCAAGAGTGATGGTACTGGTGTAGATGACTGTGATCCACAACTTGATTACAAATACGAGCGATCAAGCAGAGGACAACATAAAGTACAACAGACACCTGTAAATAGATGATAATAAGTCTAAGCAGATTCAGAAATATGGATATTTTGATTTGTCAGGTCAGATGCAATAAGATGGGAAAATGCTATGACTGAATTATCGTTAATAAAATAAATAAAATTTTAGATATAAGATAAGTCAAAGTGTAATAAGAAAAGGGGAAAAATGGAACGACACAGAGTCAAGAAGCATAGTGATGTTTTGTCAATCACGGGGTAAAATTAAGTTGAAGGTGACGAAAAAGATTGTCAAAAGAATAGACACGGAACAAAGAGTACTCTTTTCGATAAATTCATCATCAAGTTCTACTATTATATATTATACATTACAGCGAATGAATGAATTAGTGTCATGAACGACATTAATGTTGTTTAAATAACATCAAATCAATAATATTGATAGATTACAGCTGAACAGCATCAACATAAAATAAGCTGAATATTAGAAGAATTAGGAAAGATAATAGTACAAATTCATGAGTTTATAGTCTCTACTGAGGGCCAGGGCAGCAGTAGTTTCTGGCTGGACTTGTTTCTTTTGAACACAGAGCACTGGTTGTTTGAGGCGAATTGCAATAGCCTCTGCTGTTTGGAGCATGCAGTGCTTCAACGATTTTGGCAATTTGTTAGGCACCCGGTATATTATTGAGAAGGATTCTTCTACGCTGGCTTTGTGACCAGTTTGCACCAGATGGTCTAATATCGAGCTGTTAATAGTTTTAACTACACCTTTACTTAGCCATACTGGGAGATGTTCTCGAGTGAGCACGAAAAATCAAGTTCCTAGAGCAACGGCCAACATAACTCGCTCCACAAGCGCAGTTGAATTGATAAATACAATTTGAAGTGGCTAGTCTAGGTACTTCATCTTTCAGTTGAGGTAGCACCATTGGTCGTGTAGAGAATAAGACGTGTAGTTCGCCAGCATTAAAAGTTCTTTAAACTGATTTTCTTAATTTCTTCGTAATTAACTCGCTTGGTATATCGCCCATAAATTGTAGTCGTATATAAAGTGGCTTCTTGTTAACAGATAGTTAGTAGTCCTTTTCGGCTTTCTTTGTCATATGTTTCTTGATAAATTTGTCAGGATAATTACTTCTGTACACAGAGTTCTGGGATTATGTTACGTATTACCAAGCCTTGCGTTACATATATCAAGCCCACATGTATATCCTTCTGTAGATATTGTCGAACCTTCTAGACGTTGTTGAAAGACACATCAGAAGCCGCTATTTTAATAGAAGGCAATCAATAGCTTTAATTTCGTAGAAGATACTCGCATTTCTCATATCCGAATGCATTTAATCTCCCAAGAAAATCAACATCAGCATCTATTTACTAATGTCTACTACAGACGGAACAGATGAGAATGTCAAAGCCGCAATAGGGACGGCAAGTCACACTTTCATCAATGCGGAAATCTTCTGCACTAAGCATAAAGTACAAACAGTGGATTTTGAACACCAATGTTTAGTCAGTCACTTCTTCTGTATTGGTCAGAAATTTGGCTCCACGTTGTGTGAAAAGCCTCAAACTAGGACAAAACCGTCTCTGATTTTTGTTATCAATAAAAGGTAACACAAAAATAAGATAGAGAGGTGAAGACTAAGTAGTCCTACAGCCTACTTTGATGATTAACATGTTGCTCATAGGCTGCTAAACGAATGTAAAGGTCCTCATTGCTGCCTTTGGGATACTTTTGATAATCTGTTGAACTATAAATGTATTCGAAGAGAAGCAGTTTCTTTGGTATATCGACAACACAATAAGAAGACGTAGTTTATCAGAAACGTGTAATGTATTGGCGCAACACATTTCGGACATTCTGATCACACACGTACTTGTCATACACAGTTTTTATATAATGCAAGAAAGCATGAATAATGAATTGAATCTTTATTTACGAATGTACCTCTTTTACAGACGGTTGACATTTTATGCGATTACATCTCTGACATTGATTTCCTATAACCAGTATCCATTCCCTACTTAAAAGAGTTACTGCTTCTTTGTACTAAGAATGTTAAGTTTACATTCGAGGGCGAGCATTATTGCCAGATCGATGGTGTTGCCATGGGAAGCCCCCTAGGTCCATTGTTAGCTGATATATATATATATATATATATATCGCATGTCGAAATCCTAGTGGATAAAGAAATTGAAAAAGTTTATTTTTATAAAAGATATATAGATGACATAATAGTCATTTGTGATAAACCGACAGACGCGTAGAAATCCTGAACCGGATCAACAGAGCACAAAACAGTATATCACTAACACACGTTAAAGAGAATAATGGATGCCTGCCATTTTTAGATGTACTAATAACCCGCCGAGAAGATGGGTCAGTAAAACGATCTGTCTACAGAAAGTCCACATGGACGGGACAGTACCTTAACTATCATAGTTTCTGTCCACTACAGTATAAGAAGGCGTTTGTTAAATGTTTGTTTAAGCGCATTCACCTTATATGTACTGCCGATACAATTGAAGAAGAAAGGCAACACCTCACTGAAATATTGTTAGACAACAATTACCCACTGAGATTTATTAGACGTTACGGAAGTGTCAACCATAGAGCTTTACCAATCCAATCAGCTCCCAAAAAGGATGTTTACATATCCTTACCGTTCAGAGGTGATCAACAAAGTCTAGTCACTAGACAAAGACTTAAGGCCGCAATTAATAGAACCTATTATGCAGCTAAACTTATCTTCATAGAGAAAACGAGAACTATGCTGTTCTGTAAATCCTCACATCATCCGAACGATAGCGTCACATCCCACTATGTTTATCAATTTACATGTATGTGTAGAGACACGTACATAGGGAGGACCCATCGCTCTCTGCAGGTTAGGGCTACAGAACACATTCCAAAGTGGCTGCAACAACAAATGAAATCACCGGACACAATTGAAACCGGAAATAGATGTCCAACATCATCTATAGCCAAGCATATTATAGAGACGGGTCACAAGGTTGACTTCAACAATGCTTTTAAGCCGATATATAAAACAAGGTTGGGCCACATGCTTAAATTCATTGAAGCCTTAGCCATAAAAAGACTTAAACCTGTCTTATGTGTCCAAAAGTTATTTGTTATCACCTTAAACCTGCCTTGGCAATCCAATTTATAACCAAGGACCAATTTACTTCCTAATACTTTCAACCCCTTCTTTGCCTTGTTTTTTCTCCTTTTATCTTTCTTACCCACACCTTTTGTGTCTCCCTACCCATTATTTGTGACCTTGACCTGTATACAATCTGACCTGTATTGTAATTATTCATGCCTTCTTGCATTATATAAAAACTGCGTATGACAAGTACGTGTGTGATCAGAATGTCCGAAATGTGTTGCGCCAATACATTACACGTTTCAGATAAACTACGTCTTCTTATTGTGTTGTCGAAATTCATAAAGGGAATTAATTGCTTTAAATCTTTGGTATATAAATACATATATGATTCAACATTCATGTGTTTTGTTTATGTGACTCAATCTTATAGCAAAAGAACTTTGCCGAGAAGAGAAAGAATGGCTTCGTACACGTCCAACAGGTCCTATACGTAAGTAATTGTATAAAAATTATTCCTCTATTTGTGAGAACTGTTTGTTTACGGCAAATATGAAAAGTGTTGATGTTGGTTAGTTGTCTTCATCACTCCCTTGACTTCTCTATGTTTACTTGGAGTGCTTGCTGTCTTTGTTGCTTCTTCAGCCAACAGCAACAACAACAACAACCAGAACCAATCACCATCAACAGGAGAGATTTGACGGAGGCTACTTCCTTCACATATCTAGGGAACACGGTTACAACCACAGGCAGTAAGTATGGCAGCATGGGTGAAGATGTGAAAGCCAGCCAGCCAGCCAGCCAGAATCGGAAAGGCATCAACCTGAAACCAGTTCTGCACTACCTCTGCAGAATTAAAAACAAGATCCGGATCTTCAACACAAATGTGAAGTCAGTCAGCCAGTTCTTCTATGCGGGTCAGACACTTGCACTGCGCGCCCGTTACGAAAACCATTTCCAACAGGTTACTGCAGACTTTTATCAACAGCTGCATTCACTGGCTTCATATTGAAGATCAAATGGCCAGCCGGCCGACTGGCCAGGAAACAGTAGTAACAGGGAACTTTGGCTGGGAAGAAACCAACAAATATGTAGGATAAAATGGAGATGGATCAGACATACGTTGAGGAGACCGTCGAATGACATTGAGGGTTATATTGAGGAGGTGGTTTGTGCAGGAGGAGGAGATGATAGATTATGGTCAATCGTGGAGCTAACCAGCTGAAGAGGGCAACAGGGAGTAGAAGAAAGTTGAAATGAATTGGTGAAGCCCTCCCTTTGTTCCACGTGAAACTCAAAGGAATAATAATATAACAAGAATAGGTTTTTGATTAGTTTGTCAACAGAGTTCCTAGTTGCTTCTGCTTTCTGGCTGGCCGTCAGGAGGAAGTAGCTGGTAATGATAAAAGTATGCCGTATCTGACAAATGCGCGCCAAGTCTTTGAACTGTATAGAAGCACTGACTGACTGACTGATCTGACATTAGTGTTAGGAATCTTGATCTTGCTACATGTGCTGAGTGCTGTAGAACTGGATACCGATTTCAGAGTGATGAAAGTTCGTCTTACTCTTCTGTTACTGACTGGCTTTGACATCTTTATCCGTGCTACCTGTAATTAAAACGATGCTGCTGAGGTTAATGAAAGCTGTGCTTCCCTTTATATTTCTCACTTTGACAGTGATTGCTGCTTGTTGTTGTTGGTGGTGAGGTATTCGCATCAGTTGATCATGTTATGACATAAGCTAGACAACCATTGGAAAACCAGAGAGTACTGGATAGTCGTTCTGCTCTAGTATGAGACTCAGCCATAATTATTTCAACCCAGGGCCTTTTGGTTACAAGACGAACTCGCTAGTTAGCCTTCGCCTACTTCTGCTTTCCCCTCGAATGCTTCACTGACAACAATAATATATAGCTTAATCGAATTTCTCTCGTTATGACTAGTTATTTTTCTTTCCTTCACGTTCCCCAGTGGAACATAGGGCTTCAAGCTAGTGGCTTGAAGTTTCTGTAGCAGTGCTTATTTTACAGGATGGGGTTGCTAGCCTCATGCCCAACCTTTCCTCTTCACCAGCATTATTTCTGGCTCAGCGAGGTAAAGGAGTGAGTCGGCCGGGGATCGAACACCCGACCACGTGCATGGTCGGCGAGAACCCTAACCGCTATGCCACCGACAGTGACTAGTTATTGAATCAACTTTATCTAGCAACTTGAAGTAACCAACAACTTCCCTGCATTATACCACAATAATGCCCCTTCCAGGTTATTTATTGTCATTTGTTATTTCATTAAACACACTTGAGATGGAGCTTAATTTTTTACCGCCAATTATGTCAGTTATCAGTGAAATATTTGATCCAGCATAAATCGAAGAAACCTAAAAGAAACAACCTCCTTTACCTACCTGGGAAGCATCGTTTCAACTACAGGCGGAACTGACGAGGATATCAAAGTAAGAATCAGAAAAGTAAGACAAGCTTTCACTACTCTGAAGTCTGTGTGGAGGTCAACAGCACTACTTCAGCATCAAAAATAAGACCCGGATTTTCAACTCCAATGTGAATTCAGTGCCACTATACCGATCAGAGACTTGGCGCGGCATAAAGAGAATCTCAAACAAACTACAGACCTTCATTAACAGTTGTCTTCGCTCAATACTCAAGATCAGATGGCCAGCCAGAAAAGATCAGCAACAGAGATCTCTGGCAATGAGCGAACCAACCAGGAACCGATTGTGAAACAAATAGGCAGGAAGAAATGGAGGTTGACTGGTGGCCATACTCTGAGGAAACAAACCATCAAGTGAGTGACATCACTAGACAAGCCATTGCTCGAGTGGAACCCGAAAGGGAAGCGGCGAGTTGGTCGTCCATGGGTGACTTGGAGGAGGTCATGTGAAGAGGAGATGAAGGCATGTGGGCAGACTTGGAGCCAGGTGAAGACTCTAGCAGAGAACCGAACGCAATGGAGACGCACGGCTGAAGCCCTATGTTCCTCTAGGAATTAAAGGAAACAATAATATAATAATAATTTGATCTATTCAATGGCCATACGAAGTAGTCATTTATTCAAAGCTTCCTTCTGGTTGTTAATTACTAAGGTGCACTACGAATGTCATTCTTCCTGTTTGTCTGCTGCAATGCCGATTTTTCTGCTCCAGTTTAGTGGGAACTTAGTACTACTTAGCATGGAGGCAGTGACATTTACAATGATCAGTCAGTATAAATATCACACAGTTTATTGCTAAAATACACTCACTGCTCACATCATTTATATAATAATGCCAAATTTACGTATTGAATTTCACTAAATATTCCCAAGATTCCTGATAAAGCTTGAAATTGGGGTGGCATTTAAACCAACCAACTAATTCCAAAACAAACTTCGCCCGCTTAAGGATCCGACAGATTTAAATTGTTATTATTATTGCCACCTTTAGTTCCTAGAGGGACATAGGGCTTTGGCTGCACGTCTCCATTGCGTTCGGTTCTCTCCCAACGTTTTCACCTAGCCTCACGTCTGCCCAGATAATTTTATCTCCTCTTTGCATGACCTCCTCCATGCCACCCTTGCACTGACGACCAACTCGCCGCTTCCCTTTCGGGTTCCACTCGAGCAATGGCTTGTCTAGTGATGTCTTTTGATGGTTTCCTCAGGGTATAGCTCATATTATGGCCAATCCATCTCCATTTCTTCCTGCCTATTTGTTTCACAATCGGTTTCTGGTTTGTTCACTCCCAGAGATCCCTGTTGCTGATCTTTTCTGGCCTGCCATCTGATCTTAAGTAGTGCTGAGCGAACACAACTGTTGATGAAGGTCTGTAGTTTGCTCTAAGTGGCCTTCGTGACATGGCGCCAAGTCTCTGATTTCTATAGTAAGTAGCACTGACTTCACATTGGAGTTGAAAACCTGGATCTTATTTTCATACTGAATGCTGTTGATCTCCACACAGACTTGAGAATAATGAAAGCTTGCCTTGCTTTACCTATCCTCGCTTCGATATCCTCATTAGTTCGATCCGCCTGTGATTGAAACTATTCTTCCTAGGTCATTAGGTAAAGGAGGTTGCTTCTTTCAGATTTTTCCCATTTATTCTGATTGTTGTCTGTTGTTGTTGCTGTTGTTGCTGCTGTCTGCCAGGAATCTTCATCACCTCTGTTTTCTCTATGTTCACATGAAGTTATATCTTTGATGCTTCTTCTCCCAACTTGTTGATTTTCATTTGCATGTCTTCCAGTCTGTGGGAAATCAGACATATCTCATCGGCGAAATTCAGATCCTCCAAGTTTTTGTGTGGGTTCGTTTTATACCTGTTTCCTCGCTGCTCGCTCTCTGTTGCATTATCCAGTCTACCTTAATCAGGAAAATCATTGGAGATAGTCGGCAGCCATCCTTGTCTTACTCTGGTCTTCACTTCGAAGGATTCCGTGAGTTCCCCGTTGTGGATTACTTGGCATGCAGCGTTGTCGTACGACTGTTGGATGAGATGTTTAACTGTTGGTTACACCCCATAGTAGCGAAGTAGTTTCCAAATCACCTCTCGATCGACACTGTCGAAGGCCTTTTCAAAGTCAATGAAGTTGAGGTAGAGAGCTGACTGCCATTCCAAGTTCTGTTCAATGATGATATATAGTGTTGCAGTTTGATCGATGCATGACTTGTTTCTCTTAAGTTCAGCTTATTTCAGTCGAAGGCTTTCATCCAGGTAATGTTTCATTCTCCCCAGGATGATGCGGCTTAGTATTTTGCTTGGGACAGACAGGAGCGTAATTCCGTGCCACTTCTAGCATTGACTTAAGCCTCCTTTCTTTGGCACTTAGTATAGGTAACCTTTCTTCCAGTCAGCAGGTTACTTTCGCGCAAATATTGTGTAATGGTTTTAAAGTCAATTATATAGATGAAGCTGGTTATCGTGGCCACTTAGGCTATTGGAATATAGCGATTTTTCCAGATCCATAAAGATTGATCCTGCTAAGTGATTTATAAAAAAGATCGGATACTGAAATGCACTCACTTACATGTATCCAGTCACACAGCATAGAGGGGAATAGAATGAAAATTTTCAGAAACAACCTTTTAACGATTGGTTACAGAATTTCATCATGAGCTAACATTGGTTAGAGGACCATTGGGAAACCTAGGAATGCAACAAACAAACCAACACTTGAATATCGATGAGATGCTCACTGGGGAATTGCCCTATTCAGGTAGGTAGTTACCTGGGGTTCCAGTGGGAAGTCGTGACCAGTAGGGTGCAGCAGGTCGGGTGCGAGAACAAACACTCGTCGAAGACATTAGCTAGTGGTTGCGCTATGTCTTGAATTGGCAGAAGTTAGAATTCATGCACTGGCCATTGGATCGGGTCCCAGTAGCTTAATGGTATACGAGCTCGCCTTGTAACCAAGCGGTCCTGGGTTCGAAGCCCAGTGGGTGGGTGCGTACTGATGGAGAGTTCGAAACTAGGAAGAAACAGCTGTTCACTACTCCCAATTGGTTTCCCATTGGTCCTCTAACCAATGTCAGCTCATGATGAAATTCTGTAACCAATCAATCAAATCGCTACATACCAACACTTGGACATTTAACCATTGTTTATCGAATTAACACAAAATATCTACAATCTAAGTAATGTGGTACTTATTCTGAATGTAATTAAGTCAACAAAGAGATCATTTCTTTTCGTAATTTCACTTCAGAGCTGTATATTTATACATGCCATGTAGAATGACAATAGAGGTCAAAGGTTATTAACAGTTAGTAACAAAGTCAATCAAAGTGCATGAGTAATAGCTATGTTTGAAAATCTAAGAATAGTAATCGGAAGGGTTGATAGCTAACTAGTTGAGTAATGAACAATCGTTTAGAAGTAGTTGATAAGATACAAGAGAACAACAGACAATTGAAAATGAGTTGCAAAGGCATTAACGGGACTACATAGACCTTATTACAACACAGAGTTATTCAGGAAGACAAAGAAGGAAGAAATTCCTAATTCCGTGGTAGTGAAAGAGGCCGGATAAAACGTTTCTGAACGCAAGCTTCAAGTTTGTAACATGTTGGAAATCTTTTTCGTGACGGGAGCGCAGTGGGAGTTTCTGACTAGTATAGAAGAAATGATCGACTGACTTCACATTTATGTTGAAAATCCGAATCTTGTTCTTTATGCTGATTGAGTGAGTAAAAGCAAAAGATTTCCAAATTGGTTGATGAAGGTGTATTTCGCCTCTTCCGATTTGGACTTTGACTTGGTCATACCTTCTCTATGAATCTTAAGAGGCAGTTGTTAGGAAAAGGTAGTTCTCCTGACTTTTAGCCATGTGAACACCAACCAGCAAGTTATTTTAAAAGAGTGATTTAGTCCTCAAATCTCTGATATGGATTCATATCTAAAAGAAGCCTAAGTAACCCCTCTCAAGTTCCCCTCTCAAGAATGTGTATTACTCCCACTGATGTTAGTAAAGTTTTGAGAACAATCGACACAAAATCTAGCGCTTATATTCATTCACCTACACCAAGTAAGATGGTCAGAAGTCGTCAGTTTTCCATTTGAAATCCTCAAAGTGACTGACTCTGAGGTTTTCTTTACCTCTACAAAGTGTGCATCTGCTGAGCCCAAAAACCAGTTGGTTAATCTAAAAAACGTTAAAATGCAAATGTCGATTCAATTTTGAATATTTTGTTTGGAAGCAAACACCATTTTTTTCAAACTTTTTGTACAAATCTTAATAAAACAATTAAGTCATTTGGGAGCTCATATACACAGTGTATATTTCTCTCTTCTGTTCAACAGGTTTTATCCAAAAAATTGTAACTGCTAAAAGAAATTACAAAAAATGGAAAAAGGTTAGTTCAATGTTCTATTTCTAATACGTTTAGCGTTATTATACTTTTCATTTATAAAGACTAGTAACATCCCTGCATTCATGCAGCGGAAATGTTCTTTACCAGAAATAAAAACGCGTATTTGACCATCTGGTCGATTTCAACAGGACTGGGTTGTTAAATGGCTGCACTATTATTTCTCAGGAAGAAAGCAGTACACTGTATGTCAAGGGAAGTCGTCCACTTCATTGTTTACTGGGGCTGGTGTCCCTCAAGGCGCTGTCCTTTCTCGTTTTCTGTTTTCTTTCTTCTTGCATGACTTGCCTCACTATGATGAAATTAACTTTGTTAAGCATGCCGATGATCTAGCTATTTCAATGTCTGTTAACTCTCAGCTTGACTGCACTACGATAAACAACTTTCTATCAGAAATTAGCAAATGGTCTTCGTCTAACGGCCTTAAACTTAATCCTTCCAAATGTCAGATTTTTAATTTCGGTTTCCGATGTAAAGGAAAGTTAAATAATGAAGCTGTTGGTTCCTACGACCGTTGCAAAATCGATGATACTGATATAGAAAGCAAGTCTGAAATTAAGTATCTTGGATTAATTCTCTTTTCTGACCTATCCTGGTCCTCCCATGTCTTAGGGATTTCTAAAAGAATATTTCGTTTGACTTTTTACATTAGGAGGCTACGGCATTCAGGCATAACTCAACCCCTCCTCTTACAGTTTATCAACTCGTGTATTTTACCCATTCTTCTTTACTGTTCACCCCTGCTTATCCTTTCCTGGGTTGCTTAAAAAAGACTATGTCATACTTCGTAGGACTCTGAAGAATGTCAGTCAGTAGGCCGAGTGGTGATATCCCATTGGACCATATCATCGACATCACCATTGATTACTGGCACTTGATTTAATGCAACAAATTCGCCAAATGAATTTTGTCAGACTGTGAGCATCCACCCCAACACCCACAGCTTTCACCTAGTGTCTCCTGAGGTAAAACAAGAAGTAATTTAAAAGACTTTATGCGCGCATGTCTAAGTATAAAAATTCCGTGATGCCATATTTGGCAAGTACTTTATGTAATGAAAATAGCATTAGGCATGAACTAACTAATCTTCTTTGCACTATTGGATAAACCATTTCCTCCACCCTTACAGCATCAACCTTTATTGTTATTGTACTTCTTGTATTTATAGTCCTTTCAAATTTTTGTTTTTTCATTTGTTTATTTTTCATAAGTGTGAACATCATTTCAGATGTGTTATAACTGCTAATTTTGTTTTTCCCTTTCACCAAAACATTAGATTCAATACTGTATAAAATGCTAAAATTCTCAAACTGAATCGACAATAGTGTTCGAAACAAACTTACTGTTATTATAATATTTAATATTCTCATTTTATACTCCCAATATTTTTGACTTTATATCGTAAACGCAGACAAATTCCTCTGGTTTATTTTGTTTTAATATTTAATTTTATTTATATTTTGAGTAAATCAGATGCAATATTGTGACAAATGCTGAGAATTTCATTCTGTATTACAAGTATTGTTTTTGGAACAAAGTAGATTATTAATAGTAGTATACCCGGTTTCCAAGCCTGTGATGTACATGGGAACTAGAATCCTAACAGATCGAATGTTGTATGAGACTATTCCACTAGCCAGTAAGCGTCAGAACTCAGCTCCGCTGACTTGCAGATCAGAATTTAAATCAAAAGCAGAGTGGCGTCTAAAGAAAACCACCTACTTCTGCCTTGAGGTTTGGGCAGTATTGCAACTCTTGCAGAAATTATATGAAATTCCTTGTGATGCGTCTTTTGGTGCCCATAATGCACAAAGTTTGTGTTGTTAGTGATAAAAATAATAATAACACTGTTTTATCACTTTCAATTTCTACTAGATAACTGAAACGTCTTCACTGGCACAACAGGAACTTGATTTGACTATTTATCCAGCATTTTCTCAATCGGTGAGTTTTAATTTTTATAGTTTGTAAACCAACCTGAATTTCGAAAATCCTTACTTCTGTCTGATAACTGCGTTTTATTATCCTGTTGATAAACGGGAGAAATTTGATCTTGAAGTGATTAGTAATCTCATCAAAAAAGTGTTATCTGCAATACCAAACTACTTGCAAGTAATAAGGCGAATTTGAAATAAATGTCATGATAGTATGGCGGTTTTCGTTCGTTCGGGGTTGTAAAAGAATCATAACATAACACACCTTTTCCACAATAAGTTGCAAGTTATGACTCATTAGCTGTCATATATGAAACAGTGGCTGAAAGCTTTTAATTCTGGTACCACGGAACGCACTGGGCACTCTCTGAATGGTGAGAACACTGAGATATGAAGTGAAGGACTGCAACTGACATAAGGTGGTTTTAGCTTGTCTACATCCCGATAAACTGATTTATAACAGAAGAAGTGAAACCAGGATCAGAAAATGCGTGTTGTAGCTATCACACTGAAACAAGCTTTGAAAATAAGCCGTCACCACTGATCATCAGACTTGTTAGTAGGTATTTCAGTGATAGAATACTCACCAATTATGGTCTAGGGTTCGATTACTGGTTGACGCCCTCCTAAACCTCTCTTAATCAGTAACAAGCCCGGTGAAGAGGGGAGGCTGAGAGTGTGGCCAGTAATCCCACCTCATAAAAAAATAAACATGACTGCTATCGAAACTTCAGAGCTCAAGTTTGAATCCCTGTGTTTCACTGGGAACGCAAAGGAATAATGAAAATTGTTGAATTGTAAGACGAAATAAAGTTTCAGTATTTCATCGTGAAATGGCATCGGTTAGAGAACCATTAGAGAATCCGCTAAGATTACTTGTTAGCTGTTTCACCCTAGCATGGGACTCTTCAGCAGTATGCATCCCCCACCAGGATTCGAACACATGACCTTCTGGTTACAAGGTGAGCCCGTAGACCATTAAGCCACGGGGACCCGACCTAATGGTCCATGAATTTGAACTTCTGCCAATGCATGATGCAGAGCGAACATTAGCGCGAATGTCATCGGGGAGTATTTGTTCTGTTGCACCGAAATGAAGAGTTACATTGGGAAAGGCTCAAGTAATCCCCCTAGGTTCTGTGGGAGAATTCTTAGATTAGATTAGAATACGCAGGTGATATTGTTGTCTCTTGAACATCCCAAGCGAAATTTCCATGTTTCTGACATATGCTTCAACACTTCCCCAGAGATAAAGTGGCGCTACGGAATTCGGCAACATCGAATTCCAGTCTGGCGATAAGGAGTGAAGTGATTAAAGTGGTTCATCCCATTAGCTCATTTGAGGAACTGCATCATACACAATCAATTGCCTGATAGTGCTACAGGACTGGAGTACGTTGACTCCTAGCTTAGAAAAAGGGAGTGAAGTCATAGAAAGCGTTGACCACTTCACTCATTTGGGAAATTTCATCAGCCGACGCCAGTGGGTTGATCTCTGACGAAATCTCATCACGGATACAGAAGGCCCATTTCGCATGTGCCATTTTATGCCGTCTCTGGCGCAGACGTGATATCCTGTTGGGTGTCAACCGCGGTTCGTTCCGTCCTCCTCTATGGCTGTGAATGAGACATGGCCATTTAAGTTGGAAGACATGAAAAGGTTGGCTATCTATGTTCATAAGTGCCCGTGTTCTATCTCCCGTGTGAAGTGGTATGATAGGGTGAGCAATATTGTGGTTAGGTTTTCGTTGAATGCTAGGTAAGGAAGGGAAATCAATCGATGGGATTATGAAGCGGCTGCATCGATTGAGATGGTAAGGATATACGTTACGCATTCCTAGCCAACGCCATCCTCAACAGGCAATGTTAGCTGAAATAGAATGGATCAGGTTGGAAACGAGTTAGCTAGTGGTGGTCAAACCAAAACATGGCGCATCACTCAATGAAATCCACAACAGTTACTTTCAGCCGCGTAGGGAAGTGTTGATTGAATTCCTGGTTGGGGTCCTTGGGGTGGTAAACACCAATGGCTGCAGACATTTGGTGATACGGCTCTAAATCGTTCTCAATGGCGCAGATACTTCCACTCCTAGTGAATTATAATATTCAGTAAAACGTTATTGTTCTTCAATATTACTATTCTTTTTGCCTCATATATCTGTTAACTGTCTCTGTTTTGCATTTCTTTTGCTTTCTTCTCTTGCTTTGTGTGCTACATGGAGGGAGTGTGGTGACTTGAACCGCTGCATATCGGTGCAAAGTCCTACTTTAGAACCAATCAATCAGTCAGGACTGTCTGATGACAAATATAAAAGGCTTAAGACCCACACTTTATTCAACTATTTTACTTTGTGAGTTTTACCACAATCCTGATAATTTGACTGAGACACTTTTTTTTACTGAAAATCTAATTGTTATCCTGTCCTAAAAAACTTAAACCTTATTTCCTTTCAGACAATAGAAACCTCAATGCATAACCTCTACCCTTATCATTACAATATTCAAGATAAACTGAATAGATTTGCATCTCGGCTGAATTCAGGCATATTTGAAACACTGACAACAAAAATTCAACAATTAGACACACTGATTGACTATAACTCAAAAGAGACAGATCTTTTCTATGAAAATCAATTTGTCGAAGAACAGCGTATTATCCGACAAGAAGCAGAAGCAGAAGAAGAACAGCGGCAAAGATCTGATTCATCTGGAAAACCCACAATGATGATGACTAAAGACGAAGAAAATCAGCGGCAAGAGAAAATTTTATTAGAAAATAAAAAATTAGTTGAATCATTCGACGAATATGTAAATATGAGGAAAAAACTGAGAGATGAAGAAATGATGGAGAATTACAAAAGTTAGTTCACTTTCTTTTGCTTTAGTTTAACCCTTAAATAACAACAGGGTTGACTGACTTATTCACTTGTAGCTGAAATTTAACACTTTGGCGAGGCCACTATATATTTCTTCGTTCATTTCTCATAATATATAAGGGGAATGGGGAAAGTATAAACAACGGGGATCTCTAGCAATGAGCCGACCAACAATCTACTGCCCAACAGATATGTTAGGCGAAATGGAGATGAATATGAAACACGCTGAACAGACCATTGAGTGATATCGCTTACCAAGCCCTCTAGTGGAGCTCGTGTGGAAAATGAGGAGTTGGGCGTCCGGGAGTGACACACAAGAGATTGTATGAGGAGCAAATGAAGACTTGTGGGTAATCGTGGAGCCATCTAAGGGCGGCTCCAAAATAAAAATGGATGAAATGGAGATGTGTTGCTGAAATCCAATGTTCCATTCGGGACTCAAGCGAATAACAGTTATGACAATAATATAAAAGGCCATGGTTGATTTAGGAATGACTCGAGTTCGTCTGTCATCACATCTGTTGTATGCCCTTCTTTTGTTTGAGACCATTCCTTGTCCCTATGACTGGAATATAAGACTTCGAAATTTGTTTTTTTTTAGGAGAAATTCATTTTGCTAAGGTAAATGTTGATAGCCTCACGCCCAACCTCCCCACTTTTCCGTACTTACTACTGGCCCAAGAGGGGTTTGGAAGTGTGTTGTCAGCTGAGGTACGAATCTGTATCTCAAGCATGGCTGGCGAGCACTGTACTACTGAAGCACCGACCCATATTCTGTGGCATAATCATTTCGGTTGCCTTTTATGCATGCGTTTAGCTATGCTGATATAAGTAAATATATTATTCATTCCTCGGGCTCGCGGTGGAATATGACGCTTTACTGGCACTTCTCCGTTACATTAGTCTCTGCCACCGTTTTCAGCTTGCCTGTTGACTGCCCACAAGCCTTCACTTCCTCTTCACATGTTCTACTCCATGTCAGCCTCGTACCTACAACTTTTTGCTTACTTTGTGAATTACAAATGAGGTCCCGACTTTTGATGTCACTGAGCGGTCATTACAGAGTATATATACATATATATTTGTTGGGGGATAGGCTTTTAGCTGGTTCTCTGCCTATCAGAATTCCTTGTTGTTAATCTATTCTGGTCTTCAGTATCGACAGAAGGTTTCTGTTGGCAAAAATCTGCCGTCTTTTGAAAACGCTTTCAGTAACTTATTTTCCAATTTTAAAGTAAATATAATAATAGTAATAATTTATATTTCGTATAAACGGGTAAGTTTACAAGAAATGCATGCCATTTTACAGGCACGATCAGTAATGTTATAAATTACAATCCTGAACTATCGTAAATTAATACTTTTTCAAGAGTTTAAATTGTTCAATTATTGTACAAGCAATCAGAACAGGTTCTTATAAATGCTAAATTGTAAACCGTTTACTAAGGTCACCATCAAAGTTGAGCGACAACCCAAAATTCTTTCCGCTTTCTGCTGATAGTTATGGTCAACCAGTGAACAGCGTAGATCTGTGTGAGTGCTAAACCACCACGTGATTAAACGTTATTTCAGGAAGAGAAGAAAATTCTGCACAGCTGCAACATGGTATAAAATGCAGTTATGAATAATACATTATTGGAAGTATATTTACAAGATAAATACAAGGGGAAGAAGCTATATAGTACTTGGAATGATAGTATACATTTGCAATGTTTAATGCTAACCATATTGGTCTAAGCATGGAAACTATCACGTTTCCGATGAAAATATAGCTTTGTTCAAACATTGGTGTTGTTGTGTTTTTAATCAAAGCAACCAGACTTAAAGCAAGCAACAAATATGAACAAAGAGCAAGTTTTAGCTTCAATAAAGGCCTAGGTAGTTAAGATCAGATAGAGTATAATAGTGCGTAAATAAAAAGATTATTGTGAGGTAGGTAAGTGATATTTAAGTGAGGAGTGAATTCAAAGATCTGGAAAATTAGAACCCGCAGAACAAGCTGACCTGTAAGATGCCTCACGAATTTCTGTAGGGCCCAACGGGTAGCATCTTGACAAGAAGCTGAACAGGCTTGTAGATGGTAGGAGCAAAAGCACTTTTTTTATTTTTAATTTAGATCTGTACAACCCTTATTATTTTTTTGTTGAGGGTCCAGACTAATGTTTAATTCTCGAGCTGTCAAAAAATGCATGTTGCTGTCCTACAGATTGGAGCGATTCACAATTGTGACCACTACCATATCTACTTATCAGCATGCGCCACCCTCCCTCCTTCAAAGTTGTAGACATATTTTGATGATTTTTTGTGGTTAGTTAGGAATATCAGGTTAAGCAGAGTATCTTATCGACGATCTGTAAACGTCTAGCTTCAAATTTAAGTGCACAACAAAATCATGAAACGGGAGTAACTATTAATATTGCACGTGTGAGTGAATGCTTGTACCTGTGATGCTATGCCAACTGACTGGTGTACACTCCTAATCCTACATGCACTTTATAATATCATTTCAGAATTAGCATTAGCACAGGGTTCACACTCGGTGGTTACTCTTCGACATCAAATACAATCGGTGTAGTAATATTATAAGTTTCCAGACCGTGGGTGTCACGAACTCCTCGGAATAATTTGAGCGCCGAGTCAGATTGATTCATTATAAATTATTTAAATTAATCCCAGCGTGTTAAGGAAAAAATCAAAACAATATTTTTCCGAACGTTTCGCTGTGTAAGCTGCCACAGCTTCTTCAGCAGATTTATTCGGATTCATAAAGAAAGATTAACCTCTGAAGCCTTGCACATTTTAACCACATCGAATGCAGTGAATAGGAAAGAAGGGACTTATCACTCATATATCGCAAACTCTTATGAAGCAAGACAGATGAAAAAACAACAAACACTCTACGGGCCTCCATGACCTTTTAAAACATGTAGTGTCTTGTTTATCACATATGAATTCACGTATTTTCCATATGACAAATAACATACAAACACGCACACACTCATACAAAACTAATCTGTACAAATCAACTATAGAAGAGTGAACACAACAACAATTTGACATTAGTCATTACAAATATATGTGATGACTGCTTACATATTTCTATTGGTAAAAATGTCCATAGACAAATGACCTTCAAATAAACTGACTTCAATTTATGTAAAAAAATTTTGACTAAAGATTTTGATGATTAATAAAATATCCGAATAAATCTGCTGAAGAAGCTGTGGCAGCTTACACAGCAAAACGTTCAGAAAAATCTTGTTTTGATTTTCTTAACACGCTGGGATTAATTTAAATAATTTATAGTGTACTAATAGTTAGGCAGTATTATCATTATTATTATCAGTTAGAGAAGCATTGAAAACCAGGGAGTACTGCACAGCTGCTGTTTCACCCTAGTTTGGGAATCATCGGTAGTACGCACCCACTGGGATCCGAACCCAGGACCTTCCCGTTACAAGGCAAGCTCGTAGACCATTCAGCCACATAACTAACCCTTACAAACCAAACTATAGAAAATGAATCTGATGCTCGCTAGTGCTTGCTACAGGATTGAATTTCCCGGAGTTCTAGTGAGAAGTCGTGACCAGTGAGGTCCAATTATATGTCACGTGTGTGGATGGATGTCCCACCAACGACAATAGTTGGGGTCGCGCTAAATCACGAATTGGTAGAAGTTAGAATTCATGAGCCACTGAATCGGGTCCCAGTGGCTTAATGGTATACAAGCTTGCCTTGTGACCGGAAGGTCCTGGGTTCGAATCCCAGTGGGTGCGTACTGCCGATGATTCCCAAACTAGGATGAAACAGCAGCTGTCCAGTACTCCCTGGTTTTCAATGGTTCTCTAACTGATATCAATCCGTGATCAACTTGTAAAACATAACTAACCCTTACAAACCAAACTATAGAAAATTATTATTATCGTTCCATTCGCTTCTGAGAACACTGATGTGAAGAAGCCTTAAGGACGAGAACCCGCATCTAACCACTTCTATATGTATATATGTCAGTTTACCTGCTGCTGTGGATATAAGTATAAAACTTGGGCACTCTGGTAGAGTATAACTCCATTATGGATAAGAATTTATTTTGATAAGTCAAACAGTGTTACACCGTAATATTAACTGCTGTGGATTCAGGTACATTGGTCGTCTGGCACGTATTCTATCCAAAAGGGTTCAAGAACACTATCCCACATAGCTACAAAAAGGTAATAGTGGCTGTATAAGGAGTGCGATAATCGAACATCTCGTCAACACTGGCCATTCCATCTCAACAAACGACTCCTTCAAAAGTTATCTACAAAGTGAAGAACAACCTACCAAGTGCAATATGCTTTCGTCTCCTTTGTTGTATTGCTGAAGCCTTAGCCATTCAGTCGAAAAAACCAGAGTTGTGCATCTGTCTGTCTATCTGTCTGTTTTCGACATAGAACTTTGCACATATGTGAGGCAGTTCAAGTCGCCACACAACATCCATGTAGCACACAAAGCAAGAGAAGAAAGTAGGAGAAATGCATAATATAAACAGTAAACAGAGGTGTGAGACAAAGGTATAGTAATAACGAAGAACAAAACAGTTTCATTGGAAATCATAAGTCACATACATATGCATACAAAAGAAAATCACCCAACCACATCATGGTAACAACCGTACTGACTTCTACTGACTTGATGTTTGTGTGCTCCTTATAACATTTGTAGTTTTTAGAATTCTCACATAGTTCCATACTTTCCTTTGTTTCTATGTGAATCCTAATCACAACTCACTCATTAAACTATTCATCTTACCACGGGACTGTATTACGCTTATTCAACTTTAATGTGTTACTAAATATGTTTTTTGATAAGACATCACCAGTACCCTCTTACCAATCTTCACCCCCCACCCAACCCTAGTTACAATTTAATTATTCATCACATTTTTGAAATGTCTTGACAACAATAACCCTAACTTATTTTCATTCTTATCGGATAAATCTAATGTACCCACACATAGAAAATAAGTATATATAATTACGATTGTACAGCTAAGTGAATGAATTAGCGAAAAAGCGACTCTTCACTGAACTACATGTTTCGTTTTCATTAATCTCTAGATGGGGATTATTCATTAACACAGGGATTCATCAGCATACCTCCATTGCGTTCTGTTCTCCATAGTCCTCTTTGGCTAGCTCCACGAATATCCATAAGTTTTCACTTCCTTCTCACATCATCTTCAACATGTCATCCTCAGTACTACGCCCAACTCTTCAATTCCTATTCAGGTTCCACTCAAGGACGTAGTGGGTAAGCTCACTCAACAGTCCTCTTAGCTCATGTTCAATCCATCTCGATTTCCTTCTGCGCATTTCTTGGACGATAGGTTCTTGGTTGGTTCGTTGTCAAAAGCTCCTCGTTTCATATTCTTTCTCACACGTCATCCGATCTTCAGTAATGATAAAAAGTGGCAGTTATTGATGAAAATCCCCAGTAGGGAGTTGGAAATGCTTGACATGACTCTCCAAGTCTCTGAACCATATAGATGCACTGACTTGACATCAGTGTTGGGAATCCCTATTTTCACACATTTATTCCCCTTAATGAATTTAAACAAAGCAAGAACTACAGCTTTAGCAGAATAAAGTGGTACCATCGGCGTTTATTTCGTTGCCTTCTCGTCAGCTGCTTACAGGCCGAAGATATTATTAAATATATCTACGAAAACAATTTTAACATACTTGCACAGAGTTCATTTTAAACAAAAATCAATCGATCATTATGTACATACAGTAATAATATATATGTAATATTAAACACTATTCCGAACAATAATAATCATACACAATGGAAACTTTCCAGCATTACGCATTCAGATGAAAGAGAGATGAAAATATCCAGTTACCATGGCAAAGAAAGACTGGTAACTGTTTCTTTCTGAACGCATAAATCAGGTTTCAGGTTCTTGATGGTAATGGCTTCAGCAAACTTGAGGAGAATTGAGCTCTTTTGCCTATTGATAATTTTGAACGACTTTTCCACGTCCATCTCATGACCCGTGTCAAGGAAAAGCCTGGCGATGCCACTGTTTAAAGCATTTGTTCCCTTTAGACAAAAGCTTTTTGGTACATGTTCAGAAAATCGTAGATATACCCTTCTTTCTCTCCTTCCAATGTAACAGCTCCTGCAGATATATGTAAATTTGTATATACAGTTGGAGTTAACATGATAAGGACATCTCTCGATTTTTGATTGCACCAAAGAGCAAGTTGTTCAATATATGGGGACGAGCTTAGCTGCAGGATAGGCTCTGTACGCAACCTTCTGTTGATCATCGCTGCAATGTTTTCACCTTTGTAATCAAGCTGAATGTAGATTGGCTTTTTACCTACTGTGATTTGTTTTACATTTGTGACCTCAGATCTTCTATACTTGTTGACGAACCTTTGAGGGTACTCATTGCTCTTCACCATCTTTTCAAGAAACTCAAATTCTTCCTCTAATTTCTCTATCGACCATATTCTCCTCTCTCTATAGTACAGAGTCTTGACTAGTCCGCGTTTAAAATGTAAGCATTGTCCTTTCAAAGTAGGCTTTCGATAAATTGACTTCTGAAAACTACCGTCTTCTAGGCGTTGCATGGCAATGTCGAGGAAGTAGAACTTTCCGTCACTTTCATGTTCCATAGTGAACTCAATATCGGTATGTGCGTCATTGAACAATCTGAGTAACTGTGAAACATGGCTTTCATTGTTGCACACTTTAATGTGTCATCAAGATATCGACAGTAGGAAGTTGTTTTGTCTGTTGCATGGTTCAGCATGGCAATGTTGAAGAAGTGGAACTTTCCGTCACCTTCATGTTCCATAGTAAACCACTTTATTCTGCAAAAACTGTAGTTCTTGCTTTGTTCAAATCCGTATTTTGTTATTTTCATTGGTGTAGATCTCGACAGAGATAAATTATTATGGAGCCAAAATTAATAAACTTTCTATACATTTGTCCATAGAGGAAGTTTGTTCTAGGTGATATAAGAGACAACAGTAGGCATGTCATTCAATAATCCTTCAAACAGTTGGATTGTACTGACTAATGGATGTCTCTATCACTTTCTGTTATAATCTACAATTAATAAAATTACAAAGTGTAATAAACACGAAGATGGGATACAGAATATCGTAAGGTAGATAAGTTGTAGTATTATCCTAGAAATATTTCAGGTCAATGTTCAAATTAGTAAAATTACATAATTAATGGGTGGGAAAGTCCCAGAATAATTTCCGATCAAGGGTCGAATTAATAAAATGAAAATTTGGAATTAAAATGACATAAGAAACAGGGGGAATGGATAAAACTCAAACAAAGTAGCATCATAATTACTGACAAGATTAACATATTGTGTAATTGAGGGTTAGAAATATAGAAATGGTCATGGCCATCATAAACAGGTAATTCTTTTAATAATCTATAATTCCCATGTTAGCATTAAGAACACAATACATTCAGCGAAGAGACTCTTTTCAACGAATTTGTTATCAAGCTGTACAATCGTATATATTTGGTTTTTTTAAGAAATTATATCCGGTGAGGGAATTAGGTCAAAGGTGTGAATACATGAAATAATAATAGTATGAAATGCAATTAAAATATTTGTGATTATAATCATAGTTTAATGTCAAGTGACAAAATGATTAATGTCATATCTAGGATAATACATAAGGTGTATAGATTTTGGAACGAGGTACATAATTATAGGATTAATAGACGAATATAAAATGTTACATAACACGGTGTGAAATTTCATAAGATAGGATTCAATATTATAAAAATAAAAAATAAATAATTTTGTGTTCAGAATGACAGTTGGGTCAAGTGGAAAAGACTCAGAGTGAGAATAGTAATAATAATAATAATAATACGAATAAGGGAAAAGTACATTGAATAACTAAATAAACAAAATAAATAAATGTCTATCCCTCTGCGGCCAAGGCAGAAGCAGGGATTGTACACACTTATTTTATATGCTCAAAAATCGTCTCTCTAAATCAGTCAGTAAGACATTCTTTGCAGCAAAATTACATATGACTTTCACCAGCCGCAAGTTGTTCTCTACCTCTGTAAAAGATAAGCGCCCTCGTCTGGCCGCCTCACCTGCTCTTGTGGAGCAAGGTACATTGGCCGTAGTCAGAGGACGCTTTCCACATGGATACAAGAACATATTCCAGCATGGTTTTACAAGGGAGAAAGGAAGTGTATGCGAAGCTCTATTCTGGAACACCTGATCGACTTCTGCCACTGTGTCAACCCTGACCATGATTTCAAGATCATATATAGAATCCATGCTAACTTTCCGCGTTTTCTTCGTTACAAACTTCTAAAGACAGCTGAGGCCTTGGCAATTCATGACTTTAAGCCAGACCTTTGTGTACAGCTTGATAATAAATTCGTTGAAAAGAGTCTCTTCGCTGAATATTGTCTTCTTAATTCTTTTAATAGTGACTATCCCATTACCTTTCTTATCCAAACTTCCTGTTTATTCATGTTTATTTTTAAGTTCTTCTTAATTCCTATTTTCTTTGTTCTTTTTACATTTCTAACCCCTGGTTGCACAATATGTTAATCTTGTCAGTAATTATGATGCTACTTTGTTTGAGTTTTATCCATCCTGTCCCCCATGTTTTTTATGGCATTTTAATTCCTAATTGTAATTTTATTAATTTAACGCTTGACCGGAAATAGTTCTGGAACTCTCTCACCCAGTCCACAATTAATAGTGTTACCATAGAAATTTTCGTCCGGAGAGTTAAACAAGTAGCTTAAATGAATGATATTATGTATGCTTACTGTCAAATCTTCTTTGATATATGATGACTTTACCTTTTCCATATTGCTCCTTCCAAAAGTTTCTTATTATCCGCACTGCTTTAAAATTGATTTCATCTAGTTGATTTCTCAGAAATAAAGAAAGGTCAACATCATCTGCCTACATTTGAAGTCAGTGAAATTGAACAGATCATGGAGACTATGAATTCAGATGAGTTCAGGTATGTTCCTGAAGTATTATACCTGAGATGTTTAATCTCTGCTGCTAATTGGGTGTTTTCTCGTAGTATTTATGCAGTATTTTAGCCATTTTAGTCCACTAATACTAATACAATTCTCAAGTATTGGTTTTGTAGGGATTTTTGTTTGATTGCGTGGAGGATTTCATCATGAGCTGACATCAGTTAGAGAACCACTAGAAAACCTGGGAGTACTGGACAGCTGTTTCGTCCTAGTTTGGGACTCTTCAGCGGTACGCACACGCCGGGGTTCGAACCCAGGACCTTTTTGGTTACAAGGTGAGCTCGTAGACCATTGAGCCACTGGGACCCGATCCAATGGTCCTTGAATTCTAACTTCTGCCAGTTCACGACACGACATTGCGCGACCATTTCGCAATGTCTTCTTCGATGAGCTACTGCCTCATTTTCAACTTGCTGTACCCTACTGGTCAGCTCATGATGAAATCCTCCTTGCAATCAAGAAAAATCCCTACAAAACCAATACCTGAAAATTAATCTGATCCTCACTAGCGACTGGCCCTATTCAGGCAGTTAACCTGGGCTTCTAGTGGGAAGCCGTGATCATAGCGGAAGATGTTCTCATAGAAAATCGATAATTTCTTGTGAAAATGTAACGATCACACGTTCAATAGATTCTAGTCAAATTCCATTACGAACTGGCATCGATTAGGGAACCATCAAAAACAAGGGAGTAGTGGACACTTGTTTTGCCCTAGTTTGAGACTCTTCAACAGTACTCGCCAGAGATGGAACCTAAGACCTTCAGATTATAAGGCGAGGTCCTTGGTCGATCAGTCACTGAACCGGAATCCAATGACCGATGAATAGATTCTAATTTCTGTCAATTCACGATTTTTAGCTCCAGCACCAATCAGTCAGTGTGAATACGTTTTCATCAATGTGAAAAACTTCGAATCATGTGACTGATTGTCTCTATACTATCTATCTATACTTCATTGACTGATATCATAATTTTGTTTGCCCGTTTCTAATTCTTTTCCAATCTAGTCCTATTTGAGCATGCACAGCACACACGTCCTGGTAACCTCAGTCGATGGGCTGCCATATTCTTATCTACCTTCGAAATCTGCTCTTACATTTATAGTATGTCCTACTGCTTTGAATCTTGTGTTTGTCGATAGGTGTAACTGCCCATCTTTCATTTATACTCGAAATTATCCTTCGAATATTGTTTATGTTTCGCCTCATCTCAGGCACAAGTTTCATCGCTGTAAATGTCTCATTGTAGATACTTCATTATAACATAAATCCTTGAAAAAATCAGTGGCGCCCTGCTTGAATCATTGGGCTACCTAAATTCCCATTCAACACAATGAACGCATTGTATTTTCTCCAATTCTTATTGTTTTAACCTTTCGATTAAGTAATTGAGTCACAAAATTTACTAATGCACATTTTTAATTGGCTTTCAAACTACCAGTGTGCATTTCTCGGAGATGAAGGAAAAATGATATAAGGAATTAGTCTATTCTTCAGATTGAACATCACTGTGTCACACAATGAAATACTCTAGATTGCTGCCATTCATGAAAAGGCAACTCTAAACAATAGGAACCCAAACCAAAACGACCTACGAACGCACAAACGACCTTGAGAAACCAATCAGGTGACTCAGTTGTTTCTAGAAGTAATTATGGATGCTCTACACCTTTTGCGTTGTAAATTCGCTCCGGATCTTGTTTTTGATTACTGTTTGGATAAGGGACTGATTGCGAGGTCTAAAATATAATCGCTGGAGATTACGAACAAACCAGCAATGGATATTAGGTATCTATGACACCACCCTCAGAAAAGGATATATTGAGGCGATTCCTAATCGCAGTGCTGGTGTATTATTGCCTATTATCCAGCGCTTAGTGCTGCCCGGGACCACTATTCACACAGACGAATGGAGTAGTTATGGTCAATTGCCGAATCTCGGGTATATTCATCATGTAGTCAATAACACAGACGGTTTTCGCAATCCTTTGGATGGAACTCATACTAGTTGCATCGAAAGTTTCTGGAGTCACCTGAAAAAAAGGATTAGATTGGTGAATGGATCAAGAAATCCAATGATATACAGTTATCTGGATGAGTTTATGTACAGAAATTGGTTTAACATGAGTATGAAGACTCCTATGGAAAACTGAGATTTTTTTGCAACATATTCAAGAATGTCATCCTTTGTAACATTGCTTCACTTTTACATAAACGATTTTTTACAATTATGCGCCGTCTCTTTGAGCCTTCTGATTGGTCAAAGCTGTCCTTGACAAGTAATTCCATATTAGTTTGTTTATTAGATATATCACACAGTATTATTTAATGGATGACGTTTCGACTTTGACACTTGACTCAAGTGTCAAAGTCATGTGATTGCAATTGATATGATTATGAACAATAAAGTTTGTTCGAAACTATGTCATCCCGTAAATAATACTCTTTCACTGTGTGATATATCTAATAAACAAACTAATATGGAATTACTTACTACCACAGTGCCCAAGTTTTACACATATATTAATATGTCCTTGACAAGGTTGTTTGTGCGTTCGTAGGTCGTTTCGGTTTGGGTTCCTATTTTTTAGAGTTGCCCATGAAAATCCTGGATGACGTGAAAATATCATGCAATAAGTTACCCTAAGAATCCTGTACACTATGTCGATATTTTGTTCGGAATAAAGCCATTTTTATCGTCTTAATATATTAAATTACCATTTTTCTTAGTACTGAAGAAGCAGCGGACGACATAGAAGGTGAAGACGGAGAGACAGGACAACAGGGAGAAGAACAAGTAGAGACACATGAAGAAATAACAACCCGCTCTAATGTCTATTCAAGAATTCTAGTCTTGCACGATTTAATGCGTGAACACATAGGTCTCAAACGAGATGCTAAGGTAAATAAATTCAAGTTAAATTATGAAATTTGCTTTGTTTTCTTCCTAATGTATTAATGTATTCTTTGTCGATATTAGATGGTTGGAGGCAATTGGCCACAGGAAGCTTTGAACCTAGATTTCGTGCTAGTTGGCATTCACCAGTCAGCAAGGAGCATCTACAACCTTGAAAGAACTCATGTCTTTTCCGAGATTCTAACCCGAGTCACCCAGTGCTGCTGTCAGTCAGAGACGTCACCCCTGAGCTATTTGGGCTCGCGATAGAACTATATTAGATACTATGGTTTACAAGAAGGTATTTTGTAACTAGTGTAATGTGTCTAGTTCTATCTTTGGTGCAGACTGAATTCTATCAGTTCCAGTTTGCAATATGGCCACCATTCTAGGTAGCTCGCCATCATGGAGCGGTGTTCAGTACAGTCCTACAGAAGTTGAATCCCAAACCCGAATAGCTCAGTGGTAACGTTTGTGATTGCAATACTAGATTACTCGGGTTCGAATATCAGAGGGAAGATGAGTTCCTTCAAAACTGCGGATACACCTTTCTGACTGATGAGTGCTAACTAGCACGGAACCTATGTCAGGCAAGGCTTCCTGCGGATTGCCTTCAAACACCTAATAACAACAATTTAGAGTGCATTGTGATGGTGAACCAGCTAGTCTGATGGTGGCCACATTGCAAACTTGACTGACAGAATTCAGTCCGCATCGAAAAAGGACTAAACACATTACACTAGTTACTAACTAGTGTCCAGTCAAAATGTATTCTTTCTCTATCGTTTATGTACAAGTAATCTGTTAAGTTTAGGTGTTATCGGTAGTTTGAACACTGTTGTGAACCAGCGTTTTATGCCTCTAAGTGTTCATCAGAAAGATATGTGTATATTTGTGACAGACATCATTTAGTAGTACAGTTTAAGAAATAACTGTTTAGAGATAAAACGATTGAGTTCTTTGGAATTAAACATTTCACATATACATGTATGAAATCGTGTATTTGACGTTGTAAGCAATCGACAAGAAAGCTTGAGCGATGTGACTCGTCAGCAAGGCATATCTACAACGTCGAAGAAACTCATATCCCTCCTGAGAATCAAGCCTGCATCACTCTGTGCTTCAGTCAGAGAGGCCATCATTATCATTGAGCTGTTCGGGGTGACAATTGACCTCTAGTAGAAATGTAATGGATATATGGATTTTTCAGTAGTAAGTAACCAATGTCTTGCGTCCAGCACTTGATGTTGGTGCAGACTGAACTCTATCAGTCAATTTTGAGAAGCGATCAACAAGATAGGTGGCTTATATATATTGAAATGTTTATTTTTTTAGTTAGTGCTTACCGTAAAACTGAAAAGTCTAAGTTTATTGAATTGTACTTCAACGCTCAGTCGTTTTCCTTAATGGTGACTGGTGGTTAAATGACGATGCACTGTTTTAGCAACCAAAGCAGAATACCAAGCTAAAATATGACAAATATTGAGCGAAGAATTTCTCAGCAATAGTGTTCAGACAATAATCCAAATTCCTGGCAATGATACATTTTGTAAAGACAGTAATTTGATGTATTTCGTTTGCCTAATTGAAAGCATTTTCGACTGTAACATCAATATCAACTGGAGAAGAATCCCATCCCAGTTCTAAGCCTGATTGGTGTGCACAACCACAACACCATAAGTAATCAGACTCTAGAAGTGTTATGTCTTGTAATTGTTAGCTTGAAGTCTACTCCCCTGAGATTAGCATCTGGAATCAGTTTGTTATGTACGGTGAATTAAAGCTATTTGTAAAACTAAATAACTTCATTTATTTATCTTCTTGTGAACTTTGCTTCCTGTGCGTTTTCAAATTTAGATTACGCCCGCTTTTGTATGGTCATATTTTGAATTATTAAAACAAATGAAGAGGCAGGTTCAATCATCAGCCGTTTTAGATCAAGTTGGTGAAGACAGTACAAATTCATCAATTAATATCACAGTTTAATGAAATTTATCAACTGCGGATAACAATAATGATGAAGATTAAATTGAAACTTGAACTATGCGACATTTTTTAAAAATATTATGAATATATGAATTATTTTTCACTGATGGGGTCAAGTTACCGTTTTCTTTAAATAGTTTTTCGCGGTATTTGTTTTCTCCTTTTTAAACAGTAAGGGATTTTCAGACATAACTAACTGTTATTCAAATTTGAAATATGCTTAAGGTGTTCAATCTCTCCTCAGATGTATTAACGAAAGAACGCGTATGGCAAGCCTTGCGTAAACTTCCGTCGAATCCCTTTACACTTCCATTGAAAATAAATCTCAATTATTGCATTCCCATTACTTGAGAACACTAGATTAATTTGAGAAGAGTTATTCAACAGTGTTTAGTACATAAACGAGAAATTATTCAGAGGATTAATTGCAGTCAGGTAAGAAACGTCTAACTCCTAAGTACACCTCTGAACAGTTATAAGCACAACACTCCCTGCTTGTTATTTAAGCAGCCCAGTTCTCAAAGTGAGGTAGTTCACGTCAAACGTTAAGCCAGTTATGTGATAAAGCCTTCGATTTGTACGGAATATGTAGCTATACAATGGCCATGGCAATACGTGTTGAAGGTCAACAAGCAAACAAGCTCGTAGCACTTCAAGCAGTATAGTTGACTGTGACTATAACAATATACTGATACTGCAGAAATACCGTAGAGAAGTAACGTAGTGAAATTATTTTATGTTGTTATTTGGAATGTGATGTATTTCTGTTAAGACAGACAGACTGCTTTTTTTCTGTGAAGTCGTGACTTATGTATTTACTGGCACGATAACCCCATTGGACGGTTCTGGCTTGTTTACTAATGTCTTAATTCTCTATGGAATTTCAGTGTTATACAACCAATCAGATTCGTTTTATTTTTAGCTTTAATTCCTGAGAGTTTTGTAAATATCCAGTCGTCATTTTCCTCAGTCTGACTTTTGTGTCTGTCTCATTGTAGGAGATAAGTTCAAGTAATCAGTTAGCTACAGTATCGTGTTCTGAAGGCACATTCTAGTCAAGTTCGATGGGCCGGCAACCCAGTACCGTCCTATTATAGCAAGATGAAATTGAGTGACGATCAGGAGAGCCTTAATGTCTACAGAACTGTGTTGGTAGTCACCACTTTCCAATTGCCCACTTCATGGAAGTTTATTACTTCTTGAAGTACATCAGGCAGAAAGACCATTAGTACTGCGTGACCCGAGACCATAGGGGACAACAGCCTAAGGCCTGTAAGTCACAATGCATTCGAGCTTGTTTTTGGAGTCGTGGATCTGTTGAAATCTCACCCCCAGCTTTAAACTGCCGCAACGCAAGTCGGGATGTACAGTTTTTCAGATTTGACCTATTCTGACAACCTCTCCGCAAAGTGGTGAATCAATACAGCTGGCTTCATGGCCATCTGAAGGGAAAACCTTTCTTCTGTTACATGCCTTTCGCCTGCAATATGACTGCGCACACAGACCCCAACAAATGTGGAAGAATTACACCATGATAGTAACTGCTTTTAGTCTAGTTGCTGCCTGAGCGACCTACTGACATTGTGGGATTCTCAGAGATATCAGTTTCTGACAGTAAAGCTCATTGGATCATTGAAATATGCCGACCAAGTAGTTACCGGTCAAGATGCAGTTGATGCTCCGTCCTACTTCTGTAAGCTCATCAATCACGCGCGAACCATCTATGTTGAAGGAAACCATCAAGTAGGATAGTGAACCTTTTAATCGATCTGCTCATATCTCACACCCAAAAGGTTATTCTGATAAAAACGTGACTAGTCTCGCGCATGAAAAAGAGAAGTGGTTAAAGGTGGGATGATATTTTAGGAAAAGCCATGGAATTTGAGGATGTGATGTAGTAACTTCCTTCAACAGTAATCACTTAGAAAGAATCAGAAGGAAAACACTAACATGGTGAAAATTCTATTTTCAGGTCTTTTGATATGCAGACGACAAAGAAATACAGAAAGCCAAGAGAAATACTGAGCAGAGAAAGTACTACGTGTTGGACTGAATATCACGGGCTAGAGTAATCCGTAACTGGTGGTCATCCATCGATAGATGATACATAAATCCAGACACTAAACAGCATCAGAAATCGTACATCAGTGACTGGAGGTGATGCCATAGCAACGTCACTCCTGCAGAAATAAAAGAATTAGCATTTGCATCTCAACCTAAGGAGTACTGTCCACTTAGTACATTTGAGAATTCAATTCGTATGGCGTCACAGTACAATTACTAAGTAACCTTGTACTTACAATGGCTATAATGTACATAAGTTCTTATTATTGGCTGAAGAGGTATTCGGAGAGTTTTCTTAAGACTGATATTAGGGCTTCATACAGGTGGAAGCTCTCCAGTAAATAAACAGACTGCGACTTGTATGATATAAATATTTGAGAGAACCGAAGGGAACGCACTAAAAGGAAGTTTGTACTACCGAAAGTCATAGTGGCAAACCCCTCAAAGCCTGAAAACACCCGAAGCTTTTAGTGGCAGATGGCTTTCCAGATAGCTCACTGTGCAGTCTTATACCCTGAAGATCACTCCTTCTGGAATCGACCTGAGTGTGCGCACGGATATCCTAACTGAACTTCCCGCACAGCAAGACCCAGGGAGCGATAACGTTATTGTCAGTGAAAACTTGTTATGTACCCCTAAATTCTTAGTGGCGTAGTGCGAATGGACAACATACCGACATCACAGTATCCTACTACATGTGGTGTTTAGACATGTAGCTAAAGCCTCTTATTCCGCCTCCTGAAATTCTCCTTTAGAATACCTTCACAGTAATTATCAATAGGTCATCGCTATCCCGGATTGCAGCTTAAGTGAAAACCGGTGATTTCTTACGAGGGCATTTCGTTTGTGCTTCAGGTGATAGATGCCCCATGGGGTATCACATAATACCATTCTAAAAGCACTACTATTCCTGATCGTAATCACTGATCCACTGAATGCATTATAACGTCTTGCATCTCTTTAAACCGCCAGTAAAAAGTTATCAAACCTGTTAGGACCTGCGGTCTATCGTGAAGAGCTCCTTAATCGTCTAGAATACACATTGTCAAAGTTCGGTGGGTTTGTTTTCCATTTAAATGAAGACTAGTGTGTTCTTCGTGCCATCTATTAAATACCCTGGTTTTTGGTTAATAAAGGTGGTCACTGGCCAGAGCCGGAAAATAATGTAGCCATTCAAAAGATGCCTACTACTCACAACACAAATACGCCACATTCCTTTTTGGGATTATTCTGTTTCTACAGTTCTTTTGTCCCAGAAATGCGTGGTTTCGGAAAACTATTGGATAGACTTTTGGAAAAAGGTGACGAATGAGATTGGTCGAGTTTGCGTTATCATGCATATGAGAATGTCAAAGAAATATTAACTTCCAATTCACTGCTAATACACCGTGACCCTCATTTGGAAATTATCGTTGCATTTGATGCAGCTAATTACGGTACTGGTGCAGTTGTCTTGCGTATGTTAGGGAGTGATGTTGCAAAATGGAACTGCGCACGCCTCAAGACCAGATGAAACCATAGTCAGATCAAGAGAGAGGGTGTTGAATTATGGTTTGCAGTGAGGATATTCCATGAAAAGCTTCATGGACACAATCTACACTACTTACTGATCACAAGCCTCTGATGTAAATTTTTGGTTCTAAGAAAAGAATTCCACTTTACACAGGGAATTGCCTTAGGCAATGAGCAGTTACATTTTGGATTATTATTTCAGATTCAAGTACAAGTCTACACACGATTTTGGTTGGGTTGATGCACTTTCGCGCCATTATGAAAGTCCCAAGGTATAAAAAGGAGATATGTTGGTGGCTGAAGTTTCTGTCGAAGCAGATTTGAAAGGAGTTGTAATAAACGCTGCCAAATCTGAATCCTAGACAGATGCATGGACAGAAATGGTTGGTTATTGTGATTCTATGACATGTGAATTAGCGGGATTCCTTCAATACGGTTGGCCATCACAACTCACCTGCCCACAAATGGAACAGTTTTATGAAGGACGAAATTCTTCCTCCACCCCAGCTCTCTTGTAATCGCGCAATGGAGACTTCAGTTCTCTATGACGCACCTTCTCATCAAGGAACCACTAGAATGAAGATGATTGCTTGGGGCAAGATTTATTGGCCAGAAAAAGACAGGGAAGTCAAACACATATGCCGGAGTTGTAGCGAATAGGCAGACGCTACTAAGCCACCAGGGAAAGCATCACTTAACTTATGGTATACCCTGGAACACGTATCGTCGAGAGTTCTTGCTGGTTCTTCTTGCATATTTTGAGCGAAACGATTCCCAGCAATAGCCGATGCATTTCCAAAATGGTCAGAAATTCTTATCATGCATAAAGTTTTACAACAGCTATAATTCGAAAGCTTGGAGTTTAGAAACCGACGCTTCTGTCAAAATAATTACCAAACTTACCAACAGGCGTTCTGTAACATTGCAAAAAGCCAGTGGTGCATATGAATCTTCATTTTGGAGAGCATGGCAAAGGACAAGTGGAGTGGGGATTACCTATTCGAACCAACGGAAGGACATTCATCATTCACAAGATAAAGAAGGTATTACAAACCGTAAAGAAGATATAATTTCTACCTGGCTGCCCGTCCCACTCTTCTGAACCTCTCGGTCACTCACACCATCTGAGTGGCCATACAATACCGTGTTGTAAAGGTGCTGAACAAGAATCCGAATAGTCTAGGTCTCGCAAACAAGATATCTTTTCGAGTCCTATCTCGGCAAATGACGAAGAAGCTCTCACTAACCACCTAACGCTTGCGTTCATAACTCAATTCCTTTCACTCAGAGTATGGGAGCTTTAAAACGCATGGTTAGCAATAATGAATATTATATTATCAGTAGAAAGCTTAAAATCTTGGCCAATAATCATGCGGTGACAAAGTGGCCACGTACAACCGACTGAAGTGTAACTATCAGAGAGTGCATCTACCATCAGACAAATTCCATCCACAAATTGCTTTAACTT